AGAGAGAGAGAGAGAGAGAGAGAGAGAGAGAGACAAATAAAAGGGAGACCACCCCACCGCTAACCTACGCCAAAAAAAAATTAAAGTGGTCCCCCACGGCGTCGCCTACGAAGAATTCAAAGCCGCGTCCGAGGCCCCCCCACCGGTCATGCGCATCTCGGAGGCATCCATCGCCATCATGTTCGAGTCTTCCCGCGCCTTCACCATCACCGACTACGCGTGGAACAGCCCGAAGCGGCACGAGCATGAGCCGGCCATGTGGGACAGTCTGGTGGACAACTTCTCGCAGCACAAGGACGAGGTGGAGGCGCTTTTGGCGAAGAAGGCCAGTGGGTTGAGGGTGTGAATTGGGGGTTTGCTTTGAGTTACTTATGATGCATGCAATGCAGCCTTTTGTTTTGTTTGTTTATCTGTTTGTTTGAGCAATATTGATTGGAGCGGGGTTCAGCGAATTGTATGATTTGGGTTTTTGTTTGATTGTTGTATTTATTTTAGAGGTGCATGAGTGTGCAGCAATCCATGTGTCTTTCTTTGCATGATGTGGCGGTTGGGGTCTTTTGTCGAGTGTAGTAGTACTAGTACTTAGTATGTGGCGGAGTTCTTTTGTTTGGGGGGGGGGCGAGATGCAGGTGGGGGTTGTTGATGTGGAACATTTACTAGTAGTGGGATTGACGACGACTAGTAAAGTTAAGGAGGAGCTGCTCTTTCAGGCTAGAGCCCAGCGCGACAGCCTTTTTCTTGGCGTTTCTTCGGCGCGGTGAGGTGAGACTGGTTTATCAATCCTAGTATTCATGGGTGTATCAGATTAATGACAGTGGTAAGCGGCCGACGTTTACCCTGCAGAGTACATAGTTTGCGGAAAGGAGCCAGAAAAGGCAGGCAGAGTATAGAAATCACATGAGCCGGAGGGACTCCATCCCCGTGTCAGAGGTGCACGTGACCATGTGCGCTCCGCTACGATTGTGAAATGGAACCATCGCAATGGAATTCATTATGGTCCACCATCCCGGTGATTTCTAGAGGACAAACGTAATCCACAAAGATCCACCCTTGCGGTTCATAATGCGGTGTATCTGGTAAAAGTTCTAGCATCAACCCATAACCGCCGGTATCCAAGAAAGCTGCCCGGAAAAACCCCCCCCCCATTACTCTGCTGAGACAGAGAGCCACCGCAAAACGCAGGAGAAAATTCAAAACTCTTGCGAATGTCTTTTTATTTTCATGAATGGTATCAACACGGCCCAGAAAACAGACATACAATTATCTAGGCAGACCGTCGCGTCTGCAATTCCAAATCCCAGGAGCCCTCTCGAAGGGTCGGAGAACCTCATCTTGCCAGAGGTGAGAAGTCTATCACATTCGATCACAGGAAATAGTCGGGCGTGCGCCTCGAGACCATTGGCTCGCCTGCACGGGGGCAGGGATCGAATTGTAGGCTGCGGAACGATCAACGGTTAGTAACAAGAAAAAAAAAAAAGGTAAATTAGAGGAGGATGTCACATACAATGTATACTTCAGATGCTCATCAATCTCCATAATCGCGGCTTGGTTACCGCAGCGGTAGCAATAATTCGGCGCTGGAACGCGTATTAGCGATGGCCCTGCGGCGACGCATCATGGCCGGGGGGCACCTACCGGAGAAAATTGTGACCACGTTCCGATCCTGCGACCAATTATATCCCTCCATTACAAGCTGATGTGCTCGTGCAACCAGAGTCAAGCCGTTGTTATGATTAAATGCTTCCGAAATATCCTGCCCGAAGGTGTATCCAGCACCACGGGGCGAGATTCCCCATCCACATCGGTCGTCGGGGTCACTCCACAGCAGGTCACACATCGGTCCCTCGTGGGGGACCTCCTGGATCCGATCCAGGGACCGAATGTTGTCAAGCGTGTCGATCGACGGACTCAGGCCGCCGTGGAGGCAGAAGATCTGGTTTTCGATGAGCGCGGTGAGGGGTAGGTAATCGAAAAGATCAGTGAAGTATTTCCAGACGTTGGCGTTGCCATATTTACGCAAGCACTCGTCGTAAAATCCATATACTTGAGTAATCTGGCGGGACTCGTGGTTTCCACGGAGGATGGTGATACGCTGGGGGTAACGGATTTTAAGGCAAACAAGGAGGGTGACGGTCTCTACGGAGTAATAACCACGGTCGACATAGTCACCTAGCAAAGGCAAGGATGGTTAGAGGGACCAGCCAAAGACCCCCGACACGGGAACGTACCCATAAACAGATAGTTTGTGTCTGGATTCGGGCCTCCGATGCGGAAGAGCTCCATTAGGTCGTGAAACTGGCCGTGTATATCACCGCACACAGTCACTGGGCATTTCTGTAATTGCCAAGTCAACATCCGTCCGGTCGCGTCGCTCAGCTCGCGATGAAGGGAAGGCAGTCAACACAAAATCAAAACAAAAGCACGTACAACTGGTTGCACATTGGATTCTTCCTGCAACACCTCTCTTGCCTGTATCCCAACATTAGTCACACCCACAACCCGCACCAAAGTCTGTAAACCCTGGACAGCAACACACCCGATCACACAGTCTCCGCACGTCTTCCTCCGCTAGTTGCTTGCAGGTCATCAAATTTTCAATCCATCCGTCCAGTGTCGGTATCGACCCAGGGTCAGACGTCGGCGACAGGCGGTGGGGCTCGGGGGACCGCGCGGTATCGATTTCCATATTGTTGTCCATTTAGAGTGATGCCAGACACTGCGTAAAGGGGGAGGATGCTCGGATCGTTGGGGGTGAGGAGGGGCGGAACACTGAGAGTGGGAGGGTCTCGTGAGGCTGTCGGTGAGGGTGACGTGTAAGAGGAAAATACAAGAAATTAAAGGAACAACAGAATTGGAAAACAGGAATAAATTCTAATAGGACAAGCACCGATTGCGACGGCGGTGGTTGTGTAGATGGGGATGAGGTTGATAATGGGGGTTGGAGGGGAAGGAGGAAGGGTGGAAGGGAGGTTTGGACTGAGGTTTGGTGCTGGCCGTGCAGGTTTGGTCGCTGCCTCTCTGCGCGCTGGTTGGTCCGTGCGCCACACCGCACTCAGGCCGCAAGCCACCAGCCACACCTCCCCCAGGATCTCCAAAGCATCGCCAACCCCGCCACATCTGGAAATCTCTACCTCTACTTGCGCAAAATTACGAAGTGGTCCAGGCTTTTGCACAACCGTGCGACGGAGATAGTATTCAGTTATCTGTACCATTAAAATACATAATCCTTCGTAACAAAGTCATTACCGGGGCCAACTATTGTCTCCCAATCTGTCATCATGTCGTAGAATCTGTTTCTGCCCGACTAAGTTAGACCGACAGCTACAAGGAGCTTAACCGCGCGCTTAGATGATGTCACCGCCAAACCCAAACCCGCCAAATCCGCCTCCGCCAGTGCCACGTCCTCCGGAGGGCCCGCGTCCTCGCCCGAAAGGCGCTCCTGATCCTGGCCCGACAGGATCATATCGAGCCCCAGGCGGTGCCTGCGGATCATATCCTCCCCCTTGCGGGCCGCCAAATAGAGGATCATCAAAAGTAGGGTGCATACCTCCACCTCCGCCTCCGTTAAGTCCTGGCCCAATGCCTCCTCTGAGAGGGTCATGAGGACCTAGTCCAGGAGGATACAGATCCCGATCTCCGATATTAAGCGGGTTTCTGCCTCCCATGCCGAGAGGAAATCCGCGAGGCGGTCTCTGGATTTCGTACTCATCCTCGAATCCGGGTGGTGCAAAGTCTCCCGGAGGAACTGGTCGCCGAGGCCCTGTCGCTAGGGGGTCGTCAAATGGATATGGGCGCGCGGGCTGTGGGAGTGGATCATCTCGTAATGGGTCGCGTCGCGGGGGTCTCTCTTGTGGCTGTTCACGTACTGACTGACTTGTGGCCTCATATCCTTCCTTATATAGACCAGGAGCGAGTTTTTGGACCACGTTTATTTTGAATAGCCCAATCAAATCGGTCAAGCGCGGTGTAGATATGAATACTTCACTGAGTGTGGCGTTTGACTCGGTTGATGATGATGAAACAGGCAAAGACGACGCAGAAATGAAGTCTTTGGCCGGAAGGTCAAAGGAAGTGGTTCTGTCATCTCCCAGTGCTAGGGCAAAAACAAGGGCATTGTTGCCTATCCGGCTGACTTTGAGCAGATACTGCATTGAAGACTGCGAATGAGCGTAACGGAAGGAGAAGGTATCGTTTGCATTCCATCCTGGTGGAAGGGATGGACTGTCCGATGAGCCTTCTGGTGGTCCCCAAATATCAGCAAGGAGCAGAGAAATCAAGGCAAGTAAGAGCATAAGAATAAGCCGAAAAACACAAACCTATCGTGTGCTCTTCGCCAAGGCCCACAAGACGGAAGTTGACGGCCAGCATACATGCATGGCCGATGAGAGCAACCGCTTCGTAAGGAGTCTTGAGACTGTACCCGACATTTCCGTCTCCCCGTAGAGCCTTCTGGGCAAGGTCCAGAACATTCTCGGCCCGTAAGACGTCTATATTTCCGGCCATATTGAGTATTCGTTGGTTTAAAAGCTGTAGAAGCTGCTGGGTAGATATATGAGGTCGCGATGATGTGGGAAGGCAGAACCGCTCTTGGCTTATCGCAGCCTTCACGTGTTGATAAGTAGATTCTACGCCCGCGCTAAGCCCGAGGCAGTAAGGTCTATCTGTCGCGGCGGGCCACAAGAGGTACATACTAGTACTTGGATATCTATTCCTCGATCTAGACCAGACATACACTCTTTTCCAAGATCCGAAAGGTTACGCAATATCCAAGCACTATTCCATGATATGAGCAGTGGACTAAGCTCCTATAACGAGTTAATCTCCATACTGATGGTGTTATTCATTTATCTACCCCTCCCCAGCCAAGACCGATGGAACACGAGTTGTCCATTGAAACTGAAATAGTGAACACCATGGAGTAACAGCTTGAAGCTATTTCGCCAGCATGTCCAAAAGTACTCAGAAAAACCATACAAAATCATAGCTCCCGTTAATCGAGGCTCTACTTAAGCATCTACTATCTGATGCCAACAAGAGTCAATTGATTGGCGGCCCCACAAAATACCCAATGAGGCAAAACGGCCAGCATGTGATCTCGGCCTATCACGAACTCATCGGGTAACAGACCTTGCACGATATGTGTCCGAACTTTTCACGAACTCCACTTGGCGAAGCATGCTCTGGGTGATGTCGTCCAATCACATATCCAGGTAGATTGGTGGAAATGTCCCGGGCCGGTACGTGACAGTAGTTCTCTGTCCAAAGGATCAGCCTGACATAATACTACAACGTAGGGCCTGCATGCTTGACATGCAGGGAGAAGTGTCGAAAGTGCGATCGTGCGCGCCCCAATTGTCAGCGCTGCATATCAAAGGGTCTAGTATGTGGAGGGTATCCGGAGCAGTTCAGATTTTGTGGTATTGCTAGTCGAGGAAAATGGAAAGGCGCCCGGATACCGGTGAGTACTCAAAGACCTCGAAATGCGGTGGATAGGGGAAATATGGAGCAAGCCATCCGTCAGCAGCAAACTCCAGGAACTGCAAATGCAGCTCCGACACCCCCGGAAGAAGCTCACCCGCCGCCACGCTCGGACAAACCCGATGTGGATACGCAAGAGATACCCAACGACATCGCAGAGATACTTAGATTGCCTGAAACCAAGACACTTCTCACTCATTGTAAGTGTAATCTTTGCCCGTGAATTCTTCACAAACATGGTAATGACCCCACCCAGATGACGAGTTTATATGCCCCCATCAGATCTCGGAGATTGGTAATGAGAGCGACAACCCGTATCGATTATATATTCTTCCCTTAGCCCGAAAGCAAATTGGGTTACTCTACGCTGTGCTTGGCTTTTCCGCTTCACATCTCGGGCAATTGACGGGGAACCAAACGATGCACGAAGCCACTGCAGTAGAATATCGCATGAAAGCTATACGGGCTCTCAGTGAAGAGATCCGTAGAAGCCAAGCATCAACTTTGCTGGAGGACGAGCAAGATGCCGTTCTTGCCATCATTCAGATTCTATTGCTCCATGATGTAAGTATGTGGTTGAGGGCAGAGAGCCGTACCCTTCCATTATGAGAGCCTGACCGTCTCATACAGATAGCTGAATCCGGAATTTCGACTCACGGAATCCATGTAACGGGAGCTATGTCTGTCTGCAAGCGGTTATTGATTTCTGAGGGACTAAGCGGTCACCGTCAGCGGGCCGTGTTCTTTCTGGGCAACCTCGCCTGGTAGGGTAATTGGACAGCCCAATGTTTCGATACGTACTAATTCCTTGAAGGCTTGATATTATCCGTGCTTTTGCGGGTCCAGAACGCCTCTGCTTCTCTCAAGATATCCGAGAACTGGTTGCGTGTGCAAGTGAAAACACATTCGAGATGGTAAACGGATGTCCTCGGGAAGTGTTCCTGATTATTGGTAGTATTCTGGAAAAATCCAAAGAGCACACATTGGGGTGGCTTACATGGGATGAATATCAGATAGCTATGCTCGTGGCCAAGCACAAGCTATACTCATGGGATAGCAAAGAGAAGATATACCCTAGTAGTGACCCTCGTTGGCTGGCCGTGGCGGAGGCTTTCCGGTTCGCATGCATACTACGTATCCTCCGCTTACTAGACGATCTTCGTCCGGCGAAAAGCCCGGAGATACAAGACTGTGTGACTCGGATTTTAGATACAACCGCCACCATACCTTCGGACTGTCCCTTGGTCGAACTGCTCATTTTACCTCTCTTCATGGCAGGAGCCGACTCCCTTGCGCCACATTCACAGTATTACATTCTATCCCGATTCGAAGAGATTGAAAAGAGATCCGAGGTTCGCAACCCAGTGCCTCGAGACCTTCTCAAAAAGGTATGGGCTGCTCGCGCTGCTCAAACACCTGACGATGATAGAAATATCTCGTGGACAAGCTTTGTAAGTTGTCTACTTTCAAGATCCGCTTCCTCGAGTCCCACTAACGTTTCTCAGACTCACTGTCCTGGAATTGCACGACAACATGACTATCTTATCATTTAAAAACATAAATTAGTTGTTATATCCTGAGATAAACGACGCTGCCGGAAGCGAGAGGATATTGGAATCTCTTGATGATAATGCGCGCCGTACCATAGTATACAAGACAAGTGAACAAAAGGAAAACTAGAAACGAGAAATAAAAATAACAAAGAAGCAGGAAATTGAATATAAGGCACAGAAGCTGTTGACGGAGGCCGTAATCCTCATGGCTAACATACATATCTCTCGTATATTCTTAGTCGCATGTTGAGGTTTTCATACCCTCAGCCGTGTGGTTAATGCAGGCGCAGTTTGGAAACAAGCTCCTCGCTAAGTTTGAAGTTGAGCTGTCCCTGATCGGGCGCATTGATTTCTCTTCGCGTAACCGTTGCAGCATCGCCAATAAGCTCGCGATCACAACGGCTTCCTGCTCCTGCCCACCACTTTCAGGGAGCAAGAGCACACCCTCGCTGAAGTCTGTAGGTAGCCACACCACAATGCCAACATGGATATAAATTGCGAGTATCTCAGGTTCATCAAGATTGACCAAAGTGTAGCGGAACAGGCTGTTTGGCCCTGGGTGGACTTGCCATTGGACCAACTTGCCGGGCTTCTCTTTGTGGCCCGGGAGACGCCAAGTGAAATAAGGGTGCGGAATCCTGTATTCTCCTCTCACGCTTGGTTCGATGGGAAAGGATGCTGTCATCGGACCACTGGCGTGTTCGCCCTGATCGGTCACAAGAAAGAATTCGGCGCTACCAGTGGCAATTAGACTAGCAAGGTTAGCGTTGGCATTCTCTGAAAAACAAAGGACAGCACCCACGCATTGGCTTTGACGTCGTCGCTCTGGCTCAAGCTTCTGCGCTGAACTTGCAGTTCCACAGCTTCTTCTTCCGTTTTGCTGGCGTCGACCAGATATTCCACCCGGGCGTTCATGTCGTCACCCCGAGGCTTGTCCATATAACTCAGTTTGACCGAGTGGAGATAGCTACCAAAGACCGTATCTCTAATGCAATCCCGATAGCTCTCGGCAACATTATAGATAGGGAGATGGGAAGTCATTGAGTCATGACGAGGAATGTATAATGCTTGCGTGAAGTCCCGAGGTGGGCTGTAACGAGCATGACATTCAAAGGTACCATGGGGTGGTCTGGAGACATTGACCAGCGCCGCGGCGCATGGAAAGTTATTTGATGACACTGTCAATGATGGTACAGACATGGCTATATGAAACCGTCGGGTGGTTGAGTCAAGGTATGCGTTTAGGTTCAAGGTAGACCAGGCGTTCCACTGATTTATATACCTTGGTTTCCTGGGATGCCATCATGTAAAGCCAGCCGAGTCTCCAGCAGCAAGAGGTCCCGTTACAGAAAATACGATGGACTCGTGAGAACGAAGGTCAGATGAGGGTCATCGCCACATGGATTTAGTTACAAGATACTCATTTAAGTAAAGAAAGCAAAAGTGCCAATAGCGCCAAGAACCACAGGGCTTCAAACTAGTTTGTTTAAGGTTAGATCGATCGCTACGCTAAACTCCAACTGACTGCCTTACTTTCCTAATTCGGTAAAATCTTCAACCTGCATGCACTGCCAATTCCAGCAATTCTTCCAACCCCGCAAAGTCCCATTCAAGGCGGACCTGGAGTACCCTCTGCGGAATATAAATATCAGGACTTCCTTGCGTTAGATAAACCTTGACTCTCATCACCAACACCTCTATACCCCCGGAATTATACAGTCACAATGGCCACCTCCAAAGAATGGCAGAAGATGCTGAATGGCGAGCTATACTGGGCCTGGGACGAGGATCTACAGGCCAACCGCGAACGATGCAAATTAGCATGTCAACGGTTCAACGAAGCCGGACAAGTATCTAGACGACGCAGGGTGGAACTATGGAGAGAGTATGCTTCTTTGATCTCTCATTTCTGCGATATATACCAATAGATATCTAGTATAATTGGAGATACCCGTCCTCTCCCACCCCCTCTCGCCGATGCCAAAGAAGACGAAGACCAATTCAAAGATACAGACCCCGTCGTTGACCCCCCAATCTCAGTCGACCACGGTCTCAATTTCAGGGTTGGAAAAGGGACATTCCTCAACTTCAACTTGATCGTCCTGGATACCTGTCTTGTGACAATCGGGGAGCGCGTCCTCTTCGGCCCGAATGTTAGTATCTACGGTGCCACGCACCCGATGGACCCTGCTGTGCGACGCGGGCTCGAGGGCCCGGAGGCGGGGAAGGAAGTGCATATTGAGGATGATGTTTGGATTGGCGGGAGTGTGATTATTTTGGCGGGTGTTAGGATTGGACGGGGGAGTACGGTTGGTGCTGGGAGTGTTGTTACCAGGGTATGTCTTTCTTTTTCTTTCTCGTCATTCTTTTGGTAGGATGCTAAATTCTCACTAGGATGTGCCACCCTTTCACTTCGTTGCTGGAAATCCGGCACGGGTGATTAGGAAAATCGAGACGAGTATGGATCCGGAGCAGCAGTCGAATCAATGATGGGAAGGAGGAGGTTTCAAGCAAGAAATGGGCGTTTGTTGGTATTTGTATAAGGGAACGGTTTCACGACTATATCATTCCGTCGAGTCGAGCTATGGGTAGCGCGATAAAATAGAACCGTTGCTTGCAATGCGCTGGCGTGTTTGACCCACCATGATAAAGGGAACAACAACTAGTGATATTCTACCAGGCTCGTGCAGGCATAGGGATAGGAAAAGCTAGAAAAGCCGTATCTCACGACATAACGAAATTTTATGGTATCTAAATCCTGAAGTACATATTTTACAACATCGCTTTAGGGAACTTCTTCATAGCCTGTCGCACGCCCAAATCGGCCAGAATCTCCTCTGTTCCACCCAAGATCGCGTCGAACTTGTACGTGCGATGGAACATCTCGATGACCTTGCCCATGCCAGTCTGGGTCAGACCACGACCGCCGAAGATGTTTGTCGCTTGCTCAGCGATCTCCTGCGCGGCGCGGGTTGCGTGCGATTTGAGCAGGCCGATGGGGCCACCCAGATGAGTCGCTTGTTCCTTGTAGGTCATGTTGCACATCTGGTAAGCGATGGATTCCAGCCAAGCTTGGTTGGATTCGCAGAGAGAGATCATTCGGGCGAGTCTGCCTATGATTAGCATTTGATTCTTTCCGAAGAGGGATTGAAGGGGGGGGGGTCATTACTTTTGTCGCATGACAGGTTGTTCAATCAGCTTCTTGCCGAAGACAATACGTTGGTTGCACCATTTCATGCACTCCTCAACAACCGTCATGGCCATGCGGATGGTGCCACAGGCCATCATGAAACGTTCGTGGTTGAAGTTGCTCATGATGACGATGAAGCCCTTGTGTTCCTCACCCAGGAGGTTCTCGACAGGGACCTTGACGTTCTCGAACTGAATGTATGCCGTACCGGCGGCGGTCGAGTAGGAGGTCTTGATCAGCTTAGTCTCGACGCCCTCGCCGCGGGGGACCAGAATCACCGAGAAGCCCTTCTCGGTCTTGCAGCCCACAACGAAGTAGTCGGCGAACATGCCGTTAGTGATCCACTTCCTGCGGGATGGTTAGCATTGTTGTGACTCAGTAAATGGCAGGGACCGTACTTGGTGCCGTTGATAATGTAGTGCTTGCCATCTGGAGTCTTTGTCGCCGTGGTGCGCAGTCCAGCCACGTCACTACCGGCGAAAGCTTCGGTGATGGCAAGACACATCTTCTTTCTGCCCGACAGAACCTCGTCGGTGATCTGGTTGCGAAGAGGGACATTGCGCAACCACTGCTGAACAGCGGTCAAACTGATCGCCATACCAGCCATGTTTCCGTCCGAGAAGCCTGCCAACCGTTAGTACCCGATACCTCACCATGACCGCAAAAATCCCGAAGAGTAAACTTACCTCTGGCGTTCGCTCGGCTCAGCTCCTGCGAAATGATCAAATCATGCAGATAGTCGAACTCCTTTCCATCAACAGCACCACCCAGCAACTTGCGACCATGCAAATGCTTTCCGGGGCCCAAGCGCATAGCCAGAATACCAGCCTCCGCCATGCGATCGATCAACTCCTGGCTGATATATGTGCCATCCTTCTCCTTCTCCTGCGCTTCGGGGTAGATATAACGATCGGTGAACTCGCGCACGGCGCGCTGCAACCGACGATGGCTCTCCTTATAGTAGGGGTTCTTGAAATCCGGACGCAGCCAGAGGGGCTCGGCATAGGGGACTTCACTGAGGCTGCCGGGTTCGCGGGGGGCAATCTCGGGGGTTTCGCCCTCTACGGTCCCGATGCAGAGCTCATCACGGTATTTCTCGAGGACCTCTTGACGGTGAAGGTTGTAGAATTCGGCGGTCGCATCTTTGCCGGCGACCTGGGCGAGGACGACACTACCGCCGGGGTGGGCGTCGAGGAAATCTGTGAGGTCGTAGACGCGGTGATCGATGATGCACCAGACGGAGTCTTCGGAGGCGTGTTTGGCGACCTCGGCGCGCGAGAATGTTTTCGACATGGCGATTCTGTCTTTTTTTTCTTGCCCGGAGTTGTTTCTGGGGGAAGAACTAAAACTCTTTTTGCGGGGAAAGGTATGCTATTCTCTAATAGTTTTATACAGGTACGCCAATCATGGGAACCTCATTACAGAGAAGAGTTACCGAGGCTTTTACCCCTTGCGGTAAGCCGACTTACCGATCGGGGACCGCGGAGTGTATGCGACTCGATAACGAAACATTGAGATCTTCAACCGACGATTAGAATATCTTTATTCTGATTTGTCCTGACCCTTGTATACATACCTGATGTGTGACGACGGTCCGGTGTGCGCTGTTCAAGGGTCTTTTACATCCCTTGTTCTCCTGTTCTCATGGGCAACAACCGTTTGTCTTGTGAATGGATCTACCTCGGCTAAATCCGCAGAAGCTGCTCCCTTTCAAGTTAAAATTCCAAGGGGAAACCTGATCACTAATCTTAAGCTCCACCTGGTATTATGGAAATTTAGTCCGGTGGCGATCTCAGATCCATCAGACCACGTCTCCATCTCTCCATCTCCAACCGTGTCTAGGGTCTAGAGTTATCATGTGGCAGTTACTGGTTTCGGAAGTCACCTGTCTCACCTCGACCCTAATTATATCCGCCCCAGATTGGGAAAAGTAATGTGAGTTGTTGGTTAACAACGACAAATGTATTGGAATAACCTACGGAGTAGTTTCAAAGAAATACAACGTGGCAATGCTGACGTTTCACCCGCAGTTGGTCTGCCAACGCACGGCCGAGAGGCTTTTGGGTTGCTCCATTGGCTTTATAACACCTCTTAATCTCATTAACAAGGTACTGGATCATGGGCACGGACGCATCTCGTATTCCTAACTACCTGAACGGTCGTTTTCTGGTCAGGTGAAATTGACGAGGGTGGTAATAGACGGTCGTATCTTAATGTCACGGATGATGTCGCATTTCTTCCTGTTGAGTTGGATCGCCGTAGAAGATATTAAAAATGAAGCATAGTTTATTTTCCACTAGATGTCCTACTCGTGGCTGCTGATTTATTTGAAATGAATCCAGACCCAGTCGAGGTTTTTAGGTTAGATCTATACTACGGCTTATACTTTATTTGTCAGTAAATTAGGATCGCACTAGACCGGCGCAGCGAGATTTTGAACCTCTCCTAGCAAAGAGGGATAGTTGATGTCTAAAACTGATCTTTGCGAGGAAGATTGGTCGTGCGAGGACTGACAAGCTGGCGCCTCCACGACCGAACCACGGTTGCCTGTATCTATTCGTAAGCTCACTTGGAAAGGGAGCATTCTTCTAGAGGGAGCTAGGTTGGATCGCTTTATATTCCCTTTATAGCCCATACTCCCGGGCTATAACGAGTTCAAACGAGAGGTTGATGAATATCCGTGTACATAAGTTGAAGTAATTTGACATGTTAATGTTATATGTATACTCAGATGGCTGCTGCTGGATATTCTAACCAATACCAGCGACAAACCCGATCTTCATATTCGTTATCCTCGGAAGAAAAGTTTCTCGTGGCTGAAAACGACCTTTCGAGCTTCTCTCAGAAGATATGGAAGATGAGGGATGCACTTGAGCGGCATTAACCAGTAGTAATTATACGTATTGTATAGAATAGATATGAATGTGAATAAAGAGTAGACTTGAATTTTCTGTACTATCGTAGCACCGCCGAGGAAATGTAGAACATTAGCTACCCACACAGCACAAAATAAGCCGAAGGACGACCATCCCAAGCCGAGTTTATCCTCAAGTTCTTTTGACTAGACATTATTTCTATGAACTTGACCTCTAGTAGAGCGGGTACGAATTCCGCATTGAAACCAGTCCAGATCACACGAAGGGATATGGTTGCCATTGATGTAAAGACTCCTTCATTGGTTGTCAAATCCAGAATATTGGGACCCCTACGACGCATGGACGATCTACCCATCGGCGTGAATCGGGCCCTTTTCGAATTCCTATCCCTCATGCCATACGCTGGCGAGACTTGCCTTTTTGACAACGGTTTAGCCGACGAAAAACCCATCGGGCGCTCTGTGTTGACCTGCGCACAAGACTCCAGCTCTATAGCTTGTTGTTCCCAAAATCCCAAACCGGTCGTCTCCAATCGCTGCAACTTCAAGTTACAGATCTCCATCATTCTCCCAAAATCGTGTATGATTGTCCGCCAAGCCGAGGTCGATTCAAAGTCTTCTTGCTGGATGGTCCATTTAACCAGCTCTCCGTCAAATGGGTGACTTTTCTGGGCCAGTTGAGGCTTCGGTGGGGAATCGTGAGACAGTAGAGGACATGGCCAGCTTCTGAGTAGTGGAAGAGTTGCCTAGAAACGGGGAACGTTCCTCTGGCTCCCAGGGTGCTTCATTCAGCGTTGAGATATGTGGGCCAATATGAAAACTTCTGCACTTTAAGATCTCGGTAATGGGCTGTTTGCTATTCACAGTGCAAGACACGGGGCCCTGGATCACAATTTTGAACTTTACTCAGGTGTGATACTAGTCCACCTCAGATCTGCAATGAGGCCTTAGGCCCCAGCGCGTAGAGCCATGCAGTCTATTCAAGTCGGTGGGCCCTGACCCACAGACTTACGGCGAAAGAAACGCCCGAGATGGCACAACCAAACGCCCACACAATGCGCAAGCTGTCTACATAAGCTGATTGAATCTCGTGGATGGTCGTTTCGTCCGTATTATGCAGCAATGCGATCACGCCAAAGACATCGCGGCTATATTGACTGGCCAGCTCGGTGAGCTGTGGAGTAGATGATAGTGTCACTTTTAAACGATTCTCGAAGATGGCGCCGCCGATAGCAACTCCCACGGACTGCCCAAAGCTGCGGAAGAACGTGGAAAGGGTAATGGCCAAGGGTACGAGATGTGGTTTTGCCGAGGCCTGAACTGCAAATGCCATAGCGGGTACAACCATACCGAGCCCTATTCCAGATACTAGGTCGAGGAAGATCCAGGCAGGGATACTTGTATTCACGCGAAGAAGACAGAGTAGTCCGAAGCCCAGGGTTGATAGTGCCCAACCTCCCCATATCGCCCATCGATACCCACCGGTGGCAGATATGCAAATTCCCGTGACTGCGGCGACGGGAGCGACAGTTAATGTAGCAGGGAATAGGGCCACACCGGTGATAATGGGGTTGTATCCCTGTACTGCCTCGTAGTAAAGTGGGAGATAGTACAGTCCACACCAAAGCAAGAGACCGAGGGTGAAGAACCCACCTAGGGAGATAGTCGTGGACTGATCTCGGAACAGAGCTGGAGGAATCAGTGGATTCAAGGCACAGCGAATCTCGTAGACTGCAAAAGCCACAAGACCTAGAACCCCGATTATCAATGGAACTAAGGTGTGCCATGAACTCCAGGGGTACATGATCCCACCCCAGGAAAGGGGAATCAAAAAAGAGCTGATGCTCGTGACGAATAGAATCATGCCTAAGTAGTCAACTTGCCTGAGCAGAGTCCACCAATTGTCGGTGACGCGTGAAGGTGGGAAATAAAACACCAGGACAGCAGCCGCAATGCCAATGAACGGGAAGTTGATATAGAAGATCCAACGCTACACATAGTGTCAGCCAAATGAGTGCTTCGAACTTTCTTCTTCTTCTATTACCCAGGTTGACCTCTCTGCAAAGCATCCACCAATGACCGGCCCAATGACAGAGCCTAGAGCCCACATGGCACTAAGAATGCCGAAATACTTTGCACGCTTTTTCAAAGGCACAAAGTCTGCAATGATCACACCCGTCAATGTAATGAGGCCACCACCTCCCACCCCTTGCAAGGCACGGCCGAGGAGGAGACGGAACACACTGTTCGCCGTGCCTGCCAGAAGAGCGCCCACGAAGAAGAAGACAATGGCCAAATGAATGAAGAATCGGCGGCCAAAAATCTCAGATAGAGACCCAAATATTGGCTGGAAAGCTGGTCTTGTCAACCCTGCTAGGTCATTTTCGAGTCACTACCTCACACTTACTTGCAGAACATAACAGGTATGAAGTCCCCGTCCAGAAAGCCTCGATCGCCGAAGCATTCAACTCATTCGCGATTCTCTACCGATCGTATAAGCATGACTAGTAACTTGGCAGGGCAAATTGCTCACCGGTAGAGTAACAGAGATCGAAGACCCATCAAGTGCAGCCATCAGACTCAGGCACATCATTGCGGCGAACGAAAGAGCTTGCTGTTTCGTGAGACGAAATTCATCCTCAACGGCCTCACTCATCTTTTTCTGAGACACCTTCGATAGAATTTGCCGTTGACTCCCTTACGACACACCGTACCCAGAAAGTCTATGCTGAGTGGTATATTTGCAGAACACCGGTCATGTTATGGATCGTGCTCTGACAGGCCCACAATCGTTCATTTTAATCGTCGATAATTTCAGCGTGCATGACACTATTGAAGCCCACCACCGAATAACTTTGTCAGCCGTCCTGCTGCGCATGAAATTGGGACACGGTAAGCTTGTTGATGGATTTTGAGGAATGATCTCCGTGGAATCTGCAAGGGGAGATTCTTTGAGTTTTGAACGTTGCAAGAATCGCATTCATGGCCGACAGCTGAAGAACTCTATCAGCCGCCCTGCTCCGCGGTAAACTGGGACACAGTAAGCCTATTGGCGATTTGGAGGAATGATCTCTGTGGAATCTGCAAGGGGAGATTCGTTGAGCTTTCAACCTTGGCAGAACCGCATTCATGGCCCGTCACCAAAAAATGCTGTCAGCCGTCCCGCTGCGCTTTGAGTTAGGACACGAGAAGCCTGTTGGCGATGTTCGAGGAAATGCTCTCGGTGGAATCCCGGTGAGGAGGTTTGTTGTTCTCAAGCTGAGAGCCGATGGCTCTTTCAATTCTAACGACGTCTTCATTTTGTGGTTTTGAATCATTTAACATTTTAAACTCGCTTCAATTTTGCGTCATAACTTTCTCATTGCCGTGCATTTGAGCATCACCAAAAGCTTCCCCATTGTGGTTCCTTAGCCCAAGATGAGTCCCTGCGGAGAGGATGAGGCTTCCCATAGCACGCAACCCATTGCCATCGTGGGAATGTCAATGAGACTCCCTGGAGGAATCAAGACATCGGAGCAATTTTGGGATATGCTCATTCAGAAGAAAGACGGCCATGGCCAAGTTCCCGCGAGTCGTTACGATGTAGACAAGTACTACAGTGCAACTCCAAAGAAGGGCACCGTCTATACAAGAAGTGGTTACTTCCTCGAAGATGACCTAGCGGCCTTTGATGCAGCATTTTTCTCCCTCACGAAAAGTGAAGTAGCGCAGATGGACCCACAGCAGCGAATGCTCTGCGAAGTAGTGTGGGAATGCTTCGAGAACGCAGGCCAAAAGGGTTGGCGCGGCCAGAATATCGGATGTTATGTAGGCGTCTTTGGGGAGGACTGGTTGGAAATCTCGAGGAAGGATACGCAGGATGTCGGTAGCTACCATGTCATTGGCACGGGAGATTATGCGATTTCAAATCGCATTTCTTACGAGTATGATCTCAAGGGACCAAGTATGACCATCCGAACTGCCTGCTCCTCTTCCCTTACAGGCCTCCACGAGGCGTGTCGGGCCCTTCGCCAAGGTGAATGTGTGGGGGCTATTGTGGCTGGAACGAATCTCATCATGGCCCCGACTACCACTATTGGAATGTGTGAGGTTGGCGTGCTCTCCCGAGATGGAAGATGCAAGACGTTTGATGCCACAGCAGATGGCTACGGGCGAGGCGAGGCCATCAATGCGATCTACATCAAAAAGCTAGACGATGCTATTCGCGATGGGAATCCTATTCGTGCCGTGATTCGAGCCACAGCGGTCAATTCAGATGGACGAACGCCTAACATCACGTACCCCAGTGCCACAGCCCAGGAACAGTTGATTCGTAAAGCATACCAGTCCGCAAACATTGAAGATATCTCACAAACCGGGTTCTTTGAGTGTCACGGTACAGGAACCATCGCAGGGGACACAGTCGAGACTATCGCAATCAGCAAAGCCTTTGATGGAGAAGGCATCATTCTAGGCTCTGTAAGACTTTTCCCACATTTAAACAGTCGCAACGTGTCATGATGAAACTGAGACGCTTTCAAGGTGAAAGCCAATGTTGGCCACTCGGAAGGAGCTTCTGGTTTGACCAGTCTGATTAAAGTCGTTCTGGTGTTGGAAAAAGGGATCATCCCACCGAATCCCTATTTCACAGTTCCCAACCCGAAGAGTAAGTATTCCTTTGCGGAAGGGGGGAAGAAAAGTGTCGAATGAATATATTGACGAATCAGTCCCTTTCAACGAAGCGCACCTGCATGTCCCAACCGAGCCTACCTCATGGCCACAAGGGAAAAGACTACGTGCTAGTGTCAATAGCTTCGGAATTGGTGGATCAAATGCCCATGTAAGAGTAGTCTAGTATGAGGGAAATGAGGATCACTTTACTCAAATATCGAACAGGCGATTATCGAGGCAGCCACACCCGTCAATCATGAGCCAACCTTGTGTGAAGGCCAGTATCGGATCATTCCGTACTCGGCCAACAGCAAAGACTCTTTGCAACAGTCAATCGATGCCCATGCTCAATACATGGCCCATAATCCTGACCAGGTACACGACGTTGGTCATACCCTAGGTGTCTGTCGAGAAACCCTCAAGTATCGAGCCTACACCCTAAGCGGACCCAATGGTCATCAGAAAGTATCGCACACTTCCCGATTGACGGGTTTAAAAACGAATCTCGCATTTGTGTTTACTGGCCAGGGAGCACAGTGGCCGGGTATGGGCCGGGAATTGATGGCCTTGAAGGCATTTCGTGAAGCCATAGTCACCATGTCACGCACGTTAGAGCAACTTGATGACTGTGAGCCTTGCTCGCTTCTGGGTATGTGGCCTATCTGAAAGTAAATGAAAGTCCGATGGTTAACCAACGACGTAAACAGAAATGATCACGACAGAGCTGACCGCAGCCGAAATGGAAAGTCCCGAATTGTCCCAGCCATTGTGCACCGCACTACAAGTTGGTTTAGTTGAGGTGCTACGTAGTTGGAATATCCATCCAAGCGCAGTGGTCGGCCATTCAAGTGGAGAAATTGCGGCCGCATACACGACCGGCGCTATAACCGCGGAACAGGCTATCAAGATTGCCTACTTCCGTGGCCAAGTATCCAAATTGCCCCAGACTGAAGGAGGCATGGCCGCAGTGGGGCTTAGTCGTGATGTAGTCGCCGACTACCTGGAGGATGGTGTAATAATTGCATGCGAAAATAGTCCAGAAAGTGTCACGATCTCTGGCGATAAGTCTACTGTGGCCCAAGTGCTATCGCGTATATCAGAAGCCTTCCCTAGTGCCTTTTGCCGACCCCTCCGAGTCAAGGTGGCATATCACTCTGGTTAGACTCCCATCCGAACCTCAAGCAAACTCTGACTGACAATAAATAGATCACATGAAAGGGGTTGGCGAAATCTACGAGCAGCTCTTGAACTTTGTGGAAGAACGGAATCCGGCAATTCCATTTTACTCGAGCGTGACTGGAGACATTTTAGAAAGTGGACTAGGCGCTGAGTATTGGCGCCAGAACCTAGAACTGCCGGTATTATTTAGCTCTGCTGCCCGGCGCCTTTTAGACCAGATGCCGAAGAGCGAGGAGACTGTTATGCTAGAGATTGGACCACATGCAGTCCTTTCGGCTCCTTTGAAACAAATCTTTAGCCTCAAGGGAAACAACTCTGCAGTCTATCTGCCTACACTGTCTCGCGGCTCTAATTCTTTAACTAAGACTTACGAGGCCGCCGGGGAGCTGTATCTTCGGGGCCTTCCCATTGACTTCTTATCAATTAATGGCCCCGGGAAGGTTCTCACTAATCTCCCTTTGTATTGCTGGCAGCATGACTCCGATCAACATTGGTGCGAAAGCCGTCTCTCGAAAGGCTGGCGACACCTTGCGTTTCCAAGACATGAGATTCTGGGTTCGCGAATTCTGGAGACTGGTGAACTGGGCTTTGCATGGCGAAATATCCTATCTCTGGGTGATATGAAGTGGTTGCGAGACCACAAGGTATTCGAGGACACTGTTTTCCCTAGCACGGCATATATTGCGGCGGTAGGAGAGGCAATTCGTCAATTGACAGGAAGAGGAGACTACACTATTCGGCGTCTACTGGTCAGGACGCCAATTATTCTGAAACAAGAAACAGCCACGGAAATCATAACCTCATTGAACGTGATACCGTTGACGGAGTTCCACGACTCGGCGTGGTACAGCTTCAGTATCTCCGCATTCAACGGTAATTCCTGGATTAAGCACTGCACAGGCCAAGTGAAAGCGGGAAGCGACCAAAGTCTCGTAGCTGAGACCAAGTCCCATATGCGCGAGGTTTCCTCACAGAAGTGGTACCAAGGTCTGAACAACCTTGGACTTGACTACGGGCCGGCTTTTGAACGCCTGGCTGAGATCAAGGCCGATCCGCTGGCCAACACAGCGTCGGCAAATGTTCCATACTCGGAGGAGCTGCACCAAGCCCACTACTCGCTGCATCCTACGACTGCTGACTGTGCTCTGCAGCTACTATCTGTTGCGGCTTGCCGAGGGCTCCGTCGCAAATTGAATCGATTAGTCGTGCCCGTCAGTATAGATCACGTCTACGTCGATGAAACTGCATCTACGGTCCAGCTTCAGGCCTTTTCCGAGGAACTTGAGAATAAGAAGCTGAAGGGTAGCGTCATAGGAGTCATTGGGGATAATGTAGTATTCGCTTTCAGTGGCTGTGTGTTAGCGCCCCTGACTGGTGAAACCAGCGACATGGACGAAATTGAAACTCTGAATATTTCCTACCTGGAGTGGACTTCTCGCCTGGAGGATATCCCTGCACCGGACCTCATCTACAACACCACACCAGGCACATCTATGATCGTATCTTGTGAAGAACTAGTAGTTCTTTGCATGCTTGAGACATTGCATGAGCTGAACTCTCAACCATTACAACCTCACGCATCATACTTGCAGCAGTATGTTGCGTGGATTCAAAAGCAGGTCCATGTAATGATGAATGGGTCTTACGACCTAGTTCCCAAATCCCAAGAATGGGCCATGCTCGATTCAAAACACAGAAGAGTCTTGATACAGGAACTCATCGACGACCCGGCAAGGTCACGGTGCTCCCCTATAGACGCGCTCGTCGTTCGTGTTTACCGCAAGATTCGGGAGCTCTGCAGTGGCTCCGTTTCCGGGATAGACCTGCTCTACCAAGAAGATGGTTTGAAGAACTTTTATGACGTGATAGCAAGTTTGGATTTATCTCGCCTGTTCTCCACACTTGGGCACGAAAGTCCCTCCCTTCGAGTGCTGGAAATTGGTGCAGGCACGGGGGGTACCACGGCCCTTGCCCTCAATTCCCTAACCATCCGCAATGGACCTCGTTTATACTCGCGATACTGCTATACCGATATATCAATGGGGTTTTTCCCTGCTGCTCGAGAACGTTTCCGCAGGTTTCACGGAATAGATTTTGCGGCCCTAGACATCAGCCAGGATCCATTGGACCAGGGATTCAAAGCGCACGACTTCGATCTAATTATCGCTTCAAATGTGAGCTTCCACAGCCCCTAACAGTCAGACGAGCGAAGAGCTAATAGGATGCCAGGTGCTTCATGCGACCCCGGAGCTTGGCAAGGCTTTACGCCATGTTCGGAAGCTGCTCGCCCCAGGTGGCCGGCTTCTGCTGCAGGAGCTGTGCCCTACGGCTAAATTCATCAATTTTGTCATGGTAGGTTTCTCTCGAGGCTGGTTCTGTTTCCCTGGAGATGGGTGGTATCTGATGCGTTAGTGACAGGGAGTCCTCCCAGGATGGTGGATTGGTGGCCAAGACTCCCGCGAGGAAGAGCCGTTCGTTTCTCCTGAAAGATGGAACACTGAGCTCCAGAACAGTGGATTTACTGGAATTGATAAGTTAGCCTATGATAATGAACCTCCGTATGCTACCAATGCAACGATGCTTGCAACGGTGCGTGACGATGACTCCCAGCCAAGCCCTGTGACTCTCCTGTGTTCTTCTATTGATAACGAACACGTTCGAGCTGTGGAGCAATATTTCACTACACAGGGTCATACTGTCCATCTACGCTCTTTGCAAAGCGTGGCACCTCCTATTGGGGATGTCGTTTCTCTCCTGGATCTTGAAGGCCCATTTTTCGATAATATCTCTGATTCAGACCTGATCGCCTTCCAAAAGTTCGTTTCGGGTTGCAAATCAACCGGGATCTTATGGGTAACAAGGTCAGTGCAGCTCAAGTGTGCAGATCCTCGATTTGGTCTGGTCTTGGGATTGGCTCGCACTATCCGCTCTGAGCTTGCGATCGAAATGGGCACCGTTGAATTGGAATCTTTTGACCAAGCATCTTGGAGGGCATTGGAATTAATCTATCGCAAGTTCCAGGCGAGAGACAAGACGGATGGTACCAACACCGACTTTGAATTCGTACATCAGGACGGGAAAATTCTCACTTCCCGCTACAAACGGTGCACACCAGAAGAAATCCTTGCCCTTCAGTCTAGCAGAGAAGCTTCAAATGCTGTCGGGCTTCGCATTGAGGCGTTTGGCCGTTTGAATAGTCTTGCTTGGGTGTCGCACGACGAACCTGATGATTTGCAAGGCGACCAGGTAGAGATCAATGTTCACAACGCGGGCCTAAATTTCAAGGTAAGTTGATCTACAAACACTTGCATCTGCATGACTGTGTATTTCTGATAAATTGCAGGATCTTTTATGCGCTCAGGGCATCCTAGATGCACGAAAAGACGGGCTAGGCTTAGAAGGTTCTGGCGTCGTGAATAGAGTCGGACCGCACTCTTCTCTTACCCCAGGACAACGAGTCATGTTTATGAGCCCCGGCTCATTTGCCACCCGTATAGTGACCTCGTCGCTGCTTTGTGCCCCTATTCCGGACAGCCTTGAGTTTGCAGATGCAGCCACCATGCCATGTGTGTATGCCACTGCCATCCACTCTCTAATGACCATTGGGCAGCTCAGAAGAGGACAGGTGAGCAGAGTCGATCTTCACTCTTTCTCAACTTTGGAACCTGCACAAGCACTGACAACGAACCACGTAGACCGTTCTGATTCATTCGGCTTGTGGCGGCGTAGGGCTTGCCGCTATTATGATCAGTCGAATGATTGGCGCTGAAGTTTACACGACTGTAGGTAGTGAAACCAAGACTCAGTATCTTCAAGACCGGTTTAGTATCCCGCGCGATCATATCTTTAATTCGCGCGAACCCTCGTTTTACGAGGATGTGATGCGAGAAACTGACGGCCGGGGGGTTGACCTGGTGCTGAACTCACTCTCCGGGGAACTCTTACACGCGTCGTGGAAATGTGTCGCACGATTTGGCAAGATGGTTGAGATTGGGAAACGGGATATTGTCGGCCATGCCAGCTTGAGCCTTGCTCCCATGGTCCAGAGCCGATCATTGATCAGTGTTGACCTGGCGGAAATCCTCGAATACCAGCCTCGAGAATGTCAACGGTGAGTGGGAGAGTCTGTTTACAGAGCAACGGGCTAGACAGTTGCTGACAAGGATAGACTTCTCGAAATGTGTGTGGATTTGGTCCGACGAGGTAGGATTCAACCAATTCGCCCGATTCGCGCATTTGATGCGGCCGAGATCGAGCAGGCGTTCCGCTACATGCAGACCGGCCAACACACTGGTAAAATCGTTGTAAATATGTCCACCAGGCCTGGCCCAACTCGCCAGATGCCGGTCGCAGTCTCGTTCTCGCCAACCCGTGCATATCTGCTGGTCGGGGGCTTAGGTGGAATCGGCCGCGCCGTCTCGCAATGGATGGTGGAACAGGGAGCTCGCAAGCTGGTATATCTTTCCCGTTCGGCCAGCTCAACTACGACGCCCCGTGAAGCCTTGTTTCGAGAGTTACGGGCGCAAGGATGTGAGGTCACTGTGATACAAGGCGATGTATCGGACCTCTGTGATGTGAAACGGGCTGTCCAACAGTGCAATGCCCCTATCGCTGGTATATTCCAGATGTCAATGGCGTTGGAGGTACCGCAATCCCTTCCACCAAGTGCCCTGATAATCTTCTTACTGACCTTCATTCCAAGGATCGGGCGTTCCTGAGTATGAGCCATGTCGAGTGGACCAACGTTCTTCTGCCCAAAGTTCAAGGGAGCTGGAATCTTCATCAAGCCACGCAGGGGGAGCCTTTAGACTTTTTCGTTTCTTTCAGCTCCATCTCCGGGATTCTCGGTCAGCCAGGCCAAGCGAACTATGCCGCTGCCAACACGTTTCTAGATTGCTTTACGAAATACCGGCGATCACTGGGTCTTCCGGCATCCGTCATCGACCTAGGAATCGTCAGTGATATTGGCTATGTCTCGGAAAGTGGTCGAATAACACAGCGGGGACTCGCTGTGTGGGCCGGTCAAACCATCCAAGAGAGAGAGGTGATCGAATCCGTGAAATTGGCGTGCAGCGGCCAGCATGATGTGATAATCGGCTTAGCGCCTGGTGTCGCGACCCCGTTAGCTCGTCTGCCGGGCTTCTTTCAGCGTGACAAACGGATGAGGCTCTTTCACAATGCGCAGGAGGCTCCGCGAGCACGAGGCGATGTGGACAATGGCCTTAGAACATTTTTGGCAGAGGCCTCTCGGGAGCCGAGTGTCCTAGGCCACACTGACAGCTACGCCCTCCTGAGAGACGAATTGGGGCGCAAGATCGTTTCCTTCCTGTTCAAGGCGGATGAAGAGATCGATACAACCAAGTCACTGGTCGACATGGGAATTGACTCTCTGGTAGTTATTGAAATTCGTAATTGGTGGTGTCAGACGTTGGGACTGGAGATCAGCGTGATGGAATTTATGAACGCAGGGAACATCGATGGGTTAGCACATGTCGCTTTGAAAGGGTTAAAAGCTAAGTTTCAGCCAAAGCATACGGATTCAACGCCTTGAGATGGGTTTTGAGGGGAATGTCTCTAGGCATGGCCAGTATTCTTGATGTTGACGGATGGACCCGGTTTTGCTATAAGACCCGAGACCCCAAGCATGATATCATTTTTGGTCGATCTTTGATCACCTTACTTTGTAACTGTCATCTGAAGTTAGTCTTATGGCTTTCACTAATCTGATTTGAGATCAACTACTTCCATAGTAAGCCTCTTTTAGTCCGGCTCGATATTGTCGCGCTGGTCAGTTGCGAATACTCATAAAGCAGCCTATCTCCTTCATCCCTCTCCAGCTGCGCCGCGCCTGTAGGCTCATTAGCACTGACTAGAAGTTCCCTTTCAGCTTAATTCGGTGCCCTACTGGCTGGATACTCTTTCCCAACTCGTTGCCCTACTCCACGGTTAAATTTCCTACTTTTATCTATCTCCGCGCAGTCCTGCTCTATGATCTCAATGTTAAGTTACTATTCGGATGCCTGAGCCCCAGAATACAACTCGAGATCTCCCGAGCCGGAGCTCTCCCAGCCTTCTGCAGTCATAGATTTATATAGTGATGTTCCCCAATGCTGTGTTTACTCCCGAGGAGTTCCCCAACGATTCTGCCAGCCTGGGCGCCCACCCAGCGATGAGCGCTGCGGTAGGTAAGCCGAAAACAATCGACAATCTGATCAACAAGAGATTCAATCCTTTCCTTGTTGTAGTGGTAGCGGTCCGGCTTCCGCGCCAGAGCGGCCATGATACAGACCACCATCGCGGCTGTTTTTGCTCGGGGTGAGGTTGGCCGAGTGTCGTATATTACTTTAAGCACGGTCTTGATTGATCACCTCTCATTCAATATCTAGCTGAGGCAACGAGAATGACCAGAGAACTACTAGGATTATTCATCAATACTCTCGACTAGGGTTGACTCCTATCGTTATCCAGCAGTGGAGCCAACCCTTATCAATCGATATCCGAGCACCAACCAAATTGAATCCAGTCATTTTCGGGAAATCTCACGCCTTCGGAAGATTCCTGATCATATCGCCTAAACAATCAGCCGATATCGCAGCGATCCACAGGGAAAAGACCGGCCAGGCCCAACCCGTAAAAACAATGCATTGAAGAGAGATATACTCATATAAAACAAACCCTAGTCTGATTGATCCCCCCTTCTGCCATGCCGGCAGAAGAACCCCTCTGGCGCAAGATCCTCGAGATCGTCCTAGGGCAATGGTTCCTGATCGGCATCGGCATCGTCATCCTCATTGCCTCGCAAGCACCAGCCCCGACACAAGACCAGGACCTAATTGAAACTGTGATTTCATATCTCTGCGTTACCATAATCTTCTTCATCACGGGATGCACATTGTCGACGCGCGCGTTAATCGAGAACTACAGTCGATGGAAAGTCCACTTGTTCGTGCAGATACAATGCTTCCTCTTCACCTCGGCGTCGGTCTATGCCGTCGTGTCGCTGTGCGCAACGAACCCTGCCTTCATGGATGAGGCTTTGCTGATCGGTCTGCTTCTCATGGGATGTGTTCCGACGACCATCTCCTCCAACGTGGTCATGACGCGCAATGCGCATGGCAACGACGCCCTGACGGTGGTGGAATCCACCATCGGCAATTTCCTGGGGCCCTTCTTAACGCCCCTGCTAATTCAGATGTACTGTCTGCCGAACCCATGGTACACCGATTTTCTTTCCTCCGAGCAGGGTAACTACGCGGCGATCTATGCGCGTATCTTCAAACAGATTGGATTATCAGTCTTCGTGCCTATGGTAAGCACCACATACCACCACGAAACCTTCATAAAAAACCCCCCCAAAACCCCCCCCAAAAAGCAAGCAAGAAACACCACCAATATTAACAAGGAAAACCAGTTCATCGGCCAAATCCTCCAACACCTCTTCCCCAAAGCAGTCCGGAAGGTCTTCACCACCTGGAAACTCAGCAAACTAAGCTCCGTCTGCCTGCTGCTCGTCGTCTGGCAAGCCTACGACGCAGCCTTCAGCTCGGAGGTATTCACCTCCGTCAAATCCTCGAACATCATCTTCGTCGTCTTCATCTCCATCGCCATGTTCCTCGTCTGGCTGACCGTCTCCGTCTCGGTGTCCGTCCTCTGGCTCTCGCGGGAAGACACCGTCGCTGTGGCGTACTGCGTCCCAGCCAAGACGCCCGCCATGGGCGTTCCGTTGGCGAATCTGATCTTCAAGGGTCTGGATGTGTCGCAGAAGGCCAAGATTCAGCTGCCCATGGTTATCTTCCAGGGGTTGCAGATTGCTTTGGGGTCGCTTTTGGTGCCTGTTTTTCGGCGCTGGTTGCTCAAGAAGGTGTATCCGGATCATGGAGGTGAGTGTGGTTCTTTGGTTACGGTGGAAACGCAGGAGAGGTCGAGGGAGGAGACTAAGGGTGAGTGTGATGGGCAGGGGAAATGAACTGTAAGCCAGGGAGACGCAGTTACTGGGTTTGCATGTTGGGTTTGGGCCTGGGCTGATGTTATGATGTTATGAGCTGTTTGTGAATCGGTAGACTTGTATATACCTTCTGCATCTGTTGCTAGACTTCAAACCTTGCATATTGTTGGCATTGTTGAGTATATACGCCATGATGTATTGAAGCCATTGCACTCATTCAACTTCGTTTCGATGTTTAATGCAAATTACTCGCCGATCGTTCTGATAACTGCATTAATTTCTCTATACAACTAAACACTCGCCAAAGCCTGCTAAGCGCATACATATATACAACACAACCTGTACTCGCATCGATGCTACCTACATTACGACAGCTCAAGACGCAGTGCGTCGTACTGGACATACACCGTCCCCGGAAGGATCGCCGTCTCGTAGTCCGTGGCATCGCGGGGGAGGTGCAAGGTGAGCACATTGCTCCCCACGTTCAGCCAGTCGGCGGGGAATTCCATGCGCGAGCGCACCTGGTAGCAGCTGACAGCAGAGCGGACGATGCAGCTGCTGGACTGGTTGAAACCGACCAGCAAAGTCAGTGGCTCCTGCTGGTCGTTGATGTAGCTCTCCAACGCCAGATTCGCGTAGGGCTCCGTCGCGTTGTACACGTCCGTATTGCCAGCTGCGGTCTTAGCGCCGGCCAGCTGGATCGTCAGCGTGGCTGTCTTGCGTTTCTGCAGCTGCTTCTTGTCCAAGGAGAAGTTAATCGTCCAGTCGTGGGTGGTGTCATATTCGACGTCCGGGTTTTCAGGCGTCGGGCCGAACACCGACCAATGCACGGTGTTGAAATCGACGGCAGGGTCGCTGCTGCCGATGGTATAGTTGACGCCGTTGGGGAAGTCCTGCTGCCAGTCATACGCCCCCCAGTAGATAAGGTGCTGCGGAGGATGCAGTGGGTGTGTGGGGTCTGGGGCGACGCCGTGGAGGAATTCTCCCGAGGACTTGTCCGGGGTTCCCAGTCGCCAGACCTCAACACCCGCCGACTCCTGTTCCCAAGTCTCCTGCACCTTGGCTGCCTTGCCGGCTTGCACCTCGATGCCATCTTGCACGAAGTCGCCGAAGATGCCGTCGGCAAACACGGTCAAGCGGTATTTACCCTCCTTGACGTGGTCCAGTTGGAACGATCCGTCTTGGCCCATCTCGGCCCAGTATTGGTGCGACGAAGCCTCCACCGAGTTGTCTTGGAAGTATTGTCCGTCTACTGTGAGAATCGCGATGGGTCGTTTGGAACCCTTGGGCAGCTTGACCTGTCCGTGTACGCTGCCGCGCTTGCTGGAGGGAGCATACCCTACCACGTGCTTGGCGATGGAGTCGTAGAAGTCAGCGTTCCATCCGGGGTCGGCTAGGGACTCAGCCTCCGATCGCAAATCGTCCAGGGACGACGCAGAGCCCTTTCCACCGTTGAAGAGGAAGTACTGGGGGCCGAAGGTGCGGTCGAAGCCATCGGTGATGTTTGGCGTGCCTTCTCCGTGGTGGTTCGACACGAGATAGTTGTACACGATTCCGTCGACGGTTAGGTCTGAGTGGAGGGGGCCCTAAGCTGGTCAGCGGCGTGTTTAACAATCTGCAATATTTATTCTGACATACACCGTAGTAAGTGTCCTTGGTGTTCATGACGAGCCACGCTCCGTACGTGGTGCCGTTCGAGTTGGTCCCATCGGCATATAAACCGTGAACACTGCTGTCTCTCCACACTATTGCCAATTAGCCCATGCAGCAGATCACGATGTCTCAAAGAGGCCCATACAGTTCGAGAAGGTATACTTGGTGAAATACTCGGAGAACTGAGTGTAGTACGCATCGTCCGGGGTATTGTTGAAGCGCCAGGTTGCATCTTGCACGACGACCTGTTCCTCGATGGCTTCCTTGCTGGGGAGGGGGGCCGTCTGAGCCTCGCTGGATGTCAGGTGTGTCCAGAGCTCAGTGTTCGGGCGGAAGAGAGTTCGGAATTCTTGCAAGTTGCGCAAAAACGGTGTCGTCTCGTTGTAGTACGCCAAGCGGCTGAATGTATGCAAGCCCGTCTCGCCGTCTCGGAGGAACCAGTATTGCTGGAACTGCTGCCCTGTCGGCGTGTATGTGTCGTTGAGGATTACACCGGCATATTGTGTGCCGGTCGAATCAACTCCCTGGACTACCTCCATCCGGGGGTTGGTGCTGCCCGCCGTGTAGAAGCCGGAGGGTGTACAGTAGCAATCCAGATATGGACCAACACCGGTGCTACCCGATATAGGTCCAAGGAGATCCTGGCCATCGAGGAAGAGCTCCGAGACGTGGCCCTTCTCTTTGGCAAAGGTGGATGTCAACCGGTCATTAGTCAGGGTGATTGTACTGTTGTCCTCCGTGACCGTCAGCGCGGCGGATGCAACAGAGGCGCAGGCAGACGCCACGCCTAGGGAAGTGCGAAGACGCATATTGTGACCGTCAACGTCTAGTAGCAGTCCGCTGGACAATCCACGCTACACAACGCTCTCTCCATCTCGGAAGGGGTGCGCTCCGGCATTTATAACTAGCACAGAACCTTCGCCGGGTTCCCTCGCCGGCGGTTATTATCCCGAGACAAGCTAGTTTAGATGAAGAAGGCATGGTGTCGCTCCGACCAGGGGCACGAAGCTTGACCAAACTCACGGCCATGTGGACCGTCTCCATTGCGGAGCCCCGGACAAGCACCAGTCAATAGTGCCACTCAGTCTGGGGCACGAATGCGGGGAGTCCAAAAGGCACTAGTTGCCAGCGTCGGATTGATGGAAAAACTGCCTCGGACCACATTCACCCGAGCACGTTAAATGAAGCTGGACGGGGCAATTTTCCACAGCTACCACACTTTAATTATTGCAGTACCTACTGCAAGTTGAAACTATCCCTCTCCGCATGATTGAATTGGGCGTTCATTAGGTGATAATAACCATGAATATTCATGGATGAAGGAACGTGAAGCTTCATGGACCAGTGAAGGAGAATGGCTTAGACAGATATATAACGGGACTACTTTTCTGAAGCTCTTGATCTGTAGCCATCGTATTCGACTGTATTTCAGAGAGTTGGATGCAAGACTATGACAGTCCACTCCCAGACATGCTTCCAGATACAGGCAGTGGATAACAAACACATATATTACCCCATTGTGGGTCCAGTGCTAACTGCTGTTTTACTCGGCTTTATTTTATCGCATAGAATTTGATACATAAGACCAAAGAACAAGTGTGTATACACTTTCTTAGTCTAAATATACCTTCTGTGACTAACTATTATAGATCTTATCTAGATACGGTTCGCACGTAGGCACACTCAAGTCACAATCCTTGGCTGAGTTGGAATCCGCACTTGAAATCCAAGCCATCGTAAGATTATCTCTAACTAGAGTTATGATACATACTTACAGATAAATTGTATAGCGTTTCCCCTTGGTATAGCATTTACCACGCCATGTTTGCTCATGTATCCAAAGACACAATCGCACACTGATGAAGTGCGGTTCCTGCAGACAGTAACGTGGAGATCCTGAACGCAGGTAAAACACATGCAGTATACCATGTTATGGGTCATAAAGGATTAGCTATGCTAACACACGGAAGATTACGCGAATCAGAACGGGGAATAGACTGGCTATCGGCACCGTCAAGTAAGGAACAGAAGGGCCGGAAGTAAGGGGTTAAAATTGGTGGTATGTTAAAACCAAGATTGAAAAGAACCTGAATACATTAGCTGATTCATGATCGATGATATCTTGGCATTTTGATATTCTGTAGAGTTGTCGATGCAATGAGCCTCACTGAGATGGTCTCTCTCTATGCATTGAGGCGTACATGCTTTAACCATGGCTTCCGTGAGTGGGCTATACGGAAGAAAGTGATACGAGGCCTATTAACTTCAACTACCAAGTCTTGATCTAGCGAAGGAGTCGGCGTATGCCAAGTGTATGCCTTCGCTAGATGATGGCCAACAGTGTACTATGAGGTAGATATCGGTCGAATTCGTGACTGGAGGAGACTGCCTCTTCGATACGCTGGCATGAAACGCATCCAGCAGCAGACCTGCCTTCAGTCGCACCGTTTCAGAGAATGATGGAATTGTCGAAATGACTCTTTGAAACCCTCATCGGGCAGATCCTCCATGTCGTTAGTAATCTTCAGCTGATTGTGGGTCTATAGCGGAATGAACTAATGGAGACGGAGCACAGGGATGATCAGCTTTGGGTTACTTCAAGCGGGGATAAAAGTCTAGATCCTTTGCCTAGGTGCCCGATCGAATGAAAGGGATCGCTGTCTCTTCAGAATGTCTGGCTGCTCGTGCACTCTTCTATCGTGGTAGTTTGATCGGTAACAGGAAAGCACAAATTACTACTTAAATCACTACAATCAGGTACCACATTTGACCCACGGAGTCATGTCCAACGCGATCTCTCATGCCCCACCTCGATTATGTATAACCTCAGTCAACAGGGATATAAAGGCCAACACCTGGGCGCTAGTGGGACCAATGGTTCTTGCTCAACCACGCTAAACCTGTAGGTCGCTGCAAGCGGTCAATAGTTCTTGACAACGAAGCAAGGGCCCTAATATGCTGTGCTGGTACTCCGTACATAGATCTGCCTTTCCCTCGAGGAGCAGATTCCCGAGAGCTTTGGTATCTGTGAACCGGTAGTCGCGAAACCCTATCTTGATATTTGCCTTGGCAGTTGGTGGCATTCAAATGCGACCTGATATCATAACTCGGAAGTATCTTCTGTCCATCTTAGAAAAATGTCGCACATCACTTCAGCCCCCGATGCAATGGTGGAAAAAGCAGAGAAAAGTAACTCAGAAGCATCCGTACCTCTCGAGGGTGTATCCCCAGCGGTCCCTATCCAGCGGACTGAAAACCTCTCCAGCTACGGAGACCCACGTAAATGGCCCATTTGGAAGAAAAATGTCCAAATCCTAATGGTCGCTTTTCATTCGATGGTGGCGACCTTTATGGCTGCGGGAATCATCCCAGCATTTGACGCTATGGCTGAAGCGTACGGCGTGACCGTGCCAGAGGCAAGCTATCTAACATCGATACAAGTCTGTTTTCCTTTGCCACCACATGCACATCGAAAATTGAGACCGAAACGCTGATGGATGCCGCGATAGATCCTGGTGTTGGGGCTCACGCCGTTCCTGTGGAAACCGATTACCTGCGTCTACGGTCGATACCACGTGTTGCTGGTCTCCGTTCTCGGTAGTCTGGTCTGCAACATTGGTGGAGCTCGGTGCACAACGTATGGAGCACAGATGACGACACGGGTTCTCACTGCCATACTCATTTCACCGCCGATTGGCATTGGGAGCGGTGTCATCACCGAGCTCTGTGAGCCTGAAGAAAGAGCCCAGAAGCTGGGGTGGTGGACATTGATGACCACGCTTGGAACCCCGGGGGGCCCGTTTATCATGGGCTTCGTCGCGAAGCATATCGCTTTGAGTGGATTTACTGGATATACGCCATACTCAACTTCGCGCAGTTCCTCGCTTACCTCCTCCTGGGCGAGGAAACGATATATGCCCCTGCGGACGCCGGTAGTGGCAAGGGTGGCCCGACGAGCAAGCTTATCCCCCGTCGAATCGACCCGCGCCCTCTGAAACCTTGCGAGTTCATAGAGTCGATCTTCTTGTACCGGTATCCGCGAATCCTGATTCCTACGGTTGCTCAGTGCGTTGTCTTTTGCTATGCAAATACGGCCATCATCGTTGAAATGCCCATTGCCTTTGGCCAGAAGTTTCATTTCGACGCTCAGCAGATCGGACTGCAGTATATTGCAGTGATTATAGGAAGTCTCGTCGGGGAACAAGTCAGCGGGCCTATGTCAGACTGGTTCATGAAAGCACTGAGTAAGAGAAGAGGACACTTCCAACCGGCCGATCGCTTATGGCTTTCGTACATTGGGTTCGCAACCGTCATTGCGGGACTCTTGACATGGGGATTTCAACTGGATAATGCCACATCGTGGAACGTCACTCCCTGCATAGGTGCGGCTATTGCGAGTTTTGGTAATCAGATCCTGACTACTATTCTCATCTCATTCGCGGTGGATTGCTACAAAGATCAATCCACCGACATCGGTGTGTTTGTCAACTTCGTCCGCCATATTTATGGATTTGTAAGACATATTCAAGCCCTTCACAATCTGTCACCCATGAAGCTAATTTCGAACCCTAGATCGGTCCGTTCTATTTCCCTCCCATGTTTAAAACATTGCACCTGGGTGGCGCTGCGGGAGTCATGTGTGCGATCATTGGCATGTGTGCTTTGGCCCCTATCGTGGCGATGCATGTTGTTGCCAGTCGTGGAAGTTAATGATGGATGGGTATCAACGAACTGTACTGCACGGTCCAGCAATGATTCGCAATAGCAAGAACCTAGACGCAAGAGAGAACATCAAAGATGCATCAGGATGCATACCCCGGGCGTAAGCATGCTTCTATCGTAGAGAAGATGAGCAATGTGATATGCTTCCTGATACAGTTCCCTGATCTTTTTGACATAACATAGAGGATCTTGACCCCTGCATCAGTGTAAGCTACTCGGCACGCTGTTCAGCCATGACATGTCTTGGAAGTCCGGCCAATCAAAGCCTTCCATGAACATAGCATTCATGCCCTCTCCAAGAGACATGTCATTGACCGCATTGGATGCGGTACTCTGTTCCTGATCACTGGCGGGTTGTTCATGGAATAGAGGCCGTTCTGATACCACCCTCTCATAGAGAATTTCTAGAGCCGCTACACATCGACGTGCAGATGTGCTGTAACTCTGGTACTTGCGAAGAATTTCCAAAGCACAGTTCCAAGACCTTGTAATTGCACCTTCAGTCACTTCATCTAGGACTGTGGGACAAAGGTAACCTGCGATTAAGACCGTGGCAGCCGTGTATACATCTATTTCTTGTTAGTCTGTGCCGAGCGTCGAACATCTGCCATTATGCTAACTCACAGAGGATGTTATACCACCAAGCTGGAAGGGGCCCCGAAGACCCGTCCGCAGGGATGTTTCCATATATCAGTTCGATTACTTCTTGAGCCACCTTGACGCATATAGCTGAACACTGCCACGCGATTCGTTGGGGAAATGAATCGCTGGGGGAAACAAGAGAATCGGGGACTGCGATGTCGCGAGCTGCACAGTACCTGGACAATATCGGGCGAAACAGAAGCATACGGACATGTAGAAATCTACCAAACGAGAAGTGAGTGACTAGTTCTCACTATACCGTATGGGCTTAGGTACTAAAGGATTGACATGGGGCGGCCATACCTCGCTCTCAGAACCACACTCTGGTGGTAGAAGACCACGTCCGTAGAGCCCGCAGGCGAGTTTCCCCGTAAATGTGACGGAAGGCTTTGGCTCCACTTGGATAGAGCTCGGTCAAGTTCAAAGATCGTTCGCTCGCCCTGACTAGTCTCCTTATTGAAATACAAGTCATACATGTCCTCTGGACTCTCTTCGGGGACAGGTTTATATAAACTCAGTAAGATATCGTTCATGATTTCATACAACTCAAGTGACTTGGCATAGAATGCCATCACAGATGGCTGATCTGCTGGTTGTGTAGCTTCGATGCCGGAAGCGGTCGGAATATACTCCTCATCCACTGTGGCGGGCAAGGGTACCGATTCACAGGACGCTTTCGATATCATTGCGGGTCGTCCGAACGTCATGGAGATCACTCTACTCAATGTTAGGCACTGCAGATCCAATTAATAAAGCCCACCATACCTATCCATCAGCACACATCCGTGCCATATTTTGCGTGCGAGCTGCTGTTCCTGTGGGCTCGGCAGCCGGGCAATAGTTTGCGGAAGATGTAGACCTAAGCTTTGGGCATTCCGTATGGCCAGGCCAGTAACGATCCAACACTGGTGGGCCGAATCAGTGCTTTGCAGGTACTGCGCCATCAAAAGTAGACATTGAATGAGGGCAGCAGACCCTGTGTCCCAAAGGTTGAACTGGAGAAGATCCTTCGCGCGCGAAAAAAATGCGTCTGCGGATGCCTCTCGCTCCTCTGGGGGGATGAAGTCAGCCAGCTGGCAGGCGAGAGCAAATATGACGTTAAGTGTACACATGAGCATCGATTCGTCATTTTCGAGTGGTTCACCCGTCCAGACCTTCTCATATTCAGCCCTCAACCGGATACCATCCACAAGGGGATAGAGGGGAAAGACGAAAGACCAATAAACTCCCATTAGGCTATCTGCCGTCTTTCTCGGTGGCAAGACATAGTTCTGAACATTAAAACGTCTTTCCGATGTCGTACTCATGAGCCCTGGAGCATGAGATACTCCTAAAATGGTGTCTGATGTTCGCCGGCGGGGTGAGGTGACTCTTTTGTCGACGGCCATCTTGATCTGATGCATGAAGCTGGCGGCACTAGAGCTGCCAAAGAAGCCTTGCGTCGGGCGCTCTTCTTCAACCGCACCCATCATTGCATTCACGCCGTCCGCTCGTTGACGCGTCTGAGCCAGCCCGGATACGTAGCCAGCATTTCTTCCGGAAGGGCTTCGATACGCACTAGCAGACGGGGAGTTGTCACCTGCATTGGTATTGGCAGGGATACCACTTGATAACCTGTGACAATTATCCGGACCTAAGGATGATGGAGTGAACCGAGTAGCTACAGGCACGCCAGATGACGAGGCCGGGCTATATGACAAGGTGGGCTCCTATGAAACTAGTCAGGCCACCACCAATGGATACTCGCCCGCTCAGAACCGTGCTTGTAGGGTGCACATTTGCTTACTTGAACGTGGTCTGAGCTCCCATTTCCCACACCCGTTGATGCCCGTGCCGGAGTACGACGCGGCCGTCCAAAAGCCCTGAGACGACTCTCCAAGGTAGTAATATAGCTTCATCGCAGGACGTGTTAGCCTTCAATCCACCACAATTCAGATGCAATCCCCACATGATGAGAGTCGCCTACAAGTATCGTCTGGACTTACCTTTTTACATCAAGCTTTTGCATTCCAGTGTAAACACACTGCACCCCCGCATCTGCCTTTTTTGTACATGGTCCACACACTACGGGAAAGAGGAGATCAGAATTCAAATCCGGTATCAATCCCAGTACGATTCAAGGGATTCGTGGTGGGGGATATTGCTCGAGCATAAACATACCGGGTTGTGCGCCGTCGCACCGGATCTTCCGGGCACGGCATTCATCGCAAGCCACAGCTATTTTGCGCCGCTTGCTCGGACGGTCGGCGTCTTTTCCCGTGCTCGGAGGTCTTCCAGTAGTCGAATTATCCATCATGCTGGGGTATTGAACACGCCGAGCCGAGCACTCGTGGAAGAAAGGGTGAGTGTGGAGAGGAAGTGCACCCGAGGAGCGGGACACGTTCGGATGTGGTTCCGAGAGCGGCCTGAGGCAACTGCCGAAAGAGAGATTCTCTAACGGAGCCAAGTCCGATGCAACGACTCTATACACAGTATATCGCAATGCACATTGAAGGGAGTGGGCTATTTTACGCAAAAGATCTACAGCAACGATGCACAGGCCAGGATAACCAATTCAAGATAATGACAGTTTGATTAGATTGCAATTATTGACAAGAGGGCGACTCTAGCATGGACATGCAGTCACAAACATAAACTTTCTAGAGTGTACATAATGAGCGAAGCGAATACAAGATCTCAAATCATCTGTGCACAAAAGGCGAAAGCACTAAGGAGCATTCGGCGGCAAAGGATTTAAAGCAAGCCATTGCTGAGAAGGCAAGGAAGCTGGATGTTGATGGGGATGAGGCCCGACTGCTATACATTAGTATCTCGACCATGAGGATATCGTTGGCGTCGCTTACCTGGACATTGTTGTTCACAGCATTCTTCTGACAGCAACCGATGTTGGTCTTGCATTCTCCGCCGACATTAAGGCCTGCGTGACTGGTTAATCATGTTGAGCATGGGATATTGGTTGCGGAAAACTTTACCCTTGCAAGCGCCACGGGTGCCCCCAACCAGACTGAGGTCATTGAGAAGGTGCTGAAGGCCGCCACCAAGTAGGCCGCCCAAGAGGCCTTCAGATTCCTGGCCAGACAGGCTCGTCGTCTGCGAGGGGTCCACCGAGTCGCAGCACACGGTTTCATGTTGGTTGTTGCTGCAGGTCTGTGCGAATTGATTCTTCTTCTGGATCTGCTGGGTCTGAACCACCGTCGGGGAGTTACCGCTGCCGGCAACAGCACCAGGAACACCAGCAGGAGTAGCAGCACCAGGAGCGGCCATGGCGGCGGTGGCGAAGAGAGCAGCGACAGCGAAGAACTTCATTTTGATGATTGGTTGGGTTGGTTGGATGGTTTAGAACAAGTGATTGTATAGGGGTGAGAGTTAAGGAGTGACGCTTTACTTGAGTAGCTGATTGTGTTCGTGATGAAGAACGATTTGGGGAGGGATCCCAGGTCCCTTTTATAACTTTCTGGAACGAGGGCTAGACAGATGCTTCCTTCTGCTTCAAGCACCTGTAGTCATGAATATCCCAGAGTTGATGTGGCTGACTCCATCTCATTTCGCTCGGAAGCCCTTGCATAACCATCAGGGGTCTGGCTGGCGATTGAGTGGAGTATTGCCGATTGGCGTTTAGGATTGATTCAGGGGGTGGATGGAGTTCTATAGCCTCAGCCTCCACTCACATAATTTTAGTTCTGCATATGCAGGAAGCCAATATCCGGATGGACCCTTCTTACGCCGCATAGGGCCTCGCAGAAACTCTGTGGGGGCTGGCAAACCTTGGATTACCTGTGAGGAAACCGCCCAGGAGTGAAATGTGATAGATCAGTTCTACACTTCTACTACTGTTGATTCTCCCCAGACACGAACATGCCCAGAGCTAAAACCTTCACTGGGTACAAAGTACGCGAAAATCACCTAGGGATACCCTCTTGTGCCAATAACATGACTGCCTTCTACACGAGCTATTTGAAGCTTTTCTGCGGTAAGGTATCGTCGACTAGAAACTCAAGTCCAGACCCCGTGGCTCCTACACTTTCGACCGCAGTCTGGGGAAAACCATATCGCTAATCCTAAACACGATTTCAGTCAACTTGTAGCTAATGTCTTAGACTAATACTGTAGCTTTGTTATGGGATCAATAGGGTTTGTTGGGGAGAACTTCTTCATTTCACTACGCCACTCGTATGTCGAAATTCCGGCTATGAACGCCCGCCTTTTCATGATCCTGATAGAGGATACTACATAAAGCATCGATTGAATCCTGATACAGCTGGATCTAGACTTGCATTGCTTTAGCACTCGTCGTTCGGGGCCTATCCTCGACCCAGTAGATTCCCTAGCAATCCCGAGGCCCAGCTGGATGTCTATCTAGTTCATTATACTTTATTGATGTCTCAGTGCCACACTAGCCGAAAGTTTCCTACACCCAGTTGAATAGCTATTATCAGATGGAGTGCTTGATACGATAGCCTGATACACAGTAGGCTGTTTCTTTCTTATATGTGTGTAATCTAAGATTGCCAGCCTCCAGTCAATCTCCTGCGTAGGTTGTAAGTTTTTAACGACCGTGCAAAGTGCCCACTGTCTTGTACATTATTTTTTGTTCGAGGGCAGGATAAGCTACAGGAAAGCTAGGTGGTAGCGTGCTTGTAACTGTAGAAAATTGATGCTAGCAAGGTAGGTATCGAACACACTTGGCTCAACGTAAGAATGAGATTACTCCGTCTCTTTGAGCTTTCCTCAAATCTATACGTAAGTTTTAAGTTAGCAATAGCATATATACCTGCTCAAATGATAATTTGGTACATACGACCATAGGGTGTGGAGAACAGGGCTTCCCGTCCGCTCAGCCGTACTTAAGCCACACGCCGGGAGGTTAGTAGTTGGGTGGGTGACCACCAGCGAATCCCTCCTGTTGTATGTTTTTGCATTTTTTTGTAGGTTCCTCGAACAGAGGTGACCTTCTGCCAGCTTAGTATTATTACACTGGAGACAAAGATCCTGATACAGGTGCCGAAGCATGAAAGTTGGTTGAGCTCCAAGTCGGACCGAGGTCTCCGTATGACCCGTTGGAGTATACCTGTCTAGCCTACATGATGTGTAGCTTGATAGATAGACAGATCCACTGGTTATTCCAGAGATATATATTTTCAATCCTCCTATAAATGCAGTTCATATGGTATATCTCTCATATTTGGCATACTTGGATCTTCTTATCTTTATTCGTTTGTATATCGAGACTCTATTAGTATAGCAGTTATTTCTTCATGCCATATATCTACGTCTCCGACATATGCAGCCACTGTAAACTAGTATGCGGAATATATCTAGATATGATGGTAGGTTGATAGACACCCCTGTACCTAAATATATATATGAGAATTAGATCGATATATACTAAACGCATACCAACGCTCACTCAAACGAAACACTCAGGTTACTCTCCGGTACAAACACTTTATTATATATATACTCTGGCCTCATCCATTCTGATATAATACTATCTAGCATCACAAAGCTCCTTGTTTCCATCTTTAGTTTCTGTGTAGGCCCTGGCCGTCACGCTCGGATACGACCCGTGAGTCACCTTCCAAATAGGGCGCGTTTACAACTGCTTAAAGTCTAGTTACATCTTATCTAGCATAATCTATACACGTCGTAGAGATAAATCTATATGATCCGTACATCCGATTAGTAGAGATCATCCCGTATAGGTAACAAAGTGACAGCGAAGACCCGCCTTCAGACGTTTGTCCGAATAGCCGGAAGAGCTACCAAACCCATCCTACGTCTCCGAGAACAGTGCAGATTTCTACGCTGTTTATGATCTTAAGATCCACGGTAATTGAAGATACTCGAATTTGGAATAACCATGGTCACCTGAGCTGCCTTGGGAATAAGGGGGAGGGGCGCAAAAGACGATAAAAAATTTGCTGACCTGGCATTCAAAAGTGACATATGATACGTCTACCAATAGTAGATGTAGCCCCTATACAACGCATAGCGATGTCGATATATTGAAGAAGGGAAGATATAATATGTTTCCGCACTATTCTTGCTCATTACTCAGAAATGTAACACAAGGGGATGGCCTATTAGACCATAGTAACAAGGGGCTCACTGCTATTGCTCTTTTAGGAACATTGTCGTCCAATGTGTAACGAGTCTGAAAGCGCTACTCATGATCAAAGATAGATCTCATCAGGTGATCAAGCCACAGCCCTAAACTACCAGAAGATGTATCAGAAACCTTCATCCCCAAATAGCAACGATGAGACCCAGCCCCTAAGAGCAGAAGCGCCATAGATCAGGATTGTATCTGCATTGTTGGCCTAGAATCTCCACACGAAGCTTTCCCCAAAGCCGTACGGGTGGTAGTCTGGCCCACCCAATTTCCTGCAACTTTCCGTAGTCACGACTCAAAGGTCCACTGCCCTCAAAAGGCAGTGAAGCGGTCGATCGATTGGGCTACTTTGGATGAGGGAAATACTGTTCAGGGCTGTTGATGTGCTGTGTCGTGTCCAAGTAGTTCGGTTAGTTCAACGTTCTTTCGTGCAATAGTATTATAGGCCCGAGCATTACAGGAGAAAAGTGAACCTCACACTTTGGGTGACTACGGTGGAGTCTACTGAGGAAACCCGGATCTTGGGGCGTTAAAAAAAAAAAAAGGAAAAAGAAAAACTAAAAAATCAGGTTGGGGGAAGTGAGGGATGTTAACGAACCGCCCCTTGCATATCGGCTATTGAGCGGTGGTTCCTGCGTGCGAGAAGGCTGCATTGAAAATCCAAAGGCCGAAGACATGGTGATGTACATTTGTTTACTTTTATTTATTCACGGTATTCAATTTTTATTTGTTCTTATTTTGAAAATTTTCTCCAAACAATAATTGGAAACCACTTGCGCTGCAATTCTACCGTGTATTGATATCTAGCCTGCAATATGTCAACCCCAACTCCGGTGAAAGGACAACATGAACCATGGAATATGTATGAGGTACGATATCAACCCGAGATGCGATTCAAAAATAATACGTCACCAGCTGAAAGACTCCTCGATGTACCGGACCCCTTGATAACCTTGCCGCATTGTTTGGTACACCGCAGTTCTAACTTCGTCAGCCATAGCAGGGGGACCGCACATCAACACCGCAGCCGAGCAATCACTGAGTTGCGCTTCATGAGCGTGGCCTAGAACAAGGGCTTGCAGATCGGGTCGCCCATGGCCAACCTCGATAGTCTTCCCCAAAAGCTCTTCGCACAGTGTTGAGCATTCGTCTGAGCCCCGCGCTGCAGTGGCTGAGGTCACGTAAAACGACGCCCGGAAATCATCTCGAGCGAGGGCTGAACTTAGCTCTCGAGTGGCGACTTCTCGGACGAATGCCTCCTGTCGACTGGTCCAGACCAGGTGAATATTTCGGATGCGCGTCGGGCTTTCCGCTTCATCTGTGGCACACCTTGCGAGATGGTCTTGGATATAGGGTACCGCTGCGGCGATGCCTGTTCCACCTGCGATCAATAGGACTGATTCGTATTTCCACAGGGGGAACTCTTCCCCGTAGGGGCCTTCCAAAAGGATTGTCGTATCCAATGTCCGACCGTGGGATTTTATGCACTGTTGTCGGAGATGGCGCGTCCAGCCGTCGAAAGGTCTGATCCAGAAGACCAGTCGCAGCCTCTGGGGCTCTTCGAGCGATGGCGAATCTTCTGGGGGAGTTCGTGAGCCGGACGAGCTGTCGGAGAGTAGAGGGACCTGTGTCACATCTACGGTGTCGTCGCCCTTCGCAAGTGAAGGTGTTGGTGTTTGGGATGTGGGAAGCCCTGTTTCGTATGACCATGACCCAAGAGTAAACGGGTGGTTTTCCCAGCCTGTAAGTCGGAATGGCTGGTAAAGATAATAGTATTGCCCCGGTGTAGGCTGGAGTCGACTTGATCCGGGAATGACCTCGAGTCGAATGACATCGGAGGCCTTGTCATAGGTTGCTGAGCTGCGCGTATACTGGATGCTTTTCCCAACATTGGTGCGAACATGCAGGTTATAGTAGACTAGTCGGACCACGCGCAGCAGTCTGTCCGCGGCCCAAAAGCCGACAGCAGGCCATAGCCATATCCAATACTCATGGCCTTCAAAAATGATGGTATGGCTGCCACATATATTTGTCAGAATGGGCAATGGGAGCAACGGAAAGTAGAATGACATACTAGAAGCAACCGACTAACGCTGCGATCGAGAGGAGAATGTGTATAACGAGGAATGTCTCGTAGGTCCTTCGCCGGAACCATTCGATGGCGAAGGGACACAACAAAATCATTGCAACCATGCCCTATGGCAACATTAGCTTCGTGATCCGGGTCTTTGCAACGATGCACCTACTATTGTTCCCCAGATGAGGTACGGCTTCCGAACAAGCTTCTTCCACGGATTACCATCTATACCCATGATTTAGCGGATGAAGTAAAACACTGTCATAATCAGTGACTCACTTTGAATAAACAAAACCACATAGAGCAGTGTGTGAACCACCGCCTGGATGGTTGCGATCCAGGCAATATGCCGGTGAAACAGGTTGAATGTGGCGAAGCTCCAACCCGTCGCCCAGATGAAGACATTATTACGACCAGCAAAAAGCCAGATGAGAGGAATATTGGCGAATGAAAGGATTCCGGTTCGGTCCGCAATATAGCGTAGAAGTTGGGCGGAGATTTGAGGCCAGCTTCATTAACTGTTAGTATGGCCTTGGGCAGAATATTCTGGTCAACGCACTATATATTCTCGGAAAAGAGCCGGTAGCTCACACAGGATAAGACAGAGCTGAGTACCCAAAAAAGAACAACAATGATTGCTTCTATGCGAGTGGGAAATGTCCACCAGAGTAGATATCGACCGCCCGATGGCAAAGGACTGGAAGTAATGATATAGGTCTGTATCCAGTGGTATAGGGTGACCAAGGGTGTATATAGGAAGCGCGAGAGTACGGATCGGTTGCCATTTACGCGAATGCGCTTCGACAGCAGTAGATGTTGACTTAATCGATGAAAGACTCCGATCGAGAGAATGAGTGCCCAGAAGAGATATCCGGCAAGACTGTTGGTGTTCAGTTAGCTCCGGTGGGGATTCAGACGAGAGGACTATTTCCTACCCATAGGCGGAATGGGTCCAGACTTCAAACTCCCAAGTATCCTGTCAAGCTGCGGTATTAGTTCGAGATTCGTGACGTTGCTGCGGAGAAACCTACGATTGTTCGGAATGTGCGATTATAAAACGATGCCGAGAGAAGAACCGGGTAATCAACTGGCTCCGACCGAGGAATTTCATCATAGTCAACTCTCCTCATTTGATTGATAGCATCGTCGGTCAAATTGGCGGCCAGAGCGTCGCGTGGGATCAAATCAACATTGCCGAACTGTAGACAGGAGGATTGGAGCTGGGCGAAACCTGCCGTTCGCTCGGATGGATCGCAGTATACATCAGCAGCAGCGTAGATGGAGGTAACCGTCCACGGATTTTGACATCGGGATCCCCAGAATCCCCGTGCGACTTCGGGGGGTGTGGCAAACGGAATATATCCACACGCTGTGTACACCGCCGTCACACAACGCTCGTTGACAGGAGAGACCTTGCTGTAGGCGAGCGCCGTATGCAGTACCAACAACAGCCAGACTTGGAGTAGCATGGCTATGTTAGAGATAGAAGATGCGCGAGAGAAGGAAGATCACAAGAAGAGATGTTAAAAGTAGCGGGGCATATGACTGATCCTCCTAGCGTGATCTGACCAGCCAAGCCATACGAAGGGATTTTTGGACCCACCGGGGAAAATGCATCAGTCGGCTTGAATGGGGAGTGGAAGGAGCAGAAAACATGGGGATATCGGGATGGGCCAAGATACGCTAGACAATCAAAATGAGCCAACCCAGGGTCTGGCTCGAGCGAGCTTTAGACTGATCGCGATGAGTATCGGCATTATCTGATGGCAGTTCCTCTCATCATCGGATCTGGTGACCCCCTTGACCGCTTTATCTAATCTGATCCTCCATCTGATAGCAGCGGTGGGTGCCGATTGGTTGAAGCGCTCGGTAAAGTGGAACGCATGCGGATACCTGACACATCAGGCCACATCAGGCCACACCGGAATTAATGGCTGCCCCAGGCATTCCATCACCCTTGAAAGGGTAAAGATTTCTCTCGTTGCGAGGTTTCTGGAGCAAAGTATATCCTCAAAATATGAATAAGACCTTTGTTGGTACGTCGAAAGACGTATAGAATAGAAAGTAAACCCACGGTAATCAAAAACGCCTACTTTCGTAGCAGAAACCCGAGTCATTGATACGCACTTGCCCCATCCGCTCACTCGATCTATGATAGCCTGGTTCTGTAGAACTCAATGAAGAAGCCCCAGCTTTCGTGCCCCAAATCCCAATACACCGAAGGAGGCGGTCACTCCAGTGTACACGATGAGGCCACCAAAACTCGTCCCGTATCCCATGGCGGAAGGCTTCCCTGTCCAGGGCCATTTCTCGTTGATGAGGAGTTCGCTGATGGGACCACACGCTATAGAGCCCACTCCTCGACCGGCTGTTAAGAGGCCGAGAACGAATCCTGCCGGAGCTGCTTGGTCCGTCTCCTTTACTGCCTGAACAATGCCAGGCCAGGTAGCGCTAGCGCTGCCGGCAAAAATCCCATACAGCACGGAAAATACACACAAAGGTGGCAGAGAAACAGATAGACCCCAAATCACAAACACACCCAGAACAGTGCCGAGTGTAGCAAAGAGAATTACATTTGCAACATGCCACTTGTCGATACAATAACCGATTAGTATAAAACCAATGACCATCCCGGCATTCATGAATATCAAGGGAGTTGTAGTGCCGAAGCTGGACTCGCCAACCACCAGGCGAGAGTACGTCGGCAAATAAAGGGACGGTGCAAAATACCCTAGGCTTTGTAAAAGACTTCCTAGTTGGAAGATTAGGAACGGCCGGGACCGTATAAATCTGAAACTTATGCGATGCGGCCTTCGGACCTGTATAGCGGAGACCCGAATACGTGGCTTCACAAAGGGTAGAAACGGGGACACGAGAAGGACCATAATCACCGCCCAGGCCCACATAGTCACCTTGAAGGAGAGTCGCGAGAGCGATAGATTGACGACAATTGGGAATACTATGCCTCCGAGGGCGCTTCCAGCCTTTACTCAAGAATTCATCAGCACGTATTTCCAGATATAAGAGTAAATGAACTTACCCAGCACACCCCAAATGCTAGCCCTTTCCTCCGTACAAACCATTCGTCAATAAACAGCAATACAGGGTAATATAGCATACAAGCACCGACAGCATACATGACACCCTGGGTGATCACGAGCTGCCACACTTTGGTAGCAAACGCGGATGAGATAATGCCAGTGACTGCAATGACAAGACCGAGTACACTGCTTAAGCGACAAAGATGTGGCCAGCGTTGAAGTATGAAAAGACTGACAGGTGAAGCAAGATAGAGGATTCCCTAGCAAGAAGTAAGTAACTAACTTGGAGGAGCAGGTGGCAGTTACAGACCATAGAGCATGACCCTACGATAGACACACTCGATCCATTTTGAGTGAATGGCTCATTTGTGGAATAGTAGTCTTGAAACACACCGAAAGAGAAGGGGAAACCTTCGGGATGTCAGCTTGTGCTCCTTGACCTTGGGATGCAACTTACTCCAAACCATCATTTCCAGGACAAAGGCGCCTATTAGACATAGCCAGGCGTCCTTGCCTTGGTCTACCGGGGGCAAGGAGAACTCTCGCAACCCAGGATCCTGTTCTTCGGGGGTTCTGTCCTGCAGACATTGAGTCGACTGTAACTCATAGTTGGACAATATTTCTGCTGGAAGAGCTGAAGGCATGGTGGGAACAGAATGCCTCAAATCACCGACTGAAGTACTCAGAGCACTGTGTATTGTTGGGTCCCCCATGTTTTGACTATGAGATACTACTGAGGTGCACCAAGGAATCACAGGGTACTTGTATAAGATAACTTCAACCCCGCAATGACACATCAGCTCTCTAATAGCCAAGATCGGAAGACATAGCCGGAGAGAAAACCCGATGGTCAATTTCCATGAGATACGCTAATTGTCGGGATCGAGTCCCGATGATTAGATCTTTAAGCTATCTAAGACCACCTTGTAAAACTCCGCAGAAGAAAACATTAGATACCACCACCCTTAATAGAGTCTGTCTTAATAGCGCAAGTCGATTGTATAGCATGCTTGAGCTCCCATGTTAACATAGATAGCCATCTAAGATAATGGCAAATACTGCTCTATTGTAGACATCTTCAAGCATTGCATCACTTATGCTTAGTACAAAGGCGTCAGTATATCCTGGAAAGCAGAGCAAATCAATACATGCGCATTTGTGTACTCTATACCCGGCCATAAGAGCATTTGGCTGACCTTGTGATCTGTTAGTCAAGTACACTCAACGCGTTCTGCAACCTGCAAATTGCGCCATTCTCCATCCACAATACTTGGTAGCTCTTCCTCCAGTCTGGGTTGCTTTGGAGCCCATCCCAAGAGCTTCCGTGCCCGACCTGCACGGCAGCGAACATTCAAGCCCCAGCTGGCGGCTTCAAATCCTGCCCATGCCGTGGCAGTGCTATGATCCAACGACTCTAACTCAGCCGCAGGAATGTAACCTTTCTCGGCCGCGATACGTGCAATGCTTTTCGCCAGATCACCCCAACAGTGCTCCTCGGTCTCTGCAAGATAATAGGCCACTCCGCCCCAGAGACCATCATGTCCGGACAATGCAGCGTCAAAGAGTAATTCATACAGACTGGTTAGATCAAGTATATGGATATCACAACCACGCGATTCTCCATTGCCGATGATGGGTGCCTTCTTTCGCTCTAGTGTCCATTTTGCCATTTCATAGACCTGCCTGCTCCGCTGGGAACAAGGTCCCCGCCCTCGGCCTGTTGATTGAGTGTGGTGTTAGTCATGTATTTTTGTTGAATACAAGATGGAGGTCAGGTACCATAGACAGTTGTGGGTGATATAATAGCTGGTTTCAAGATACTGGAATACTTCTCGCCCGCTTCAAGCACGATCTTGTCCACGTTACGATGGAAGGCGTGGTCAGGGATGGTAAGGATGTCGTTTATCCCCTCTAGGTCATTGTAGACCTTATCACGCCGAATGCCATAGGTTCCAGTGTCAGTGTCGATGTAGCTAAATATTCCAGCACCGCTGGTATGCAACCAGTAGGCGGGACGTTCGGCCGTGTGTCCCTTGACAATGCCGGCCAAGATTGCTTGGGCAGCTCCGACATGATCAGCCGCGTCGGCTGTGTCTATCATAATATCAGTATACATGAGCTTTTAATGCGCACTGTGAATGCTTGAAACTCACGGATGATTATATCGGCATTGGCACTTTCAGACTCAAGTGTGCTTGCATCGTCAAGAGAGCCGTAGATAACCTCTACCGATGGGTACTGGGTCTTTATTTGCTCGCCTTTGTCTGCACCGCGAACTAACACTCTATATGTGAGGTCGGGATGCTTGACTGCTAATTGAGATAGAACATCCCCGCCAATGTAACCAGTGGCACCTGTGCTAGAAGCAGCTAGTTAGTGGAGATTGTGATCAGGGTGGTGATATTACATGAAAACCGTCTTCATTGTGAATAGGATAAATTGAATGTCTACTCAAGATTGATAACAGGAGGAACTTTACTCGAGATTACGAGAGTAGACAGTGCTGCGGCTCCTGCATACCTTTCTAGTCGATTTTATATCACTAAATTGATTTCTAATCGCCTTGGCTTGGCATCTAGTGGGGTTATCGATGGGCCAATATATATAATATCTCATTTGTGTGCTGGTTGGCGACAAAGCGGAATATGTATTCCGCCTCAATGATGGTGACGATCAGGACCCACATCGCCTGATTGCTTTTACAGAGTATTAACAGAGGCAGGAACGAATTCGCCAGAAAGAACTTCCGTTAGTCTCATGCTTTGGAAGAAAGACCTACCTCTGAGGGTGGAGGGCTTGACGTCATAAGCTCAGCATGATACAATGGCTGACGAAACTAATAATCTATAGTGAGATTGAATGTATCTCCCGATTGATATGACTATAGTACTAAATATAAAGGAAACCCGTAGAAATACTATGCTAGAGCGCCGTCGATCGTACAGTTTCTGGATATGGCCCTGAGCATGGGCCAAACGGGATGAGTTGGGTGAAGCTACCGCTAGGATGATAGTGTCATATACAGAAAGCCCGAAGACATTTCGCTTTTTGAATCAAGTGCTGCTGTTGTCTGGGCCTGAGGTCTTGTCTTTAGAGGGGACTGGTCAAATCCTGGGAGGGTTCGCGGAAAGTGTATAGAGATTTGGAAGATCTCGGCGGATGAGTATGCTTCTTTGAAACAGGTGAGAAATGTATTTATGTACTATGGGGTCAGTTTCACGAAGGAGTATAATACTTGTTGGGAGGCATATAGGAGGGGTGAGGCTGCTGTGGTGTCGCCCCTGTTGGGAGAGATCTTAGGGAGGGAGCCAGAGCGATTTGAGACGACTGTACGGGGTATGTTAGACGGTTTAAGCACCTACAGTTATACTGGTTTAATACTACTGGGTGAAGCTTATTACTGTATTTAGACGATAGGATGCAAGGGGATTGTCTATTAGGGCTTACTTGACGGAATGCTACCAGCACATAGTAATATATCCAACCCGTCGTGTTTATCAAACTTCTCTAGGATATTCACGAAAGTTGGCCTAAGCTTTCTTAGTTCAACTTATTTAACGTTCAGGATGGCGAAAGGCGACGTAAAAGACAAGCACAACGAAGTCATTCATGAGGGTGATTATGTCTTCACCCGCATTCGCGGTGGCTCACACCAAGGGGGGGTATTCTAAACAACTTCTGTCCCATCAATGTGAGATATAGGGCATAGACTAAGGTATACACTGACATAGGTCGAAAGGATTGTCACGGATGAGCAGGAAGCCGAAGAGGAGGGCGTCAAGAACCCACCCAAGGTGAGATTGTATAGCCTACATGGGGAAGGATGCTTATACCACTGTCCACACCGCTCAGGTTGTATTCCATGATCGGCGTGGCAAAAGAGTCGCCCATAATCCAGGAACCCTAGAGAAGGTGGAACATTGAGATGAATCTTGTGGACACGAATGCGGATCATGGGTATTCTCCAAGTTACAACGGGGCCTTCTTTTCCATTTTTTCAGTTGCCACTCTTGAGTGCCTTCCAAGAACATGAATGTGTGTTTCGCAAATGTCGTGAAGATGGCGATCTTTTGTAGGGTTGATTGCTATGACATCACGCTTACGATAGGGGCCTCTTTATTTTGACGTTCAATCTTCTTCCACTTCTCAAGGTAAATCAGCCTGTCGAATAGCCTTGCTACAGATTGTATCAAATAATAAAAAAGAGAGTTGCATAGCGCCATGCCGGCCATTCTCAGTTATCTGCAGCAGCTGGTCAATATCGCCGTCGCATTCATCCGGCAGCTACAAGAGCGCCATGTAGGGTGGCTAACTTTCAACCGCAAGACGGGCGAATTCACGCGGGAGCAGCAACCGTTGTTGAAGAAGCTCAAGATCCTTCTGCTATTTAACCCGCTCACGGAGTGGATAGATCGTACGCACCTTCTCCGGCTATGGACCCACGAGAGAAGCCTAAGAGCCGGTAAGTTGCGCAGCACCTCTGCTAACTAACATTGTCATAGGAGAACGTCAATCACTAATTGAAAATAGGCATAAGGGAAGGACAGCCGCAATCGCATTCCGAAATCAAAAGCTTCATCGAGTTCTATAAGATCGACATGTCCCAGTTCGAACCATCAGACCCGGAGGTGTACGAGACGTTTGAGGACTTCTTCATCCGGAAACACGCACCCGGAGCGCGACCGATCTACGATGTCGACGACCCAGCAAAAGCGGTTATAGTGTCTGACTCGAGGGTTGTAGTGTATCCGACCGTGGAAGCAGCGCGCCGGCTGTGGATCAAGGGTAACGAGTTTACCATCGCCAATCTAATCCGAGATGCAGATCGCGCAAAGCGGTGGCAGGATGGAGCGGTTGCTAGCTTTCGTCTTAGTCCCCAGGACTATCATCGGTACCACTCTCCCGTTGAAGGAAGGGTGAAGTGGTTCAAGGCGATCTCGGGCGATTATTATCAAGTCGATCCGGTGGCTTTGCAAAGTTCGGTTAATATCTTGACGGAGAATGCGCGGTGTTGTGTTTGTATTGAAAGTAAGGAATTCGGAGATGTCCTATTCGTGGCCATTGGCGCAACAGATGTTGGCACCGTTGAGTACGTATTCTAGAATCTTGTGATTATTGTAGTCTGCTAACTGTTGATATAGAATCCATGAACACATCAAGGAAGGACACCACGTGAAGAAGGGAGACGAGATTGGGCTGTTCCAGTTTGGAGGATCGAGTATCATCGTTGCGTTTGAAAAAGGCCGTATTCAACTGGACGAAGATTTGGAGAAGCTTAGCCACCAGAGGATCATGGTTGATGTCGAGGTTGGGATGAGCATGGGTCGCTCCACTAAGACTGGCCTGCAGTGAAGCAGATATAGGGGTTTATCGGCCGACAGGGGTTTGTGCTTTGCTTCTGACATCTGATGCCTAAGATCATAGGAGTAGTTTGTCCCCCAATAATGTTGTTTGTCTTTAATCTTTGTAGTGGTAGGTAGGTGTGTATAAGTAGCATCAAGGTGGAATTAAAGACAGGTATAAAGCACTAATCAGATGATCTTGTAATGTAGGCATGCGATGCACTACAGCCTTATGTAATTGGCTTGCAGATAGTTATATGGGAAACTATGTCCCTAAGGTCGTGCCTTGGATACTCTATCTCTGATAGATTGTATTGTATAGCGCCGGGGACTCGGTAACTCGAGATTCAAAGGAGTCCAACATAATATAGCTTAGCAGGTTCTCCTCAAGCATCCTCCCAATGTATACAGGGAGCGTTCCATTCCATTTCCCAATTCAAGATCCTCGGTGTATGAATATATAATAATGATTCCATGATCTTTCTAGGGTGTAAGGGCTGTATTCGGAAACCTAATATGTTATCCAGTAGGAAAGGAGAGCAGTGATCGCGGTCAAAAAGAAAACCCATAACGATGGCTTGTGTAAATGGGCAGGTAGTGGCTGTATTGGAATGCTAGTTGCCTGGGTGCCATTACGCTCGTTATACAGGGGCCCTATCATATCTGACTGGTTTGTCTCACATTCTTCCCCAGCTGTAGGGCATTCCCCAACCTGAACGTGGATTTTCTCCTGCTTCGGCTGTATTTTTGACACTTCTTCATCTTCCTTGCCGCGGGCTACAGCGTCAGGCAGATCTTTTGTAATTAGGATGTGATCGATTGATTCACTTATCAGGAGCTCTTTCACTTGTTCCCCACTATCCCAGTTGTCGAATGCATCGTTTAGCACATCTGCTGCGAATTGGATTGGCTTCTGTAATCGGCTTGATAGCAGCGCTATGGTCTTTGGGCCAAATCTGGTACAGATGAATGCCATTGCCTCCTGTGTGATGTGTAGCTGGTGTTCTTGTTGACCCAAAAGAAGGTCTATCACATCTTTCCCACCCCAGAAATTGAGAGCTATGGTCTCAACCAGGTCTTTGGTGACTAGGACCAGGCCACTTTTTTGACTCAGTAGGAGCTCCATGACTTGTCTCCCGTTGCTACAATTGCTGGCTGCAGCTTTCAGCACATCTTCTGTGAGCTGAAATTGCTTCCCCTGGCGATGTAATAGGAGTGCAACGATCTTTGAATCAAATTTGGCATAGATCAATAGCACTGCCTCCCGTGTGATGCTCACCTGGGCTTCTTGTCCACTCAAAAGAAGTTCCATCACATCTCTCCCACTGCCCCAATTGGTTGATGCTGAATGTACCACGCCTTCAGTAATCAGGATCCGATCACCTCGATTAAGCAGCTGTTGTATATCTTGCTTCCCAGACTTCCAATCTCCTGCTGCAGCCTCGACCGCATCCTCGGGGTGTTTGAATTTATTATTCGTGTATTCAGTACAGCTCTCTCGGAACTCCACCAGTAATCTAATCACCTCCTTTCCATGGAATGGGTTGTATGCCGCTACTCTGAAGACATTTTCCGGGATTGGGAGATGGATCTGTCGTCGATCTGACAATAGTCCTATCACTTCTTTTCCGTTGCCCCAGTTCGCCGCTGCCGATTTCAGGACATCACTACTGATCCGCACCTGGTCGTCTCGGTCCAGCAAAAATTCCATCACTTGTTTCCCACTCTCCTCATTTGCTGCTGCCGCTTTCAACACCTTCTCAGTTATCTTGACTGGGATATTAGAACGGCCTAGTATGGTCTCCAACAGCTGGGCTCCAAATCTCCCATTGGCCGCAGCGACCTTAAGGAGACTCTCTGTGATGGGAACAGATCTGTTACCCAGTCGATCCAGAAGGAGTTTCACCGCCGCGCTACTTTGCGTGTTTGCAGCTGCTGATTTAACCACATATTCTGTGATAGGAAGGTGTTCCTGCCGATCTAGTAACAATTTCAGGATGTTTGAGTTGAAATTTCTACAAATCAGTGCCAAGGTCTCTTCCGCTATAGGGATTCGGTCCCCTCGTCGACTTAAAAGAAGTTTAACCACGTCTGTCCTATCGCGCCGATTATGTATTGCAGCTCTGACAGCATTCGTTTCGATTTGGATATTTTCATGCTCAAGGAGCATTTTCACAGTATTTGACCCAAATAACTCACAGATAACTGCTACTGTGGATCCTGTGATCTGGATAGAATCTTTGCGAAGTAGATCCTGCATTGTTTCAGCACCGTTGCGCCAATCTCTGTGCATGGTTTTGACAAGATCTTCTGTAATTTGCACCTCGCTTCCTCGGTTGAGTAGGAAGGCCAGCACTTCCTGTTTGTTCTTCCCGTTCAGTAATACATCTGTCAAAACACGGGCGGATACCGGCCTTTTAGCCGACCCTTGCTCCCATAATAATGATATCACGCTCATATGGCCTCTTCGTATCGCTTCCTCCATGGGTGTCAGTCCACCACTGGCCTTGTATGCAGTGTCGTCAACTTCTACTCCCTTCGTCTTAGTCAAAACGTATGCTGCTAGGTTAACAATACCCCATTTGGCTGCAACATGTAGGGCCGAATAGCTGGCATCTAATTGAGGCTGGAAATCGTCCCGCAGAGAATTATATTGCTTCAGCCACGTTCCCCAGGAATCTGATTGCGAAGAAAAGAAACACTCGTGTTCTGGAGCCACTGTAAATCGACTTTCGGAGACACTGGCATGTTCTGTCCAGTAAATGGTCGAATAATCTAGGAATTCTTGTTCAGTCCTCGAACGTGTTTTATTCCCTCCGGACTGATAGCCATGCAAAACACTATTGATACATCGGTAGGCTAGTGTAGAATTAGCCCCTATATCGTCAATCCTCTGTGTATGTCTCACAAGAAAATCTCTAACAGATTTGTGGAGGAGTTGAACATGCTCTCCCGAAATAACAACCATCAGACGGCACAAATCAATGTATTCTCGTGTGAATTGCAGGCGGCTCTCCTCGTCAGCATTGGGATAAATTTGGCATGCTTCGCATAATTCTGTCAATGTCATTCGTCTTCGGGACACAGTGACGAAACTCAGCATATCGATTATTATTTCTTGGTCATTCCTGTCATCTGATTCAATTGCTCGGTCGAGGAGCTTCTGATATAGAGAATGCAGACCTCGGGGGAGACTGTGCAGGATCTTTAATGCATTCCTAGATTGCACCTGCGCTAATTCATCACAAGCGATGCCTACCCATAGGAACGTTCCTTCGGCTTTGTCCTCGAGGATCCGGGATACGTCAGCAGCCACTGCTTGAGAATAAGACTTTTTGCTCCGTAAGTTCTCAACCTTTTCCCGAATCATTTTCTCCAAGTCCCTGGAAACCTCCCTGTAGGAGGCTAGATCTTTGCTTTCGAAGGATGATAGATACTGACGAATCTCAGGAAATGGTCGGCTGGTAATCAACAGATGTAGCTTTGACGAGCTGTCATCCTTCATATGACGAGCTGTGAAGGTTTGATCGATCTGTTCAAGTATCATGCGCTGTGACTCATGGTCGCATTCATCCAACGCATCAATGATGCAGTATATACCCTTAATATCTTTATCGTTACTCAAGCTCATCAATACACTCCACAATGCATCGAACGAACTAAACAAGTGTGTATCCTTGGTGTTGTATTTCGAAAGCAGGTATTTTATAAGTTCAGGGCGCTCTGTTATCAACTGATAGAGCAATCCCCGTAATATGGATAGCGCCGTACGGTGGGCTTCTGAGCTTGAGTCACAGAAGAAATACGCAAGGAAGACGTTGTTGCCGGCAAAATGCGACTTCTTGGGGAGCTCTTCTGTGAGCGTGATGGCCATCGTTGACTTTCCAGTTCCAGGGTTCCCGTATAGCCAAAGCACATTTGACCTTGACTCGGAGCCTTCATGATGTCTGAGCCAGGTGTTTAGCTCATTGGTCTCTAATATCCAGTTGCAGGTCCCAGGAGCACGTTTTCCTTTTCTCCGTTGCAGTGCACTTCTGTCATCTGCTGGGTCTGTAATAAACAGACCTTGCAAGCATGCTTTCTCTTCGGCAGTGAATTTGGTTTCTATGCGTGTTAATAGAATATTCGAGGCTTCCGGCAATTACATACTTTGGTCTTGTTGGGCCTTATTGTTGATGCTAGGAACAATGGCCAGGAGAGCGCCTGCGTATACAGCAGCAGTAAGAGCAGCATACCCTTGCCAGTCCTTATTCTTATGTGAGTCGCAATAATCGCAGACTCCGCGAATAACGAGACATGGTAACTGATCCATTAGCCCGGCTGCCTCCATTTCGAAACACAGTATATTCAACCCTTGGGCAATAGAATCTCTTGTCTTAGCATTCTTGATAACCTGGTTCCCGCAGGCAATCAACCCATAATGTATGGCCGGCTCATTTGTGACTCGCGCTGTACGAACTACCCGATGCGACTGATCACATAAGGAACAATCAGCAACCGCGCTCACATGGTCATACCCCGAGTGAAACAGCCAATCGCGATCTGGTTTGGAGAGTTGTTTATAGATCTTTTGCTGCTTCTGAAGCATCTCCGATATACTTGGCTGAATCAGCGAGGCTCCAATCATAGAATCACTGCGCATATGAGATACGGCAGTCAGGAGACATTGCGGAGGCTTATTGAGCGATCCAGTTCGATGCAAGCGTCCATCACGAAGGGTCTTTCCATAGTCATATTGGATCACACCCCCCGAGGCTGGAGTTGGTATACTGACAACCACATCACCGAGGCGAATATCCGCGTTGTCGCTGGGCACTCCGCCGCCAACGCCTACCATCAATCCAAATCGGAGGGAACGAAATGTTGATAACATGTGAGCTAGCACAGTTGCCGCAGATGTGGTTCCATAAACACCTGATGGTAGACACGCCACTACCACATTATGGTTGGCAATACTTCCAAGTATGTAAGTATTATGGTCGGTTTCTGGCTGGGGTAGCGAAAGATGCACCTTTTCTAGCATTGCCTTTGCCGCTGTCATTTCCAATGGCAAGGCACAGACCCATGCGACAGTATAGTCGCTGTGTGTGTAGTCCATGCTTGCATGTCAGAGATAGAATATCCATGGTTGATTGAAACCTCAAAGATGAGGTCCAAAGGAGGGGTAGCGTTTGGGTCTGCAAGGCTGACCAATAGTTTTGCACGGATAGACATTGATGTGCATCTCACCTCCGACAGTCCCAAGAAGATGGAGATATTGCTAGTATACCCAGACGGTACTCTCGACATTCATTATCGTCCAGCACATGATCGGCCACCACGTGGCATGCCATTTCGGGTGTAGGGCTGTTCCCGTGTTACTCTTCATTTTTGTATTAGAGTACTCGACTACAGTCCCTACAAACACCATCAAATCGAGGCAATCAACAAGGAATACCCAATTACAACCCCATCGGTGTGATAATCTCAAAAGTGAACCTAACCGGTGGTACCCAATTCAGGAGCGATAATGGAACATATAGTTCCAATGTCAAGGTTGCACCCTTACGTTCCTTACCTCCTTCCATTTCCTTACGACTTTACGCAGTCCTGATAAGCACTATAGGAGAAGTAGCTGTCCAATAAAATACTAGGTTCAATCATACGATCCGTGGCTGGGTTCCCGTGAGGTTCCAACGAATCATAGCCAGTTCTGAGTCTATGTTGGAAGAGACATCGGAGGGCCTGGTGGTGAAGGGAAGCTTGGGTGGTTGAAAGTTGAAGCTGAACCCGGGAGTTTGTACTGCTCGCAAATACCAAAAGAAGAATGAAAACATCCTCAGGCAACGAAGTGGGATTTAGTCAAACTCAAGCCTGGTGAAGTCAGCAGTTTTCCGGTAAGCTGGGTCGGGGTGTTGTAACTTCCGATGTGTCAGGAGCTACGACCTGTGGCTTTCCAACCCCCTCTCGCAATAGTACCGGACTGGAAGCCTTCTGGAGCGAGGAAAGCTTAGTGAATGGTCTATACTGCATTGAGCTTGGATCCGCCTTTTCTTCACCATCTTCGATGTAATTCAGGCTCACCCCTGGTTCGGCGCTCAGTGAATCTCGGGATGACACAAGATACTGAATTGATTGCCATACGACAGGCCCGTCATTCAACTGGATTATGTAGGAGTCAGAGACACCAAACACCGACTTGAATGCGAGCTCCAGAGACTATGACCCGCGCTAAATCTTGTGCGTCCCCACCTTACTCGTCGCGTGCTCACCACGAGGGCCCAGCTCGGATAAGCGACAACCAAGAAACTTAAGGTTGCCCGCTGGGCCCATCTCGGTGGAGTGACACTGCCAACTCTCATGAGGAGCCGAACTATACGCTTGGCAACTGCCATGCAACCGAGAACATAGGGTGCTACCCAAAGCTGCAGTGCCGTTGACACTAGCTATTCGTACTATTTACGTATAGAGTTGAAAGGTTGGACAAGTCTCTTCTAATAATATCGTGAGGCTGATGCATGGCATGATCTGCGCCTGTGACTTTTAAGGTACAATGCTAGTTCTGCAGTTATGAACCAAAGTCCAACTTTGTCAACCAAGCTGACCCTGGGCTGTGCTTTTGTCAGACAAAATCACATCTTGGTCTCGGATGAAGCCATTTGACTGGCGTCTACTTTCCTCCCCCCGACATCAATAACCCGTTGCTACGACAGACACGTGGCGTTGATGCATGCACCCTAGCCTTCATCGGAGTGATACTTGGGATTGCAACATGGCTGTACTGGCAAAGCATGGTGTGGACTATTTTTAATTTGCAAAGTCGCTGTGCGGAGATCATCGGACTTGGTCTGCGGTCGGTTCAGGCCTCCAGACTTCCCGATGGGACCAATGAAAGGGTTATCTCCGAATCTTTCCAGGGGAGCTATCTCGCGGGTGCATGCATCGTTCCCTTGGTCCCCACCGTCATTGGTTCTTTTATGTCGGGGGTAGGAATGAAATACGAGGCAAGATCGGCATCGCACACCCGCACTAGGGTTACCTCCTAGCGTCGCATGGCTGTCTTATCTTTACCAATAATCTGGGGTTGGATGTGACGGTGTCGCGCTGAGACTAAACGTCTGTTCCAATCATGGGTGGCCTCATCCCGGCTAAGCCAATCGTTATCAACCCACTGACTCGAGCACGGATGTTTATGCGGACAGGTCTAATTGCTATCGGGCAGCCTTATATTAATTTTTCATTTTTATTAAATGGGCGCAATCTCCGCCCTTCGTTCGGTCCACTCAACAATCCACGAACTTGCAGCTCAGACTGGTCTCCGTCGATATGGGCAACGATCCAGTATACGTTGCAGAGGGACTCAGTCCCGCCCCCGGGGTGAATGGACAACGGTCCAAGGTATACCGCGTGTATACTTACCCGTGGTTTCAAATATTGCTAATAAGTTTCATCTGCTTTTGCTGTCCTGGCGTGAGTGTTAATATCCACAGCGAGCGAATTGTTCGACGATGCTAATGCAGTATACCCCACGCAGATGTATAATGCCCTCACTGGGATTGGAGGCTCCGGCCAAGTCGACCAGACCGTAGCATCAAATGCGAACGTTGCTTTACTCTCTGCCATGGCTGGCACGGCGCTTTTCGTTGTTGGGCCTATCTTCGACCGCATCGGACCTCGAGCCTGTCTGCTGATTGGAGGTTGGACATATCCATTGTATTCCGGAAGTCTTCTATGCTTCAACCGTAGGTACTTCACAAATCATGCTCTGTTATCCACACTGATGTTAGTTCGAAGGCACGGCAAACGGCGCGTTTGTGATCGCATCTGGAGCCATCCTCGGTATCGGAGCATCGTTCCTCTGGGTAGCCCAAGGCGCTATCATGACGACGTATGTCCCGGAATCGCAGAAAGGCCGCGCCATTGCAGCCTTCTGGATTATCTTCAATCTGGGAGGTGGCATTGGCTCCTTGGCCAGTTTCGGTATGAATTACCACTCAACTAGTGGAACAGTGTCGGACGGTACCTACATCGCTCTGCTCATAATCATGGCCATTGGATGGCTCATGGGAGCTCTGATTTGCCCACCGAAAGCAGTGCGGGTGGCGACTATTCAAACAACCCCCGAGACCGAAAAGAATTGGCTGAATATCACGAAGCTCACCTTGAAAACCGTGTGTGACTGGAGAGTGCTGTCTATGCTCCCGCTGTTCTTCTGTGCCAATGTATTCTACTCGTATCAGCAAAATATCGTCAACGGAATGACATTCAACATCCGCAGCCGCTCTTTGAATGGAGCCCTGTACTGGATCGCACAGATGTTCGGTGGACTCATTATGGGCCTCCTTCTTGATATCCCGGGTCTTAATCGTCAATGGCGGGCACGGATCAACTGGTTGTTCTTATTCGTCACGGGGATGGCGATCTGGGGCGGAGGATACGCGTTTCAACTATGGTACGATCGACGCGTCGCGGAGGGCAAGAAGCAAGATGTCGACTTCACTCAAAGCAGCATTTCCGTTGGGCCCATGTTCCTCTATATCTTTTACGGCATGTACGATGCATTCTGGCAGTCTTTCTGCTATTGGTTGATGGGAGCCCAGTCGAACTCTCCCGCTGTGGCAGCCATCCTAGTGGGAGCCTACAAAACCTTCCAGAGCGTCGGAGGTGCGATGGCGTGGCGACTGGGGGCGATGAACAAGTCGCCGATGCTGCAGTTCGCAGTCGACTGGGGCCTGTGTATGGGCTCGCTTGTCATTGCCATTCCTGCCGTGTTAGCCGTCACCCTCACCAGTACGGATCCAGACACCCTCGACGAGGTGGACATGAAGAATAGGCAAGCCGACACGTCTACGGATGGCCCTAAGCCATGAGTTGACACGGAGTGCTGTCTCAGACTTTCTTTCCAGTCGGCGCAAACCAGAGTGGGGTCTTCGATGATCTAGGCACTGCAATCTAGATTAGACTGACGTAAATAGGGGGGGCTGTCATATGGATATATCTTGGCGGAGGTGGTGGACACGACGATTTTCATTTATACTGTGAGACCCAGGCTAGGAATCATGATATCATATAGGTCAATCTAATATCCGTTGCATACATCATTGTCTTTTCTAACGTGGGAACGAAGGAAAAAGGGTACTGAATGGAGACCACTACCAAAGGAGGCACGAGGGCTGATACCTGGATACTCAGGCATCAAGTGGCTCTTCGTCAAGCAGTCGGGTATATAGTAACTGCCTACGCACCCACAAGCAATAACCTTAAAAGTGCCATATCAGCGATATGAGCCATGGTGATTGGAGCAAGAGTCATCACGGCATTTGCGATTCGATAGCCGATGATGGCCGCTCCCAATGGGGCAGATTATCCACTTCAGGCAATACTGGAAAGGGCAAACGCGGCCCGAAAAGAGGAGGCTGGAACCAATGACAAGAAAGATGACACATTCAGACGCCCCAACTGGGTTAAATTCGCCCGGATGTGGAGCAGATCGTCTCGGCTGTCCCCCGTGGGGTATGCGACAAAATGCGGAGAAGCATTGGATACTGTCGTGTCTAGCTTGAATGGACCATTGGCATGGTATCCAGACTGCTACGAAGATATATATATATATGTGCCTTGTCCATGCCGTCGTAGATGATCCTGGCGGACTGTCCAGACCAATTGAATATCCCGGCCATGGAAAAGACAATCGAGAAACCCTCTTTAGCTCATGATGAGTACGCGGACGACGTTGGTCCGGCCGACATGACCGCCGAGGTCAAATATGACAATGGACAGCTGCGAGACCTTTTACATTCTCCTTATGTTTTTGGAGCAGCGCTCCTCGCCTCGTTTGGCGGGTTCTCCTTTGGGTACGGTATGCTAGACCCTATTCTCCAGCCTGCTTTCGATTGACATCCGCGAACGAGACTAATTCAACCTCCCAGATCAAGGTGTCATTTCACTCATCCTGGTAATGCCCCAGTTCCGGCAGCAGTTCCCCGAGACCTCTCCTGAAAACCCACGATATGGATTCCATACCGGCTTTATGACCGGCATGCTCGAGCTCGGCGCGTTCATCGGCTGCCTGTTCTTCCCCGCTGTTGCGGATCGCATCTCCCGCAAATGGGGATTGACAGTGGCGACCGTATTCTTCGTTATTGGTGCGATCATCCAGACGGCATCCATGAATTATGGCACATTGGTGGCGGGTAGATTCGTTGGGGGTATTGGGGTGGGCACCCTAGCCATGGGGGCGCCGTTATATATCTCGGAGATCGCTCCTCCGGCGTGGAGAGGATCATTGCTCGTACTGGAATCTATAAGCATTGTCATTGGGGCCATTGTGGCATATTGGATTACATACGGCACGAGGTATGCTAACAATACATTTCCACGTTGCCCCGACAAGTTTTCTAACGCGTGTGGTTAGGGCTATACCCGGCGAGTGGTCATTCCGGTTGCCATTCCTCCTACAGATGTTTCCTGCCTTGATCGTCGGCTGCGCGATCCACTTCTTCCCCTTCTCGCCGCGATGGCTCGCCATGCGCGGCAGGGACGACGATAGTCTCTCCGCTCTGGCGAAGCTGCGCCGACGCCCCGTGCACGATGAGCAGGTACAGCTAGAATGGAAAGGGATCCTATCTGAAGTGCGATTCCAGCAGCAAATGCTCGAGAAAGAGTTTCCGGACCACCAGTCTCGCCCACTGCTAGTCGGCCTGAAGCAGTGGGTGTCTCTCGTCCGGCCGAAATATTTTAAACGAACCCTTGTGGCATTGGCTATCCCGTTTTTCCAGCAGGTATATCACTCGATTGTGCAGTTGTATTCCAGCCTACTAACAAGCCGATAGTTCTCAGGAATCAACGCATTCGTATACTACGCGCCCACATTTTTCGAAGCTCTCGGCCAAAGCAGCGAGACATCTCTCATCCTCTCCGGGATGGTTAACATCTGTCAGCTGGTCGGGGGTATCCCCATCCTGATGTATCTGGACCGCATCGGCCGGCGAACGATGGCCATCATCGGAGGAGTCATCATGGCGATACCGCACCTGATCATGGCCGGACTGATGGGCCGATACAGTGACGACTGGCCCTCGCACAAGGCGATTGGCTGGTTCTGCGTCGCCCTCATCTGTACTTGACCCCTTTCTGCCATTTGCCTCCTTGTATCAAACTAACACAGACACTAGATGCTTACGCGCTCGCATACGCAGTCTCATACGGCCCGCTCGCCTGGGTCCTGCCGGCGGAGGTGTTTCCCAACTCCAAACGCGCCAAGGGTGTCGGCGCCGCCACAGCGATGAACTGGCTCGCGAATTTCATCATCGGGGTGGTTGTTCCCGAGATGCTCATTAAGCTTGGGTGGGGCACTTTTCTTTTCTTTGGGCTGTTCTGTGTGGCGGCGGCTGTTTTCTCGTTTCTCTTTGTCCCTGAGACGTCTGGGAAGTCGCTCGAGCAGATCGCGGTGGTATTTGGGGATAATTTGGACGGCGCTGAGAGGGACTTGCAGGAGAAAATTGCGAGGGAGACGTTTGAGAATGCGACGGCTCCTGCGTTACGTTTGGAGAAGTCGGGGGCGCCATAGACGGGTAGTATACTTAGCTGTATAGAGAATGATAGCGAACTATGCATTGCTCACGTTCATACATGCGGGAGGAGACTGAGATAGCACACTACTACTAGAAGATACCTCCCCACCTCAGGCACCTATGCGTATACTTAGCTCTTCCTAATTAGGAAAATGTATCCACTCAGGGCTAAGGGTTAGCTTAGCTTACTTGATAACGCCATGGAACAGCTTTTGGCATCTCTAAGCACTGCATCATGACATCGCAGGGCTTGGCAAACGCGATGACAGCATCGGACCATGATATCATTCTTCTGGGTCTCAGGCTAATCAGGCTATAGACTAGCTATGTCCATCTAACCCGGCGAGAGGAAGGCATGGCCAGACTATAGCCAACATCCGGCCACACTTCCAACCGGTCATCTGCCTCGGAACTCGTTGAGCACCTCTGGAGCGAACTAATAGTAGCACAGTACATTACTAATGGATCAATGTGTCAGTGCAACAGTGGTATTTGCCGATCTTGTCACCGACAACGCACGGCCACCCGTCATGAGCACAGCAGACGGAACGCCCCGCCCAAGATTTAATCGATAGGACAAGCACTGCACTATAGCCTAATTGAACCCTTGGCAATCGGTTCCATCGGGGTAATCGTAGCGCGAGGGCACCTCATATCCCCGCAGTCCAGTCTCCTCCGGAACGATGGTAGAACTCTATCGGAGACGTTGCTCATCGCACGCTCGCAGAGACCTGCGTACAAGAGCACGGAAGACACGGCAACCGTGGGCACGGTCGTCTGCCGGCGTGGGATAGTCGAAGCTTCCCCGGAGTCGCGATGTGGGGTTGCGTGGTAAATGCGGGGATGGTATACCCCGGAGCGGCCGGGATGGATGTACACCAATGTGGGGAACCTGGTATACAGTCATCTATTGACCTGCTTTCTTTGTGCACTTTGGCACACTATGGCGAGTAAGTTCCCGATGTTTAGCCGATGGCCAATACGATGATGCATCTGTTATCTACATGCGCAGGTTGTCGTTGTGTCGTGGTAGGGTTTGGGGAAGGATAAATAGCTCGGATATCCCAGCGTAAGGGAAGGACAACAGCAAACGGACAACAACATGCACGCTATTGCGGGGTTGGCTGGCCTTTTGGCCGGTGTCTCTCTGTCCTATGCCGCGCCGACGCAGGAGAATATCACCAGCGATGCATACTTCTATGGACAGTCGCCTGCGGTCTATCCGTCCCGTATGTGGAGGCTCTCTCGGTCAGTGGATGTGGTGTATATGTTGACTTGGATGTGTAGCTGAGGGCACGGGCTCCGGAGCGTGGGCATCTGCCTACGAAAAGGCGAAGGCCTTCGTCGCCAATCTCACGCCGGAGGAGAAGGTGAACCTTACCGCTGGTGTGGATGCCGACAATGGCTGCTCGGGAAACATCCCGGCGATCCCTCGGTTGAACTTTCCCGGGCTGTGTGTGTCTGATGCTGGGAACGGCTTGGTAAGTGATGATACTGTACGGCGAACATAGGGACGAGGACTAAGAGCTGCCTTAGAGAAGTACAGACCATGTCAATGCATGGTCGAGCGGTGTCCATGCTGGTGCCAGGTAAGTCTTAGGTTAGCTATTAGATTACTACAGTACCGCAGCTAATCTATTCCCATTTCAGTTGGAACAAGGACCTTGTGCATAAAAGAGGCCTCCACATGGGTAGTGAGTACCACAAGAAGGGCGTCCACGTTCTTCTGGGCCCCGTGGTCGGGCCAATTGGCCGCATCGCAGAAGGTGGCCGGAACTGGGAAGGCTTCTCAACGGACCCTTACCACAGCGGTCTGTTGGTCTCCGAGACAATCCGTGGTGTCCAGGCTGCGGGTGTGGGTACCTCGACCAAGGTAATTAGGACTATACTTTGACAATGAAGTGTCCTTACACTAACCCCGGACTAGCATTACATCGCCAACGAGCAGGAAACCAACCGAAACCCCGAAACCACGGATGGTCTCAATATTGCATCTAGCTCATCCAACATCGATGATAAGACCATGCATGAACTGTATCTGTGGCCGTTCCAGGATGCGGTTCGCGCGGGCAGTGTGTCGATTATGTGCTCCTATCAGCGCATTAACAACTCCTATGGATGCCAGAATAGTAAGACGCTGAATGGGCTGTTGAAGACGGAACTCGGATTCCAAGGTAGGCAATCTCTGAAGAAGTTGGCAGACTCCGTTCTTGCAACTGACTGAAGCTAGGTTATGTCATGACCGACTGGGGTGCTCAGCATGGCGGCATTGCAGCATCGAACGCTGGGTTGGATATGGTCATGCCATATTCTAGCTTGTGGAATTCGAACCTGACCGACGCGATTGCGAATGGGACCATGGAGGCATCCAGACTCGATGACATGGCAACTAGGTATGGCTGTCCCCTGCCCTTACGCGCTTCGTGACACTAACCTGGCGTAGAATTATCGCGTCGTGGTACCAGGTGAACCAGGACGCTGGATTCCCATCACCGGGCGTAGGCATGCCAACAGACGTATACGCGCCACACCAAGCCATCATCGGAAAGTCGTCCGACTCCAGGAAAGTCCTTCTCCAGAGTGCCATCGAGGGTCATGTTTTGGTGAAGAACACGAACAACACTCTTCCGCTGAAATCACCCGAGATGATCTCGGTATTCGGGTATGATGCCAAGGGGCCCGACAGTCTAGGGTTCAAATTGGAATGGTTTACGTATAGTCCGGCGATCCAACCCAACCACACACTCATTGTGGGCGGCGGGTCTGGTGGAAACTCGCCGGCATATGTCAGTGCCCCCTTGGATGCTCTCCAGAACCAAGTGATCGAAGACGGCAGCGCCATTCTGTGGAACATTTCCGCTCAAGATCCGGAGGTTGACCCCAACACGGACGCCTGTCTCGTATTCATCAACAGCTACGCCACGGAAGGGTACGACCGTTCTGGATTGGTGGACGAGGGCAGCGACGAACTCGTCACCAACGTCGCTAGCAAGTGCAGCAACACCATCGTGACCATCCACAACGCCGGAATCCGGCTCGTCAACCACTGGATCGACCACGAGAACGTCACCGCCGTGATCTTCGCCCATCTCCCCGGCCAAGACTCCGGCCGTGCCCTGGTCGAGCTGCTCTACGGGCGCTCCAACCCTTCCGGCAAGCTGCCCTACACCGTCGCCAAGAAAGCAGAGGACTACGGAGCCCTGCTGCATCCCGCGCAGCCCGAGGGCCAGTATGGCCTCTTCCCGCAGGACGACTTCAGCGAGGGAGTCTACATCGACTACCGCGCATTCGACCAGCAAGGCATCGAGCCGCAATTCGAATTCGGGTTCGGGCTGTCGTACACCACCTTCGACTACTCGGGTCTGAACATCGGCCCGCTCAGCGATAACTCGACGAGTCAGTATCCGCCGTCCGCGGCCATCCAGGAAGGCGGAAACCCGCACCTGTGGGATGTTATCCTCCGGGTGTCTGTCGACATCACGAACAGTGGACCCGTGGCTGGGGACGAGGTTGCCCAGTTGTATTTGGGTATTCCCAATGGACCGGTTCGCCAGCTTCGCGGGTTCGAGAAAGTCAACATCCCGGTTGGTGAAACTGTGACGGTGGAGTTTGCATTGGGTCGTCGCGACTTGAGTACGTGGGATGTGGTGGCGCAGGAATGGTTGCTTCAGTCGGGGACATACAAGGTGTATGTGGGGAGATCGAGTCGGGATCTGCCTCTGCAGGGGGAGTTCACCATCTGAGGTGGTTCGTGATGTGTCGTTGCCTAGGAGAGAGAGAGAGATAGCACACTAGTGATACATGAGACCTTATGAGGTATATTGATATCTAATACAGGACTAATATGCTCATAATAACCGTTGACAATACGCTATCTGTCTCCTGAATAGTACCAGGTTAGAACTACAGTATCAACATATCACTGACCTATTTTCTATCTGCACGAGAGCACCTGCAGCACAAACACGCACCGAGCCTGATATTACTGAGTCATAGCTTCATAGAACGAAAACTAACAAAGACAAGCAACACAACACAACCATTCACTATGGAACAACGGTACTATCGTAGCAGCAACCATCACAGATCTCCTGTTGTTAACAAAAATCCCTCCCATCTCTCTCTCCACCAGACTCCCACCTCCCAACCAACAATCCACCATCAACTCCATTTCACCACAACAAACAAACAATCCCAAACCCACACCAAGCTCCACAACCACACAGAATCATACTCAACCCAACAAAGGCATACACAATCAAAATGCCAATAACCTGGACCCCCGAAGCAGACGTAAAGGTACGTAGCCAGCCCAAACAACCCGGCCTCGCTACCAATAACACAGACTCACAAAAGAACAACCCAAAACAGCTCTTCATCGGCGTGCTCAACCAATGCAGAGATGTCAATTTCAAGCCCGATTGTGAGAAACTAGCCGCGCATATGGGGCCTGGTAGGAGTTTTCCAAGCAGAATGAATCCCTCGAGGAACAAGGTCCGAAGCTAACGTGGTACTATGCATTGTGCAATTTAGATGTGACTGCCTGCGCAATCAACAACCGCATCATTCGTCTTAGGCGGATGGTTGCGAAAGAAGACGGGGGTTCGGCGGCGAGGACTCCTGCTGCGTCGCCGGCTAAGTCGAAGTCTACTACGCCTAAGGGGAGGGGGAAGGGGAAGGGGGCTGGGGTGGTAAAGACGCCTAGTAAGGTTGCGAAGAGGGAGGTTAAGCGAGAGTATGAGAGTGAGGACGAGGAGGATGATAATATGGCAGTGCAGGTGGTCATCAATGTCAAGAAGGAGGAAATGGATGAGCAATAGAGATTGATGGTGGTTTTACTGGGATTTGCGGACACCTGTTGTTCTGTTTTCTGAGTGTCGTTCTTTGGCGTCGTGATGGGTAGTAGTTATGGCCTAGGAGTCAATCAAGGAAGTTCGCTATATTTTGAGTCTTGTAGTGTGCTGGATTACTATGGGTGGGAGTGTCAACTGGAGGATCACACTGTATGCTATCTTACGAAGACAGCTTGGACAGTATTGCCTGGTCTCATAGTAGATTTTCCCATTCAACACTATGCCATTATGTGCATGTTATGAGATCTTACAAACCAGGCAATATTCGGTAATGACCAGCATTGTACGGTTGAAACCGAAGGGCAACATCCGGGACAATTTGGTGAGTTATATCGGCTATACAACATATTACTATATCCCCTGTGTACAAAAAGCTTCCTATTAATCTGTAATTTTGGTATTGTGTCTCGACACGACAAGCCATGATTTTATACCTCTAGGCAAGCTCAAACATGGTTTGAAAAGTATTGTATCTGGGTTCTGGATGATAGTCTTATTCACCCGATTTAACCTCCATTGACAGTCTTTATAATCTGCCGGAAAGGAATCTCCATACGAGCTCTTCTAGGCAGAATATTAGAAGGTACTATTAAGCGGTTTAAGTAGTGCCTTCAAGATGCATGCATAGAAAGCGCTTGGTTAGGACAACATGAACCAATTACTTCTTTCTTGGCTAGTTGGGAATTTTGGCTATAGGTAAAGAATATAGTCTACAGCGGATAACAAGATAATGAATCGATAGGACTAATTCTGAGTTCAACAACGTTTTATTTGGCTGAGATAATGAGCTTTAACAACTAGGTCTCAGAGGCGGAAAACCCAAATGTTCCCATACTCTGACCGAGTAGTTTATATCCTGGTCCACATAGTCCAAGTATTAAGCGTAGGTCAGAAAGCTAGCGGTAGATAGATAGCCACCCCGTTAACCTAGATTCCGTATACAATCTACGTCGTTGGTGATTTCAGCATGGGCTTCAGAATTACAACTTCGTATGCATTAGCATCGACTATCAACTATCATCAGTAGTCACAACTATTCTTCCCCATAAAGTACACATTCCGCTGACTACTGGTATCCCTAATCCACCACGACAGAAAACAAAAGGCTCGCCGCCACCATCACATCTGTAGAATCGCTGCATGCATACATAAATGTGCATACCAAACTCGCCAACACCAACGCCAGAGAACTACCGCCGAGCCATGATCCTCTCGTGGCAGTGAAAACAATCCAAGCTGCCACAGTCACAATAGGGAACGGGACGACGAGCCACGGGATGATAAGGCCAGTAAGCTGCAGTCACGACACGACGACTACTCATTGTGCGGCTGAGCGCCAGAGCCCTGGCTGGCTGGTCTGGAGCGAGCAGCCTGACGAGGGGACGTTCGCCGGACGTGGGTGGCACCTGAGACTCCTTAGCCCGGTGGATCTGCAAGGGAGGAAGGGAGCACCCACCCGCGTTACCACTATTCACAGCATGAAAACCACTACTGCTAGGGCCTGTCATTCCCTGGACGCCGTGGATAGTGCCGGGAGGATGAGCGTGGATAGGCGCGTTGCTAGTGGTCTGGCCATTGGCACCACCGTTGATGGAAAAGACGTAGCTGTGTGCATTCGCGGTGGCAGCTTGAGCGTTGGCAGCGGCCTGGGCGCTCATGGCGACGTTGATATCACCGCGATGCAACACCATACTGTTGCCAGCACGGGCATGACGACGGAAACCGGCAAGCTGCTGCTCCAGTGCAAAGATGGTAGGGCGGGGATCCGTGGCTGGAAGATGTGTTAGTGTGGACTGGCTAGTGACCGGGGGGGGGGGGGGGAAGGGGCACTTACGCCAGGCAGCGGAGATCTCAGCCAAGTTCAGGTCGAGCTTCACCTGCTGGGTGCGCAGGATGATCTGCCACAGCTGACGTGCGGAGATAGTGTCAGCTTGAGCAGTAGGAGAGGGAGTGGAGACGGAGGGCTGGTTGTCGCGTACAGTGTTGATATTGGTATTGTTCCATGACATCTGAGGCCCACGTTGGCCGCCCTGGCTCGAGGTCACCTTAGAGCAGACCTTAGAAGGGGCCATGGTCTCGGTCTTTGAAACGAAGAGTGATGTATGATAGGATGTGACGTTGGTGATAATCGTATGTGTTGAGTATGCGGTGTTGTGTGAAAGGGTGACAAGTTGGAGAGAAGAAAAAGAGAAGAATGAGAAAGTAACAGAACAGAATTTTGTGAGTGCTGGTTTCGTGGGATCGAGGATCCGGAACGTTCTACTTGTGAACCAGGGTGAACCCGGGTGAGCCCTAGATTTTCTTGGTTCAGACATGTAACTGTGAATTGGTTGCCGCGGACGCAGTGGAGGTTGTGTATAACTGGTTGCCTGTTTGTAAGATCTTTGTTCAGGTTCTTTCAATCATTCACAGATTCTGTGTTCCACCCCCTACGGAGGGCCAGTTGGCTGCAAAGGCCTCATGAGGCCACCCAATGATATATGATTTATTCCTTACATATTGGCCGACTTGGAGGATGATGACGCAGATTGCGAGGTTGAGCCGAGACCAAACTGCGTGGAGAGGCTATATCTTGTGCCGTGCCTGCAGAGATACTGGTATTTCGAAGGAGACACTAGAGGTGATAAGGAGGACTTGGCGGTGCTGGCTTCAAGACGTGGCGCAGGTGGAGCGATACGTAACGGTGGAAATAGCTGATGATATTATAAGTCTTCCCTTCACTCAACCATCAATCTAGTATAGTGCGATGTGTAGTGGGCCGATGAGCTAATTTCATGCGATAAGCTAACAAATAGCGCGTCGAAGAGCTCAATACTATCTTGAACACTACCATACGAGTGTGCAGTGTTGATATAACTGAGAATCTTGTTCACTGCATGTTGAACGTGATAGAGAAAGTCTTGCCCATCCCAATGGCAAAAGGCCGATAGACGATGCAAGTAAACTACCAAGATATCAGCAAGTACTTGGTCTCAACTTCTACGCTGTCTAAACTACCACCCGCGTGGTTTGGACATTCTCATAAGCTAGCGGAACAGGAGACCCCAGAGCAGACCGTTAGCCTGTTGTCTTCAATTGTCCATGAGTATTGGATGAACGTGACGCTAGTTGAGAGATAACAATGGAAAGGCATGACCAGCGGCGGACCCTTCGCCGTTAAATCACTCGTTGCTTTGAATCTGAGATACGTCCTATCCACTGGTGACAGTGATATGTTATCGATTCACTGTGGTCAGTCAGACCCTAGAGGGCGAGGGTTGAACTATTTTAAGTTGCCACGATATGCAAATGATGGAGTTGTTGCTATCTGCAACAAAATTCAAGTCAGAGATAGCGAGACATTACGTCGAATAAAGAGTCCATTAGAAACAGAGATAGATTTTGCCCAGATGATTTGGATAATCTAGAATAGTTTGGCTAGAATAGGCCTCAGATAAGTGAAACGAGGGAGTCCTAGGTATAAAGGATATTTTGAGAACAGTTACCCGGCGTGAGTGACGAGTCCTCCAACTCGAACGCCTTGACATAATAGGAGAACTAAGTACCCTCTACAGAGTATGGTCAACCTGCCAAGACGGCACATCGGCTACGCAGTGGAGCCTTCGTGATGGTGATTCCTGCACCGTTGGGTCGAGACCCACTGCTTCACTCTCCTCAACCTCCGATCCATTACCGAGTTTTGCACTTCAGCTGCTTTGTTCCTGACTTCGAGGCTTTCCTGGCTTAGGTAATTTTAGGATTACTCAACATGTTATGTCTCGAGGCAGTGTCCTCCGTTTTATGATATTGGCTTGCGTGAAGGCAAGTAGTATCCCAGTCGGGACACTCTTAGGGTCTAGTGCAGTGCCATAGTGGATTTTTGTTTGCCTTTGAGTATCGATTACGGAGATAGATATTAGATACACAGGAGTGTCGAATGACATTAGACACATTCCACCAAGGTACGCGGATCTTTCGACGTTAAATAAGCTTATCTTGGCGCGAGGAGATGTCTCGTTCGATCCACATCAGCCCAGAAGATATCGTAGTGTTCCTGGAAACCCTCAATTTAGTCCAAAAGATCTAGTCTGCGACCATATTTTTGTGGTCTGAATCCCTCAAGACAGTGGCTGATCTTCGTCACACTCCGAGAAATGCTGAATAATGGAACATTTGATTGGTATAAAATTCTACACGCCTATACTCTCCAAGTGCCAACAAGCCTGCCTTTCTGAGATTTCGAAGGCCGACGATGTATTCCACACAGCAGGGACATATTTCCGGTGACGGTTGAACCTCGGTGTGTCCCTTTGAAAAATATTAACAGCGGCCAAGTATAGTATGTGGGTCCCGTGTCTGTGGCAAATTCGCCATACTTTATCTGCGATAAACGAGGCCGGGTGTCCAAGTGGACCGCAACGCTCGCGAAAGTCGAGAACACCTGAGCTGTGTAAGCTGGGCATAGAGCAGTATATCAAGAGTCAAGACTAGGCAGACTCAAAAGCCTAAGACAATTATAGTAGTTAAAGATCTTGGCGATTCAAGTGAATGTAACATTGGGCTTATGATGTAACAAGGGTCTTACATGTAGGATGGTCTCCGTTGTGAGTTTTATTGGATGAGATGGATTGATTTCAGGGAGTATTCACTGTTATGTGCTAGTTGCAAAGGGTATGATGCTGTGTGGTATGGTGCTTGGTTTCATTCCTCATCTGGAGGCTATCCGCATATGCCATCCCCGTAGGCGAATTGTCTCCTTTCCCCGTGCATACGTACTGTGAATGGCGACTGAAGCTGTACACTATGCAAGAACACAAAAACAACAAGGACCCAGCTCCGGTGGTATGAATTGCTCCGTCTCGGAGAGTTAGGGTACTCAGCAGCGGATCCAGGGAGATGTGGGCCAGTGGATACCGGACGTTCCGTTGAATGGAAGATTCCATGAAAAACTCTAATCCCAACGAAACTGAGGCAACAACGGAGATGCTTCTGATTATATGATATCCCGGCTTAGCAATCGGGATGTATCTACCGGGAGTAGAGTATGTATATAATAGGGGCCCTCTTCGCGAGGTCTTGGTAGTATAATCAGTCTTCGCTTTTCCCGCATACCCAAGATCACAAGAGGCAACATGAGCATCACCTTTGACGTATACCGTGGCTCCAAGGAGGGCAAGATCGTCGCGGATAAGACGACCCGTCCCCTTCGCCCGACAGATGTCTACATCGAAACAACACATTCCGGCCTCTGCGGCACAGACGAGCATTTCTTGCATTCGGGCCAGGTGCTTGGCCACGAGGGCGTCGGAGTTGTTCGACAGGTTGGCGACGCCGTGACACACGTTCAGGTCGGTGACCGTGTTGGATTCGGATATACACACGAAGTTTGTGGAATTTGCGATCACTGCATCAGCGGTATGTTCAACTGCTCTTCTCTATCCCTTATAGGTAACTAATGTGCCTGCAGGCTGGGACCAATACTGTGTCAACAAGAAGGAATACGGAACTCACAACCACGACATCGGTACCTTCAGCCGCGGCGTCGTCTGGAACGCCGGCAACGTCTTCAAGATCCCCGACGGCTATGACTCCGCCAACGCGGCGCCCCTGATGTGCGCCGGTGCCACGGTCTGGACTTGTCTGACCGAGTACGGGCTCCGGCCCACAGACCGCGTCGGTGTCATGGGCATCGGCGGTCTGGGCCACCTGGCCATCAAGCTGGCAGCTGCCATGGGCTGCCACGTCGTGGTGCTCTCCAGCTCCGAGCGGAAGCGCGAAGAGGCCATGCAGTTCGGCGCCTCGGAATACCATGTCTTCTCCGCCGGACAGGAAATGAAGGACTTCAAGCCGTTGAAGCATCTTTTGCTCTGCGGCAGTGCTAACGTTGACTACCCATCGTAAGTTCTATGGAATTGTTCTCGGAATGCATGGCTGGTTCGCTAATCATTTACAGTCTCCTCCCTCTGATGGACGTCCATGGCACGATCTACCCCCTCACCGTTGACTTCAAGCCCTCCGCCGTTCCTCTGCTTTACATGAACGTCAAGGGTATTCGTATTCAGGGCTCGCTTGTGGCGTCCCGCAAGAGCCTCAAGTCCCTGCTGCAGTTCGCCGCCGACAAGAAGATTGAGCCCACGATTATGAAGTTCCCCTTGAACGAGGCTGGTATCGAGGATGCCATGCAGACGTTGAGGGACGGTAAGATGAGATACAGGGGTGTTCTTGTCCGCGAGTAAGCTGGTGTTCGATGTATGATATATTTATACCCTGATAGACATTGTATAATATAAATAGAATATGACGATATTATGGATTTATGTATGATCGCCATGCTGAAGGCTCCAGTGGCAAATTGCTTACACGTCTTATGAACACGCACTATTTATAGATCTGGGGCATTTCATTAGTTCCGACACAACCTGGAGTTTTGTCTGGAGTGCCTGCCGCGATCTGCTATTCGGTGGGGTGCCCAGTGTATCATCCATCTCCAGGACTATTTTGACATTCGCTATATGTGACTTCTATCCATTTGACCGAATAACGTAAGGAGTTTGCGCTATGAATAATATGACATCATAATTGTCAATCCCCACAATATGCCGTAAGAGAATCGAAGAATTAAACGAGATACACAAATAAAAGGGGGGATTGGCGTCACAAAGAATCGCCAGCGAAATAACGACATGGCTAGAACCGGGATATCGAAGATGAGTTCCAGAAGGGTAGGTAAGCAAAGAAAGAGAACCGATATAGAAAGAGAAAAGAGAGCAACGAGAGCTAGTGATTGTCGAAAATTACCTCAGCGTCGGTCATCGGCGTGTCTTGGCTGTTGACGGACCCATCGGCTAACGGATCATCCGATGTTTTCGATGCTTCGGCTTCGGCCTCTGTTGTAGAGACGGTCGAAAGGACTTCGCCATGGTTAATCTGATTTCGCTTCTTGATCGCATTCAGCACATTGCTGATCTGGTTCATTTCCTCGTCGTCGCTAAGCTCACCCTCGTGTGCAATGAGCATGTCGACTTGGCGCGGCGTAACCCGGACGTCCTTGTTGTTATCCTCGTCTTCATCGTCGGCAATATCTTCATATTCCCCATCGAGTGCAGGAACAAGCGGGAGGTATGGTACGTCTGTCATCTGGACGGATGGGCTGAAAGTCGTGGTCTTCTTGATGTTCTCCAGTACCTTCGTGCATACTTGCGTCAAGTATGTGTCGGTGTTCTGATTTGCCATGTTGGATGGCTTGACGTCCAGGATATAATCTGGCGCATAGTACTGACACGATATGTTAATACCCCGTAAACCGGCTGATCGTAGATCACGTACCCCGTAGAAATCATCGTAAGGCAGGTCGGGCCCAACCTCCTCTCCTACCACCACACCCGTCTCGAACGCCCACGTACGCGCGACATTTCGCATGGTGTAGCCGCCACCTCCCACCAGCATGGTGGGCAGATTGAAACTCTTCACATAATTCACGCAGTTGGCATGGCCTCGCATACTCAAATTAAAGCTTCCGAGACGGTCGCCAGACAAGCTGTCCCCGCCGCATTGCAGCACAACCGCATCCGGGCGATACCAATCCATGACACCTTTAATCACTTGCTGAAATACTCGACTGTAGGATACATCATCCATTCCAGGGCGCAGAGGTACATTCACAGAATGATTCTTGCCCTCTTGCACGCCGATATCGCCGATATCGCCGGTCCCCGGGAAGAAGTCCCCGTACTGGTGGAAGGACACGGTCATGACCCGATCAGTCGTGTAAAACGCCTCCTCGACGCCATCGCCATGGTGCACGTCAATGTCGATATACAGTACGCGCTGATGAAAGCGCAGTAGTTCCAGAATTCCCAGGACAATATCTACCCCACATGAGCCGAGGCCGACGAACCGAATTCGATGGTTACGAGGAACTCACCATTCACGTAGCAGAAACCATTCGCCTCGCCTTTCTTCGCGTGGTGAAGACCACCGGACCAGTTGATCGCTATATCGCATTTTCTATTATTTAGACGGGCGGCCGCTTCCATACTACCGCCCGCACTGATGCTGCAGAATTCAGACAGGCCATCCCACACGGGATTGTCGTCGTTGAAATTGTATTTCACCTGCTCAGTCAGGTGCTTGCTGATGGAGTCGGGCGTGACTTTGAACAGAAAGTCGATATATTCATCCGAGTGGAACCGCGTCATCTCATATTTCGTGGCTGGTTTCGCACGCTAGAAAACGCCCCGGGAGGTAAGCACGGAAAAATGCCTCATAACAAGGGCTACAAAGACTCACGTAGATTTCCATCTTCTTGTAGAGCCCGTAGTTGAGGATGAGGCTGTGGGCCATCCTCATCCGGTGGGGCTTCATTGGGTGCCCGGAGACGTAGGCGAAGTTGCCCACGTCGGAATCATAAAAGTAGGCGACTCGCCGCTTGCTTGCAGAGGCATGGTTCAGACTGAATGAATCGAGGGGAGTGGTCGTTAACATATCCGTCCAGGTTAGCGACGAAGGCGACGGTGGATTAGTTCTATGGGGGATGGGAGTGGAAAACCGGAGGGTCCGCCGTGATCAAGCAGTCGTCTAGACGGTATACAAGTCAAAGAGAAGGAGATAAGAAAGCAGACGAAGCATATATAAATAGTGTAGCTCGAAGGGCTCCCCAGTCAAGTGACTGCCGGCTGCTGATTGGTGATGGCGCCTTTATGTTAGAATTGCCTAAAGGGGTTACCACGCTGATTCTCTCAGCCAATCGGATCGCCAGGACTCCCGCGGGCCGCAGAACGAAGGCGCGTGTTTCCCCTTCCGGCAATTTAATCGCATCGCACAAACTGGGAAATATCATCTGATTGCTCCAACCCTGCCACGAGGACGTACAATGCGCGTTATTTCTACCTAATTAGCTGTCATAATGACCATATCATTCGATGAGTGGACCTCTCTCCTATTGCCATCTTCCTCTCTCTTATACTCCACTGGACACATGACTGGTGGCAACCCACAGCGGTTTCAAGCAGAGAATGTATTGGACATGTCCCTATAGCACCGTTTTATCTAGCATGCTTTGTGATTTACGCCGCTAGACGCCTATTTCTAGTCTAATACTCACTCTATCACCCTAACTTCTCCAAGGCCTTCCATCACAAAGAACAAAGGAATGCACCTTCCAGAATGATGAAAGCTTTTGAACTGCCACAGCACGGTGCGCATGAAGGCTTATACAGACAGTATGCTTACATGGAAACTCGCTAAGATCCCAATAGGATGGCAGATGCTTTCCCGGCTTTGATTGGTCCCCAGGTCATATTCAAGCAGTGCGTACTGTCATCTGTTACGGGAAATGACATACAGTTCAACGAGTAAATGATTGTAGGCAATGTATCGTAACGTAAAGTAGACCTGATGCTATGAACTGTCCTATGCGATGTCATAGCGCTTTCTACTCGCTGTATAGATTCATTTACATATATATCAGTGTTAGGACTAAACCCTACCTGCCACCTTGCCGATACTCCTCCCCATTTTCAACACCTATGGCTGAGTATCTTGGCAACTAACCGTCCCAACACATAATATAGTGTTTGTCTGGGATATTGCAGATGCATGGGTGAGCGACCGAAGGGAACGATAAGCTCAGCGTCATCATGACACTGTATACGACGTCCGTCACACCCTCCATTCCAGCGTTATATATACAGGGGACAGAACTTCCAGATCACACCTACTACCATACTCCTTGAATGACATAGTCCAACAATGTCATCCGTAAACTCACCTCCGACCGTCATTGCGACGGAGCAAACACCCGAGGAAGAGGTACGTAGAACCCCACCAAACTATATAATCAATCAGCCACAATGTTCGCACCGCAAAGAGCTTACATTTACGACTCACAGCACAACATCGCAGTGGCAAAGGAGTACATGTCAATCGCTTACTCTCCGACCGACAACAAAGGTGCTGAGTCGGTCCGTCACCTCTGCACGGCCGATAGTTGGTTCTGGAGCCCTTCTACATTCCCGGGATGTGCTACCCCCATGGATTATGCTGACTCTCATGCGCATGTCATGGCGTCCGTGAATGACTTGCACATCATACGCTATGATCAGGCGTGGGCTAAGGACGGCCATGTGCTGTTGCGATATACGGCGGAAGGGTCACACTCAGGCGAGCCTTATCAAGGTATCGAACGGTCAGATCCACCGAAAACGGCACAGTGGAGCGCTGCGGCTATCTTTGAGATTGAGGATGGGAAGGTCAAGAGCTTTACGAAGGATTGGGATCAGAAAGTCATGCAGGTAACTCTCTCACACCATTGGAATAGGTGAGTATAGTAGCTAACCGTCGATACAGATTCAACTCGGTTGGGCACCCGTTGGTGCGAGCAAAGATCCCCGATGGGATCACGAGATGCTTGCACAGCCTGAGCTGGCTCGGTGTGAGGAGTAGTTATGCAAGGTTGTGAAATCCATATTTCATGTCTCCATTTTGAAGTATATGTTGGCTGAACAAAAATATTTGTGGGGTCGCGTGTGGGTGTAGTTGATCATGAAGTAATACTTGATTAAGCTAGGGCCTAAATCTCAAAAAGTTCTTCAGTGACAGACTTCAGAGTTCTTTTGCTGGCCGAGTATCTATATCTAATACACCCCCAGTCGTATAATCGGCTGTTGACTTTAAATCGAGTCCATCGTTGCCTTCAACAGCGCTAGCCTTCATTTGGCTTAGCGTTGATCGCCTCCGAGATGACTAAAAGTGGATCAATTTTTGATGGAGATTCGGAATTAGATACATATGTCACGTCATTTTCCTTTCGATTCTTCCATGGTATTGTTCTTCTCATTCCCTGCCCTGTGCTTATCATCTGGTGCGCTAGTCTACATATTTCCTTGCTCAATGGAACCCTTTTTCTTCTTCCTTCCTCCAACAGTTGTCTCATCCTCCACATCATTGTTGTATCTCTTGTTGATATTAATGCCTTCTCCCGTAGCTCCATTGTATTAAGCACGACCTAATTCACAATTCTGGAATAAGATGAAAGGAGTGAACATATCCCAACGCCGCCTTCCATGCTGCAATGTACTGGCCGCCGAACGTCTTGAAAATCTCTCGAGTTATTGCCTCGCAACTTTCTAGTCATCGATACCGACACAGGGAACCGTTATGTCTCTTGCTCTGCAGCGTGGGTGCTAGACAGTATCAAAAAGCGACAGTATGTCGGATCATTGAAGCAGGGATATATTCCAAGGCAAACCACTCCGAGAGCTGGCTGACACTGTGCGAGACGCCTAAATGCCTCCTAACCGCCTGCGTAGAGATGAAGGTAGTATTCTCGTAGTTTTTCCAGACCGGTAGTTGTACGGTTTCGTGAGCGAAGTTGATCTGGAGAGTGACAGGCTCGAGAAACGAGGTATCGATCTCTGCCACAAATACACCGGAGCACCCACGGTCTACATGGTACTGAGCGCGGCGATTCGCATCGTCTTTGGAGAGATCGACATTATTAACATCTCTGGAGATATGACCAGTCGCTTATCACTCACGTTCATTATTAAACACAGAGATGAACGGCGAGGGCTGAATCAGGCAACGATGCCAATCCAGGTGTTCCTCTATCTTTGCTCTGTTGAGCCAGTGGGATAGCGACATATGGTAATGGCCTCTAGCCTCTAGATTCAAAGCCTTCCCAAGGGCTGTAAGAAGTGAAAGAGCCGTCATGCTGACAGCGGAAGAACTGATGGGGCAACTGAGACATTCTGAAAAGTCACTGGTGCTGGCTGAGGGTAATAGGAAATCGAGGAGGTATGCGATCGAAGCAGATTTGTACAGTCAGGGTACATGTGACTCCTCGTCACGGGGGTAGGTAACATGATATATCGGCTTTACTTGGACGAGGAAGAAGACATGTGCGAGCAACATATGGGAGTATGTCCGCTTAAATACCCCAGGATTCTTCGTTTGAGTACATTTACCACCTGTTAGATTGTACCCACCACAACCAAGATCATGCTTTCTGGAAAAGGTCTCTTGGTGCACTCATTATACGAGCAGGCCATAGTACAGCCTTTCACTGTTGCCCTTTCATCCAACCATTTCCCTCTTAGACAAAAGGCAATGCTGCTAGAATGCTTGCCCGTATGAGACTAACGGGACAAAGACTCTTCAGCCCCGAATTACTTGACATGGTAGATCAAATGCAGTGGTTTGCATCAAGACTGTCGCTTGAGGAAGTAGTACTTCCGTAGTACTACTCGCACTAGGTTGTATACAGGACCCACAGTGGGGTCGCTCGGAACTCCACCTGCCATTGATAAGGAATAACCAGGCTATCAATCGGTTTCCATGAGCCATAGTAAGAAGAGCCCTTTGAGGCTCAGTTGCATTGAGGTGTGACGTGAACGCTCTAACCAATAAATGCCTGTCGTGATAATGTCGAGTTCTTCCTGCAAGTCGATTGCGATCAGGTAAATGATGCAAGTTGGCTCCTGATAGATAAGGACAGCGTCACAATGGAAATGCGGGGTTATAGCTTATCAGTCAACAATCCCTCCTCCGAACCCCTCACTACAAATACACTTGAAGACCACCCATTGTGACATGCTAGAGAAATATTCCATCTCTAAACCTCTACCAAGCACCAAGTCCACCATGCCGGACCCCATCCCCCATGTATCCAACTGGATCAACGGCGCCTACACAACCGCAACCCGGCAAGTAATCACCGTCCTCAACCCAGCAACCGAAACCCCCATCGCCACCATCGACTCGACACCCGAAGAAACAGTCACCACCATCGTGTCAGACTCGGTCCAAACCTTCCGCACAGGACCATGGTCGAAAGCTGAGCCCTCAGACCGCTTCACAGTCCTCTCCACCGCCGCCCGAGTCCTCCGCACCCGCCTACCCGAATTCATCGAGCTCGAAACCCGCCAAACAGGCGCCCCATTCGCGAGATGCAAACCCAATTATCCCGTGTCCCAGAATGGCTTGAATACTTCGCCTCGCTGGCCCGCGTCCACGAAGGCAGAGTCACGCCCTTCAAGGGTCCCGTCGTGAACACCCTCACCCGTCTCCCGCTAGGTGTCGTCGCACAGATCACACCCTACAATCATCCACTGCTGATCGCGACGAAGAAGATCGCAGCAGCCCTCGCAGCGGGGAACGTGGTTATCGTGAAGCCGAGCGAGCTTGCGCCGTTGTCGGTTCTGAAACTGGGTCCCCTGTTCCAGGAGGCAGGACTACCCGACGGCGTCCTCCAGATTATCTCCGGTAATGGGTTCGAGACGGGGAAATTCCTTTGCGAGTCGCCACTTTTGGCTAAGATCGATCTCACCGGGGGATTGGGGACGTACCGGGCGGTTGCACCTGTTGCAGCGCGGAATATGGTCCCCGTCACGGCGGAGCTGGGGGGCAAGGCGCCTGTTTGTCTATTTCCGAGTTTGGACGTCGAGAGAGCTGTTCAGGCGGCGTTGTTTGCGGGGTTTATTGCCAGTGGACAGACCTGTGTGACTGGGAGTCGACTGTTGGTTCATCGGGAGATCTATGGGGCGTTTCGGGAATTACTGGAGAAGAGGGTGAGGGGGTTAAGGGTTGGGGATCCAATGGATGGGCGGACGCAGATTGGGACGGTTATTTCGAGGGCTGCAGTGGAGAGATGTGCGGCGTTTGTGGATCGGGCGGTGCAGGAGGGTGGCAGTGTGGTTTGTGGTGGGCATCCTACCACGGGGCCACATGGGAAGGGCTTCTTCTTTGAGCCTACTATTATTGAAGCCCGGGCTGATTCGCATCTTGCTTCTAATGAGGTGTTTGGACCGGTGATTGCGCTAATCCAGTGTGAGTCGGAGGAGGAGATTGTCTCTATTGCGAATAGTACCCCGTTTGCCTTAGGTGCGTCGGTCTGGACCCATGATTTTAATCAGGCTCATCGCGTTGCGGACAAGATTGATGCCGGCATTGTGTGGATTAATGGTCATCATTTGAACGACCCGTCGTCGCCGTGGGGTGGGTTCAAGGAGAGTGGGATCGGGAAGGAAAATGGTCTGGAGGCGTATGAGAGTTATACTAAGGTCAAAAGCACGCTGATTAACTACGGGGTAGCCCCTACATGGTTTGATGACGAAGCAACCAATGCTCGGTATGGGTGAGGGTTGAAGTGGTTCCAGTGCAAGTCATCTTGATAGTCATAGCACTTATATCCAGCGTGTAACCTCCATGGGTGCGTGGTTAGTTCACTGCTTAGAATTTTACACATTGATGTTAATTTTCAAAGCCGTAGATATTCAAACCGTAGCTATGAACAAACGATTTACATTCTGGTAAATGGAAGACAACAAAAAAGAGCAGTAACATTATTCATACCGGAATCAATTCAATTTCCGCTCCGTTCAAGTGCATCTATACGAGAGCAATTTAAAGCGCATCAAAAGCCTTGACCGCAGCTTCGGCGGTCACATGAGCACTGGCGGGGTTTGCACCAGTGACAATCCGTCCGTCCGTGATAGTGAATGCATCCCAAGGACCGGCAGGGGAGACGTCTTGAAAAAACGATTAGACATGTATTATACGGCGGAGGGGGAAACTTACAGGTAGCTCCGGAGGAGGCGGCGGAGGACTCAATAGTGGGCCTGTTCCAGCTCTTGATGGTGTCCAGGACACCTTCTTCCTCCTCACCTCGGGTGGTGAAGCCAGTAACCCTGCGACCAGCAATAACAGACTTTCCGGTGGCGGGGTCGATAATACCGGGGAAGATGGCTCCTCCATGGCAACTGCGGGGTATTAGTATGCCGCCACCGATATTTTGAGGGAGAAATAGAAGTGATATACATACACAGCAGACACAATACCACCATCAGTATACACCTTAGCAGCGGTTGACTGCAGCCCCTTGGCATTGGGGTAGTCAATCAGCGACGCATGGCCCGCGGAAGCAAAGAAAAGGCCATACTATTCAACGGTTAGTGTCGGACATAGTGTGTTCGTTTTCGCAAGTTGGCACGTACGTTATCCGGGTTGATGTCCTTGGGACTCAGCAAATTATCAAGCTTGGACCGAAATTCACTCGAGCGATCTTCCCAGACAGCACGATCCTCCTCTGGAAGCCACTCTTTCTGCTGGGATAACCAATCCGGCTGGTAGGTACCATCCTCGGAGACGAGGTCGACCTCGAAGCCTGCTTTCTTGAAGACGTTGAACGGATGAAGCGCCTCAGTGATGAATAGACCTAGGCATCTCTATTAGTTTATTACTAGATTCAAGCCCACTCAGATCCTACCCGTCTCCTTGCCCTCTGGGTAGAGCGGCGCATGGGCGGAAGTGATAGCAATCAACGCCTTGCGTGGGGGTGCCATTTCGAATAGTATAGAAGTTATGAGGATGTAGAAAGAGAATAGTCTTAACAGACAATTGAATCACAGGAGAATGGTATATTTACTTTGTCAATCGAACCGGAAAATACAAGAATTTAAGTATGATTGACCGTAGTATGGATGAGAAGCTTTCGTCCAATGGTGATGTCATGCCGATTGCTCTGGAGTGCTTATGTAAGTCCGCCGGAGGACCGCCCCACTTAAAGGCTTATCCAACTCCGTCGGAGATGAACCAAGACCCAATGATCTCCCCCCTGGACTCGACCTGCTTTCTGTACGATGGACCCGGCCAGAAAGCGCCAGAAAGTTTCTTCCGCCTGTGAGCGATGTCGCCAGCGCAAGCTAGGGGTATGTGGCTCTCCCTCGATCGATTCGTATCCACTTTATGTAGATCGTGGCTGAAAATGGCAATACTACTGGCAGTGCGATCAACAACGCCCGTGCCAGCTATGTCTCCGAGCCGGGGTAACGTGTGTCCCGCGCGGGGAGCCAGTGGCTCGAATATCTCCGATGATACCAGTTGCTGCGCCGACTGGGCAAATGAGAAGCTACAGACGAGCTGCTCCCATTAGTCTCAATGATCGGCATACTGCAGTTCTTCCAGAGCTTAACATTGTTGACCTGAGTACCCAGGTAATGAGACCTCTGGGGAGGACCTTACCACACTCTCGTAACTCGCTGACCACCTGCACACCATGGCGACGATAGATATTTTCGCGCGATGACCAACATCAGGCACTGGAGTACGACACCTCCGCCTTGCCGGGAGGCAAGAAGACCTACAGCCCCCTCGCCTCCAGCCCGATCCCATGGAGAGATGCAATTGGTATAGAGCTGCCTGCACGGCAAGTCCTGGATGAACTCGTTACCCAGTTCTTTGACTCAGTAGATTGGTTTATGATGGTATGTTCTGTCCTCATTTCTGTTATCGCTAACGGCGTACCTCATTGTCGATTCCGCTGGCCTAATGCGATTAAGCCAGGTATTCCACGAAGGCAGCTTCCGACATCGATACGAGAGTCTTATTGCTTCTGTGCATGTTGCTGCACCAGACAACAACTTCCTGTGGCTTGTGTTATTGGTCCTCGGCCTGGGCGCTCACTACTCGTCCCTTTCCGAGCCCTTCAATGAACACTGCCAGAGCCTATCAGTTTTATCTGAGAAGCTCCTCACCCAGATCGAATACAGATTTTTGCAGATTATTGGGTGTCCGAATGTGGAAGCTGTGCAGGTTTGCGTTCTCTTGGGAAGCTTCCACTTATTCAATGGTCGTCCGACTGTTGGAATGGGTGTGTTAGGCAGTGGCATTAAAATTGCACAGGTCATTGGATTACATCGTGAATCAATGTGGCACAATCTTTCCGAAGTGGGGCGAGAGTCTAGACGACGGTCTTGGTGGGCCTTGGAAGTGTTCGACAAGTACGTTATCTCTTTCAGTTCTCCTCCGTCATGTTGTCCTTCTGACGTTATCGTTTAATGTCCAGGTATGCAGCTGTGGCCTTTGGCAGGCCATGTAGTACAGATGACTCTGATTGTAATATTGGCATGGTAACGGATGTGGGGGACATAAGTCCCCGTCAGAGACCTCTCCTAACATATCATCAATGGAAATTCAAGCTTTATCGCATCATGGGTCCCTTTCTAGGGAGAAGGCTTCAAACCAATCAACTCGACACAGTCAAAGTTATTCATGATCGGCTAGTCACATGGGAGAGAGAACTACCAGATAACCTACGTCTGGAAACATACAAGGAAGATGATCACTCGGGACATCCGCCTTTAATACAGCTGGCAGCGCTTGCTCTTCAGTTGACCTACGATAATCTTCGCATCATCCTTCATCGAAGTGTTGCATTTGGAGATATTGGCCCTGAAGTTAGCTTAAACAGAAGGGTAGTCGAGAGCGGGGGCCCTGCTTTCTCTCGTCAACAGCTGCTGGAGTCTGCATTACGAACCTCGGAACTGTATCGATATTCCCATCTTCTGCAGGCCTCTCGCAGGACACACGCCGTAATGCATATTGGGATATGCCTGTTTACATCCGGTGTTGTCCTCTGCGCACTCTCCCTCATGGACCCATTGTCCACCACAAGTCAGAAGGCAAAAGCAGGTATCATGCAAATCATCCGGCTACAGAAGGAAAGGGTATCGAAGCAGCATGTCCTATCGCTTCAAAGCGTCAAGATCCTCGAGGATTTGGTCAATGTTGTCATGCAAGCCGAACAACGAACAATTCTGGGTGACCCTATCCCCACGTCTATCTCCACACCGAGAAGCCGTGAAAAGCATGTTGATGATCAATATAACGACTTCAGCCAAACTAAGACATATACGGGTGTTGACTCTGGTACTGTGGTGACGACTGCTCAAGCGTCTCTTATGCCTCTTCAAGAAGGTAATCCCCCTGTTGTGAAGTATATTACCTTCCGCATAATATTGACAAGGGCTACACAGTGTTTGCTAATCACACACAACAACCTTCGAGCCAAATGGAAGTTTCCATTTCTGGAACTTCGTCCTCTACCTGGCAGGACGCAGGAGGGTTGGGTCATAGGGACTCAGCTTTGGATTCGTCCGCCGGATTCTCCTGGGATGGGAACATTTCTTCGCTAGTCGACTCTGGACTTGCTGACGCCAGCCAACTGTGGCTTTGGTCGGATAATCTTGGTTATCAGTCATTTGCTGAACTTAGTGATATACTACACTGAGGCAATTGGTCTGCGTTCCAATTCAAGCATCGAACTTGATCTAGTTGAGGTTCATCGACATTATGTCACCCTGCAAAGCCTTGCACAATAGGAGTTGTACAGAAGAGCCCCCGATCTCGAAGGAACATGATATATGTTGCCCCTTTAGCATTCATTCTGAGTATGGCTCTGTTGTATTAGTAAAGGGAAACTCAACGTGCTATCATTGAATGTCTCGGCTAATTAGAAAAGGTCGACTAGGATAGTAGCATATGCCAGCAATTCATACAGTGCTTTTGTGAGTTCCTATACCGGCTACTTACTCTCTTATTGCTTCAAGGCGCTTAAGCCCGAGGACTTACTACTCACAATGGGTAATCGTTCTCGAAATATCCTTTATATCTAGAACCCCCTGGTTCTGCTGTTCTAAGTCTCAGTCTAGCTAAATAATCTTAGGGTATCTTTATATCTTACTGAGTCTTCCTTCGATGTAATTTCTCCCTATCTTAAAGCGGTACTGGGAGTAAATTTCCAAGCTGGCTTTATTGCAGACAGAAGTACTATTCTATTAATTGTATACCGTGGCAACCGCAAACAATTCAACCTTCCTCCAGGATCTACCTAACCAAAGTGAGTCAAGAGTATATAGTACTGCCATCAGTGAACAGGACGTATCTCAAAATCAAAGCAACGCGTACTTTAACGACCAGGGGTCCGCTGAAGTGCAAAATCGATAAAGGATCAGAGGTTCAGCAAAGTAGAACTAAAGAAAGGATGATTAGTAAATCGCTTCATGGGCAAGACGCAAAGAAACAAGCGCGTTTGTCTGGACGGAATAACTGACCAGCAACGTAGACAAGACGGGTGGAGAGATACATGTTTCAATGGACAGGAGGTGAATTCTCCATTAAAGTCAAACACGCAACTCGGGTTAGACCGGTGTCCATAATTTTCGGAAAATACGACGTGGTAAAGGTGGCCCTGAAACTTTGGTAAAGACATTGATTAAGCCATAAACACCGGATGATAGAAGTACCTGGATAAGGATTGTTTGGCGGTTGATTGGTGAAATCAATAACAATAAAGTGTTCTATCTTGCCTTGCTTGATCATATCGTAATATTGTCCGTTCGGTTGGAATCTTTGCATGTGTTCTAATACTTTATCACGGTTTCTTATAAATTCTAATCCCCATTTCTTCTGGGTGACAAAGGTTAATTGTTCCACCCTTGATATCTGTCTTGATCAAAAGTTCGGGAGATATAATAGCATGGCCATCGAGCAAAGGAAGCAGACAACGATAGAATTCCTTTTGGCACTGGTCTTCATAGGGCGATGGAGCTGTGTCTGTCATTGAATGCAAAGGATCTGATAGCTGGCAAGGTCGGAAGCTCTTTACAGCATCGATCGCCAATAGTGGAGGAGAGCTATAAGCAAGGTCGTTGTCAGGAATTTTCTCCGTTAAGAGATGCTGACAAAACCTGGAGCAGCGTATTAGCAAGCTTTATAAAGTAAATTGTATAAATATTAGACACTTACCAGCGGTGGAGTTGGTTTGCGAATACGAAATGTATACCATTATCTTAAATCTGTGCATGTAACCACCCATTTACCCATATTCTTTCAAGAGCTTCCTGTAATTCTATACTCTTATTCTCAAAGCTAGACTGATAGATAACCTCACAAGCAATAGCATCCTTGAGGACACGAGCGACACTCTGTATAATCTGCGCTGGCGAGTGATGCCCTGGCGGAATGCGAGTAGTACATACTACTAAGATACGTTGTCACATGACGTATCAGGTGGCTATTTCGAACAAAAGGACAAGAGGAAATTCGCAGTTCCAGGTCACGGTACGTTGTAAATCCACGTGGGATAATCTTTCTGAAGTCGAGCGGGATTCCTCCGACTGACGCACTTTCGACCCACAGTCACGCAAAGATAAGCGCCGCGGGACGACGTTGTTGCACAAATACTCTGTCATTCTTCTTTTCTTCCGTCAACAAACTGTGCACCATCGCGCGAGACTGTTTACTTACCTAGAAGAGGGTTAAATGTGTCGGCCAGGTACTTGGGGAGCGAGTTAGACCTGGAAAGAGTTGCCTTCCAGTCGTCCCAAGCCACATCACTAGATTGCTCATATCACAAACTGTAATAATGGCAGCCAAGAGTGGTCTTCTCGCCCCAGAGTCAAACCACCGTGAATTTACCCAGCGATCAAGACTACGCCGCTTGAGACGATGGCGGCGAGCTCTGTGCACCCTCCTCCTGATAGGAGCACTTGCGGCCCTGCTGCAAGCCGAATCCAAGGTCAATATAGTTCCTTATCCACGTTATTCAACCGAATCAGATCTGTTCAATGAAGGTATAAACAGATGTTATGAAGCTCAGAGTCGGAGCCACAATCGAGTCGCTTCGGAAACCAGGCTGAACAACCGGTGGAATCCAACCTCCGGCCAGAAGGGCGATATTGTTATACAGAACGCGACTCTCTTCGACGGAGAGTCTACCCGCCACGGGAGATTCGATATTCATTTTTCGTCTGGCGTGGTACGATCAGTGTCTCCCACTCACTTGGACCATCCCATTCTACAGGGCGCTCGTATTGTCAACGCGCACGGGAAGTTCATTACCCCTGGGCTGGTGGACATGCATTCCCACCATTTATTGCTCCCATTTCCGCAGCTTCCGGCTACAAGCGATGTCAATGAGCGACCGCTACTGGGTCCCATCACTCCCTTTGTCCGTGCCATCGATGGCTTTAAACCATACGATCCTGCCATTAAGATCATCGCTTCTGGGGGCGTCACTTCGTCGCTTGTTCTGCCTGGTTCGGCGAACATTATCGGAGGCGAAGCATACATGGTCAAGAACCTGCCATTATCTGGAGCGGCCGGCGAACCCGTAGTGGAGGAGTTGCTCTTGGAATACGGTCTACCGGAAAGTAATCGCCAGCGATACCTGAAAATGGCTTGTGGCGAGAACCCGAAGGGAGTGTACGGCAACACGAGGCTTGGTCTCACCTGGCTTCTGCGCAAACGCCTAGAGGAAGCACAGGAGTTGTACGACCGACAAACTACCTGGTGCAGAGCGGCACTTGATATTCAGGAGAGCAGCTTTGCTAAAGCACATCACGTTAAAACCTTCATCAGGAACCATGGAACGCGACCGGAATCTTTCGAACTTGAAACACTAGTCGCACTTATCAGAGGCGAGCTCAATGTGAACGTACATTGCTACGAGCCCGAGGATCTCGAGCGCATGCTGTCTGTGCTCCACGAGTTCGGAGTTCATCCACAGGCTTTCCATCACGCATTGGAGGCATGGCAGGTACCAGAACTGTTGAAGCACCTGGAGGAGTTAGTTACGCAGCCTGTGCATGATGATGGATTTAGCTGACGGATCTTAGAAACGTCACTATCGCAACCTTTGCAGAGAATGCTCTCTTCAAAGCCGAGGCATATGGTGCGAATCTAAGAGGCCCGAAAATACTAGACGACCATGGAGTTAAGGTTGCCCTAAAATCGGTATGGCTGCATTAGACATAAACATGAAACGGTGGTTACGGCTGACCTCTGATTCTAGGATCATACTGGAGAGGAGAATTACGCAAAATATTTAATGTAAGAATCTGCAAGACCGGATTTGAGAACCAATATTTTGACACCAGTACTGCTAGGTACCAAGCCGCTGTTTCCCATTCTTTTGGTCTTTCGGAAGATAGATCGTTGCAAGCAGTTACATCCATACCTGCTCGGTCGGTCCAGCAGGACCACAGAATTGGATATGTTCGCCCTGGATACGACGCAGACCTGGTTATCTGGGATGACCATCCGCTGCAAGTCGGAGCGACTCCACTCGAGGTCTTCATCGATGGCCGTGCCGTTTTGGGCGACTATGATTCCCTAGAAGAGCTGATCCACAGGCCCAGTTCTGTAGAGTCACCAGATGCTCCGGCGACGAGGCCTTCGATTCTAGACCACCAGAAAGATGACATTTGCTCGAGAGTCCATAAGTCCCCCTCGAAAGTACTCTTTACAGGGGTCAAAACGGTCCTAGTTGATACCCCATTTCCCGTCGAAGATACAAGCGATGTCGTGTTACTTCTTGAAGACGGTAAAGCTGTATGCCTCGATAAGAGATCCACCTGTCTGTCCACTAAACAAAAGGAACAAAACGTGACCGAACTCCGCCTGAACGATGGCTATATTACCCCAGGTCTGGTGGCCTTTGGAAACAACCTCGGAATCCAAGATATCCCATCCGATGAATCTACTGGCGATGGATCGACAGGGAGAAGTGCAGATGTCCTGAATGAACAAAAGAGTCTCCATTTTGCCAAGTACGGTGTGCATCTCCATAGCAGGGCATTCACTAGAGCGAGGATCGGCGGAATTACAAAGGCAATCACTGCACCTCGGTCTAACGGGGGCATTATCCAGGGGGTCAGCGTTGGTATACGTACAAGTGAAACTGCCACAATTCTTGAGGATGGAATCTGGAAGGATGACGTTGCACTACATCTCACAATTGGACAGTCAGCTAAAGGTGAATGATCTAGGATAATATCCTTGGAACCATTGGGGGATTATAAATAGCTAACTAGTGTTTTCCCAGGTGATAACACACCGACTGTCGCGTCTGGCGTTGAACGTGTGCGACAAATACTAGAGGCAGGTCAGGAAGGTAGACAAGGAAGTGCCAGCATATATGTCCAGGCTGCCAACGGCTCGATCCCGGTAGTGTTCGAGCATACAACCAGGTAATACCTACTACCTCTCGCTAAGCCAGAAGGATGTTATGGTATCTCTAACTCTATTATTTAGGATGATATCTCCCAGCTGATTCTAATCAAGCGCGACTTCCCTTCCGTTAAGCTCGTCCTCTATGGGGCACACGGTGCAGTCTCGGTATGGTTCAACGGTCCCAGTCAAGCATGTAGTTACTAATCATACTTCATTCACTGTAGGTTGCTAAGCATCTCGCCGAAGCAAACATACCAGTCATTCTAACCGGTAATCGTGGTGCACCGAATAACTGGGAAAAGAAAGATGTGCTCACGGGGCCGCCACTAACCGAGAGCCCGGCGAAGATCTTGACCGATGCCGGAGTACTTCTAGGCTTAGCCGTAAGCAGCGACTCTAAAGTCCATGGCCTAGCACAGGAGGCCCGGTGGGCGGGTAAGTTCGCAGGGCTGAGCGATAAGGAAGCTATTGCCCTCGTGTCGACCAATATTGAGGCTATCTTGGGCACTAGATCAGGGAAGGCGGCCAATAGCGGTGAAAATTCACAACGGTACACGGGTGACTTTGTTGTCTGGGAAGGGAATCCTTTGAGAGGCGAGGGTTCAGTTGTTGTGTCTGTTCAGGACGGTGTGAGTGTTGTCGACTGCTGGCCAGACACTAGCAATGCTGTACTGTGAGTTCATGTAGATCTCATATTCGATCCCGAAATCACTATCCCTTACTACTACAATCTCCAACACACAGCACCAATATCTACAGTTTATATACTCAGTATATCATGTATCAAGTATCAAGAGGTAGCGAAGTTAATAGCCAATCTTTTGTGTCACCTTCTGATTTCCGAGGTTCGCAGTCCAGCAATACAAGCAACTATAAACCTGCTAAGCCGACAGCGAACGGGCTATGCTTCATTGTCCCATTAGTTCAAGAACAGTGCCCATGCTTGAAAAGATCAGGAGTATGGCAGTGATGAATCTACGCTCTAATGGTCGCAATCAATGTATGACCTGGTCCATTATCCAAGACGACAACACCTTCAACCGGGCGATGAACAATCCTTGAGTATTGAATCCCATGAAGAAACTAGGCATATGGGAAACCATCCGCAACGGCATAAAGAGTGGACTGTGTATAGAACCAGGAAACACTGCAGGGAAATAGCCAAAGCCAAAGCAACAAACGATAATAGCCATTGAGCGCTAAGATTTCATGACCGTTCTAGAAAATAACTTTTAACTTCAAACCTTTCTCACGGAGACGAACACCTATCGTCAGGGTCGATCCTACAATCAACAACACGCCAGAGAAGATCTTCATGCCGGTATACGATCCACCCGAGTGTTGCAAAATAGTGCCTGCGATCGGATTGGCCGTCAGACCACCGATAGACGCAAACAGGAAAAGAAGTCCGGTCCTATATCCGATCTCGGGGAATGGGGAAAGCTTGACGACGAGGCCGGGGCAAGCACAACGTACGCACCCGTGGCGAACCCAAAGAGCACAGTGAAGACGATGGTTCCGGCGTTGCTCGAGGCAGGGATCCATAGCGCTAGAACTAGAATGCCGGCGATGTAGGTTACAACCGCGAAGATATTGTAGGAACCGATTGTGTCGGCGAAGGTTCCAGCGCCGAGACGGCCGGAGAGACTGTAGATTTGGATGTTTAGTGACACTTGACGGTAGCGATGTCAAGCCTAGAGTTGAGCCTTACCTGCCTGCGTTCAGAATGGCAACCAAGTACTCCGCCAAATCACGGCCCATGCCCTTTGCCATTGCTTCAGTAACGAGATAGTTCATCGGCACAAATATCCCGAAAGCGAGAATGGAGAAGCTGGCTACTAGTAACATCATTTTTAACTCCTTGAAGGGTCGCATCAGGGACTCCATGGATAGCTTTCGAGGGTTCGGTGGGAGACGGGACCTGACGGTCAGGTTGGCTATACGTAGAAGGAAAAATATGATGAACGCGCAAGTTCTCATGGTCCATGGGAATCCAAGAATGTTAATGATCTTGCTGATCATGATAGGGTAGACGATTTCCCTATGCTTGAGCCGGAGGACACAATGCCGTATACTGCACCACGCTTCTTGTTGAACCAGCTGGGGATGCTGCTTACCCCCGTAAGATGTTAGAGAACATGAGTAGATCAATTGAGGGCGTGGAGTATAGGTATACCTGCTTGGAAAATGGCAGCCACACCAATGGCACTACATACGCCTGGGATACCAGTATCTGATAGTATCTGTTCGATATGGATGTCATCATTAAACCGAAGACATGCAGAAGCGAGCCGCCTAACAGGAGATATCGAGGACCAAATCGGTCGTAGATTTGACCTGCGATTGGCCCCTAGTCTAGAGTACAGCCTGGCTGCGAATAGATTCCGGTGAGGTAGAGAGTCGGTACCATGGCAAACATGAAGAATATCTGCAGCGACGGAATCCACGAGACCTTACTGCTGGAATACTGGCGGAGGAGATTATGTTCGTAGTACGCCTGGAATTCTCCGATACATAATTGGAAGAATTCCAAGAGTCAGCAATGGGGATTATATCTTCTTTGTTTCGGGACTGCAGACGTACTGTTGATCCACCCGAAGCTGCAAAACAGCACACACCACGCACCCAGGACCATAAGCCACGCTGCCAGACCCCCGTCGGGCACCCCGTCAGGGGGCGTCCATGGCTCATCCTTTCGCTTCTCTCATTACCTGCTGATATTTCTGCTGATGATGAGTCGTTTCCTGTTGCGACTGTTGAAGGAGACTGGTCTGTAGATCCGGGAGTGGGCATGATGCTTCCAAACACATCCAGGCTCTTGCTTACAGGTATCTAGACACGGTGTGAGGTCTTCATCTTTTTAGCTTTTGATCTCCTCTCTCGTAGTCGACATCATATAGGAATCGGGTCAAAATAAATTGAGAAGAGACGTTATCTGCGCCCACCCGTCGATGTATTATCCCACTGCAGGTTCCGCAGCAATCCATCATTCGTGAAAAGTCCAGATAGAATGCCTCGTCGTTCCAGATATTGAGCTCTGACGCCTGCGAGTTACCACCCCTATCAATGCGAGGCTGAATCATACGCGACTTGATACTGTTGGTATAGTTTTTCCCTTGAAATTGATGCCTAAGTTGTACATCACGCAGGAGGACTGCATTCTCTCGCCCTATAAATATCAGGAACAGACGGATATCGTGTTCCAATGAAAATCTAAACGTATTGCGGCCGTAGAAGAGACGACGTCCTTCATTATAAATTTGGCGGTTGACTCCTAAGAGCGACAGTAGACTAGCGTGTGTGCCGTTTTGAAGGCAAGTCTTTGTGTCGTGGTCAAGAAGCCAAGAGGTCCTAATTACGATTGCTGTATAACAAAATACGTTTTCGTAGACCATTTCGCGTATTTCTGACTCAGTGTGCCGTTGTGATGTTAGTGATAGCTGTCATGTCTTCGCTTAATATGTTCACTATAAGGGGTGTATAAGGGACACTCTGGACATTTATACGATGCTTCGTTCAAAGTAGTGTAAGGCTTCATGATATCTAGGTCCTTGATCTGCAGAGGATCATGGTGTTCCGAGGGTATCATGAGCCACATGCAACACAACAAATGATGTATGTCGCACGGTGGCATTTTACAAATTGGACAAAGCTGTAGCTCTACCGTGTCCCCGCATGCCTCTAATTGATGCCATGCTTTGCGGTATGGCCTATATAATAGAACCGCACTGCTGTTGGACATATCTTGTAGGTGCTGCTGTATTTCTATAAAATGAGGATTGTAATGTGGAGGAATAGCCCGACTATCGCAGAATATATACGCAACTCACCCTGTTGACGCTACTGACTCTTTGTTAGTCAGGGCTCTTTATACATATTTGACATTCTTTGTATGGTCTTACATATCTAAAGTCTCATACTTGGTCTAAGATGTTTCATGTTGGGTCCTCCACCCCTCGCATATGATCGACACACTCTACGATGTTAAGCCCCAGGTACAGTGGAAAGCTTTGCAGACCGAACATGAGCTCTCATTTCCACGTTTGCATTACTACCTAGCCCGACTCGAAGTACAAAGAGAGTGAAACATCCCTAGGCCTGCAAGTTGTGGGTTTACTTTACGTATAAGCCTACAATCGACAATTCCACAGGCATGTCGCGGCCCACCGATTCCTTTATGCGGATAAATATTTCGGTCAAAGCTACTTTCTTTTGTGGAGAGCCGACCGATCTGACTGTCGTTCCACATATCCCCCTACAGACGACTTCAGATCTCCATCTGGCAACTTAGCTTCCATGATCAGCCGCTCTACCAGAGGACCGTGGGAAGCCTTGATCGTTGCCTTTACGAACGGTGCCACCAGGATGTTACACTTCATCAAGACATCTTCTTTCAATTGAAGTTCGTCCTGCGCATTGTTAGTTCATTCAGTCTTTACAGCCTTTGTGAATGCCTGACCATCTGGCCCTCAACGGTCCACGTATTCTTGGTACATAGCCCCAAGGGAGCGTAAATATGGGTCTGTAGGCCCATCGGAAGGTCCTCAAAGCAAGCCTTATACTTGACCTGCCCTGAAAGAAGCCCAAAGGGTAAATAGGATACCTTATCGGTAATCTCATACCAGACAAGATCACGGTCGGTCTCTGGGGCGTCCTCGTGAGGCTCGCATCTTTGGAGATCAATGACCAAGGGATTCAATTTGACCATCGTCACATGGTTGTGGAGCACCTCCATAACTCTTTCGGATGTGATAGACGGAGGAAGGATCGAGGTGCTGGTGAAGCGATTTTCCACAGTCATCCACGAAAGGAGGTAGGAAAGCATGGTGTCGACTGCATCACCAAATAGGCGGTGAGTCTGGGGAAAAGAGATGATGGCATCCATTTAAATACTGCAAGGGACTCGATGTGTCTCACGTGACTTGTCAGGCCCTTTCAAAAAAGGCATATTTTCGATATTCAGATCTCGACTGTAGAGCATAATTTTCTTGAGATGTGTGGCAAATTCTTGTGTAACGAGGCGGAGTAGGTTCAAGTATGAAACACGCATAGGATATGATCATATTGACTTAACAACCATGGCCCCAATGTCTTCATAATGTACCTCACACTGATTGACAAATGAAGTATGTCGTCTCTAAAAAATTGATATTACAAGGTTAGATTCACGTGTAGCATGTACATTCCTCATCGGATACTGGTTTCGAGGGAAGCACGACCATATTATCTCATGTATGTGTTCTAATTACATCCTTCTTTCAGCAATCATGTGTGCACTGCTAGTACAGTAATGAACTGTGGGGATTTCTCCATAGGCACCTGGGCCAGCATTATCGTTTGTGTGATAAGCCAAAGACTGCATATATGCAACTTGGGATTCTATAACCCCGTCTTCCTATGCCACCACTGAAGGTAATTGCTCCTGGATAGTTGCAACAAAGAGAGTCAACACGACCACATGCTATATGATAGTTGATCTCGCAATGATAGACCGTAAAAAGACATCTTGACCGACGATCAAGGAGGATCCAGACCTATATTCATCACAGAATAACAACAGGAAGTCCAGCCTCTTTACGCATACGATAAACCTTCTCTTTCCACCGTCCGAAATCCCAATACCTTTTGTAGTCTTCTTCGAGGCCTACATAATTCAGATCCTGTAGCCTGTAGTCGAGCCGATACTCTTTCATCACTTTCCCGTCAACGCAGATCCTGATACTTCCCACATACTCATACAACAGCTTTCCGTATGGTGCCATAGGGATACTCATGCCGAGAAGATACCCAACATATTCGCTGATCAAGTCGGCTAGCCATTCTGGTCGCATGAGCAAGTTGAAAACCCCGCTACAGGGTGCTCTATGCGATTCTGCGTTGTCTTCATCGGCGCCCCCATTCAGCCAACTCCAGAAGCTGAGATTGGCAGGTGCTAGCATTTCCTCCCTAGCTGGTGAGACAAAGTCTAAGGTTAACCGGTTGATCGTAAAGAACAGATCGTCCGTACGGGGTGCATCATCGGGGATTCTGTGCTCCGCCAAGGGGCCTACTTCCAGGAAGCGTTCCAACAGATAGTAGAAGGCCCAGAGGATTCGAGGCGGGGAGTCACCGTCGGGCAGAAGGTGGTATCGGCGCCAAATTGGCGTGAAGCTGGTACCAACCACATGAAACGTCACACTGAGATCACCGACATGGCGACAGGGATTTGAAAGAAAACACCATGTTGGATGTAGTTCCCTCTCGTCGCTCAGAATCACATCGAGCTTGAACACAGAAGGTGTAAGTGCATTATCTAGTCTTCTCTTCGTTACTTCGCCAATCCGATGATTAACAAGCAGAAGAGATAACGGGTTCGATAGCCAAGCATCATGGTATTTCTCCTGGTCCCTCCAGTATCTGACGCTGTAAATGCCGTAGTCTGCTGAGAGACAGCTCCCGTCCTGACGGGACCTAGGCTCATAGTTTTGCAATGGGGGCAGGGGGTCTTCTGGGGCCGGGCTTCCATAGCGCAAGACGAGCTCAACAATTCGGTCTAGAACCTCGCTCGGTAGGTCTAAAAGGGAAGTAGGCATTCTGCTAGGTACACTTAATATGTCATGAGGGTTCAATTACGCTCGGTTCAGTATGTGTGGTTCTGTGCGGGCGAGCATACGATTCGTGTTCAGCAGATGCCCAATGCCAAGTCTGTCAGTTGCCTAAGCTCAGCGACAGTTATTTATAGTCGCGCTAACATTGGCGCGGGGGGAGATATTCCGACAATATGCGGGATACATTTCGCACCGGACATTAGATATAGTCAAAGATATGCCATCCGAATCCTCGTTATGAATGCCCCAATCTCTACGAATTATATACTCATATATCATTCGCTCAAGGTTATAGATGAAGCAGATCTTGAAAACTGTGAGTATTGCACCATTCAGTTGAATATTTGATGAACATACAAAAGGTTCTAACATTGATGAAGTGATGAAGTAGGGCTGTTCCTTGGGGCATCGCTATGATAAGCTGCCACAGTGGCTGCATTATATGCCTCTATTGTATACTCTGCCTAAGGCCTCTTATTGCACGGACATAGTATTCCCGCCGACGGTGGTTTTACAGTATTGAGGATGCCTTTACAACTATATAATATCAGAAAAGTCAATTGTGGCTGCCTTCACCGTTTGGGGAATATTAACAGTTCCAGACAATAATATTCCAACTTCAATCTCAGATGAGCAAGATATCTGGGTATATATATCCAGCTTTGCAGCCCTGCGGCTTGTCATCAACAATGGTGGATATCTCTAATCCAGCGCACTATTGAGTGGGCCGATGATCCCCTGTCGTGAGATGATTTTCGGTAGACTTCGATCAAGACTATACTAAGAGAAACTACTCGATGCTCAGCAATATCCACATCTTAGATGTCCTCACCGGTTGGTCTTTGACACTATCACAGCTGTGCAAAACATCAAAAAGTAAACTCGTTGGTCCATCTGGACCTGTGTTCTATCTCGCTCGGGGCGAAAGCTGCTGTGGTAACCTGAGCCCAGCTCTGAAGATATCCTCGATATACCGAGTAGGCTACGCGGCATCTTCCATCCGACACGGTGGCTTACAATACAGGGATCGGCTATGGCTTTGCCTAGCCGTGCTTATTCGGATTACACAGCACAACTCGAAGCCACGTATATATATGGTCACTTTAAGTAACATGGCACTGGACCTCCACTTACGTAGGAGTTAAAATACAATATTTAATTACCTTTCGCCGGCTTATCGGCTCGGGAAACTTGGCACCGAGGATTATAAACCGGATCTTTGGTAGGTCTGGCCCTCTTGAGAACCACAGAATAGCGGCAGTCATTGCGCCATCACCAAAACATCCCTGCACTTCCACATATGTACCTCTACCCTTTTTACTTGAGAGACGATAATGAGCTCCCTTAAAGAAGTACAAAGTGTTCACGAGCGCATCGGATAATTGGCACGTTGAGCTCTGCATCATAGCGTATAAAAGCCATTGCAATCGTGCCGAACATTGTTTGAGCAAGAAATACACCGGACAGACGATTACCATCATTGCATGTCTCTATTTCATCATGACCCCCACCACCATTAGACCTGTCCTCTATGACACCCTGAGGCACTTGATATCCGCCCGTCATTCCACTCGTAACTTCCTCACCAAGTCAGTTTCAAATGACGACCTCAGGAACTGCCTCGCCCTGGCCCAAAATGCACCCTCAGGCTCAAATACGCAGCCCTGGAGGGCGACATTTCTATCAGGCGATGCTCTCACCTCCCTAAAGACGGCATTGGCTGCGGCCGCTGATAACGACCCCTCGCAGATCCTCCAGCTACCGGAGGCCTTTCGCCACTACAGGTCAACCCTCGGTCGTAAGCTCTACGGCCAAGCCATGGGCATCGCGAGAGATGATCTACCGGCACACACAACGGCCGTGTTACGAAATTTCGAGTTCTTCGGTGCTCCCTTGGCGGGAATCATCTATATTGATAAGGCTTTGTATGATGTGGATCTGCTCAGTGTGGGAATCTGGCTCCAAACTTTGGTTCTAGAGCTGACTGCGTTGGGCTTGGATACGTGTATTGAGGTTAGCGTGGCTGGATATTCGCATGTCATTAAAAGAGAACTTTGCATTTCTGATGATATGGAAGTTCTCTGCGGGTTGGCGGTGGGGTATGGGGATCCTACATCTGCTGTCAATCATGTGGTCGCGGGACGAGATGAATGGGAGCAATGGATTGACATTAGGGATTAGTTCTCAGTCTGCTTAGTGGTATAGAGTGAAGGGGGGTTTACGGAGAGCCTTATGGCATGGGCTTTCTTGGACTCTGATGGACAAGCAGTAGGATAGGCTTCATCATTCTTCAGGCTGAATTCCCGTGCGAGATGTGGATAGTAGTCAGGTGGAATTGCAACGCCTCAGTATTTATCCTTTGTATACATTAATAGAACCATTGTGAGTGATTTTCATTCCTCGTTGCTATAGTACGTGCGTCTGGCTTAGTTCCTGCAGGTCGCCAGACTGATATGAAACAAGGGTCCGAAAACGCGGACCATTCTTATCATACGATATACAATTTGTTGATTGATTATTATAGGATGCCGTCTCCATGCCATCTCGCCTACAGAACGGAGTAACTGCCGTTGTTTCAGCTTTCGAACCGAACACTAAGCTAGCCTATGAATTTACTGATCGGTAAGTTGATTAACACCGTGAGACTGGTATGTAAGTTCCAAGTTGGTCAACCTATGGTACTAGTGACCCTGGTTGGTTGCCAAACATTATTCACCGCATGCCCTTTTATCGGATAAACTAATAGCTATGTAGCGCGTGCAGAGCCTATGGAGACCGGCTCTAGCACTTATCGCTGCAGCCTTGTCTGGATAATCCATTCCTGTGGGGGGTATTATCAATATAGATCATCAAGACCGTCTAGAGCAAGCAATTCTCGTCTTACTAACTCCAAACGGAGGGACAACCCCAGTCAAGTAGGGTTACGGCTGTTGAAGCCTAAGGAAACCCTTTTCCTAGGCGCCTTCTTCCCAGCATACAGTCGCCATTGCTGCCCTCAATGCAACGGCCGCTGATGGAATTATGACCATTTGTAAATGCCAATGTCTGTACCTGTCTGGAGCGTTATGGGAGTCTACTGGGAAAGAACATAGTTTCTTGGCTTTCATACAGTACAGATCTCATAGATTCTTTTATTCTATGTATACGCTGATGTGGCAAAGGATTACAGGATCCTACCAAATACTAAATTGTCAGAGTCTGATCAATTTCCCAAAGGTTTTGATACATACAAGGTACGTTGGACGCTTTTCCCACTGCTAACTTCCCTCACAGCCATGCCCTTATGTTTACTGCTTGCCAAGAGTGTTTCCCAACTCAGCTGCCCGAGAGGTAGCAGAGTTGACAGCCTTATCAACAATGTCTTTGAAGCCCAGCGACTCGAAAGTCTGAAGGGCAGCATATGTGGTTCCATTCGGGCTGGTAACGTTCTTGCGCAGCTGGGTGGGGCTATCTGGCGACTCAACAAGCATCTTGCCAGCGCCGAGACATGTCTGCGCAGCCAACCGAGTAGCCTGTTCCTCGGAGAGGCCAAGGGCGGTTGCACTGGCAATCAAATGTTCCACCATGGCGAAAAAGTAGGCGGGTCCCGATCCTAAACCGTGTCAATGCGCATCCTTTCGGTGTCAGAATTCATGAGCAGAACTTACCAGAAAGTCCTGTGACGACGTCGAGCAATTCCTCCTTATCCACCCACTCGGTGGCCTTGCTGACACTTCCAAGAACAGCATTAACGAGCTCCTTCTCTTCGGAGGTCACATCCTTGCTGGCATACAGACCCGAAGCGCCCTCACCAACGAGTGCCGGTGTGTTTGGCATAACACGAACAACGTGTGCATTGCGTCCGTCGCTGGTGCGGAGCCATTGGACCAAGCTATCGAGGGTGATTCCAGCGGCAATGCTGACCACAACGGGCAAGGTTGTACGCTCTGACCAGGCAGCGCCCAATTCCTCACACACGCCCTTGGTAACCTGTGGCTTGACTGCGATGATAATAAGATCCGCATCCTTGGCAGCTTCGACATTGACAGTAGTGGTCTGCACCCCCAGGGCCGCCATCTTCTCCCGGTTGACATCCCAGGGCTCGGACACCCAGATGTTCTGTTTTTGGACGCCATTGCTGAGGAGACCTCCGATGATGGCGGAGGCCATGTTGCCACCGCCAATAAAGGCGAGCTTGCTGTCTTGAAGGGAAGGCATTTTTAAACGGGAGATATGTTCAGTTATTCTTTCGCAATGGAGGGGATAGTTGATACGACATGGACATGATATCAAAATTCCCCCACTTTGTCAAAAGGCGGGGCACAAACAGACCGCCAACCGAACTTGGCATTACGTCTCATGAAATAGGGAAGGCGGTGTTAACGGCGACTGCGGGGATGGAAATATAAAGATGACGTTGAGAAACAAGTTATCGGAAACCAAAACCAATAAAAGGAGAGGAAGTCTATATGAAACAAGACAATAATGTTGCAGAATTTGGCACGGTGTGCCTTTTTGGTCAATTCGGAATATCATCGTGAGCTAAACCCCCACCTCACGCAGTGTTCGACTTGTCACTCTCGTATTCCTAGTAACTAGTCGCTCCGTGGAACTCGCTGCCAATGCATTATAGGGACTGGTTTGTATGTTGTGCTAGCTTGTTTAGCTAAATACCTGACATGTATTTCAACAATTGGCCGGCTGGCCCAATGGCAAGGCGCTTGACTACGAATCAAGAGATTGCAGGTTCGATCCCTGCGTCGGTCATTCTTTTTTTGTCAGATTGCTTTTAAGTCTTTTCTTCTCTATTCAAACTTGTATTATTTGTGCTGAGCCTTCATTTTGATTAGCTTTTAGCTATTTATTTAAGAAATAGTGTGACCTGTCCCTATTTTGTCAATAGCCCTGGACCGTCATATATACTCAAGTGCTAGTAAAACTGCGCGAAATCACTCGTTCCGCAGCTCTAGATATTGCTTCAGTAGCAGTGCTGCGCTTTGCGAAGTCAGACTATGTACTGTAAGATTTAGCATAACCTTTTCGTGTAATGTACTCCGTAACCTCAGTGTATCTGAGATGAGCGCTTTTTGGACGGGTGAGGAGGCGGCCCTGTACTATACATCCCGAAACCAATGACTCTACGCCATAGTAGACTGAGAAACGAATAGTTGTTCAAAGACAGCTATAGTGAATCACCAAATTCGCGCAAGCTAGACCAGAATAAGGGTGTTGTCCGAGCAACGATGCGGATCTGCTGCTAAGCCGCTACTTAATGCAGGTCAAGTTACATTTTCTTTGTATGTATATGCCCCTTTGTGTAAACGGAGGATGTACATTGGCTATCGACTACGCGAGGAGACACAGGCAATTGGGACATAAGCACCTAACATAGGCAATGGCGGCAGAGTCTATTACGAAAGCTGACTCTTGTGGTACAGATTCGTTATTGAAAGAGGGACTATTAGGTCTCGCGACACACTCTTCCGGCCGCATTGGCAAACAGATGGCAAGGTAGGGTGTATTTATGTAGCACCGAGTTTCTTCCTGTGCGTATAACTATAGCTTTAAAGAAATGACGCGAATTGGGTTCAGATTTCCCACTCTGAGTCCACTGCCTTCTGCGTATACAGCAGCACAGGAGGAAGAGCTAGGTGTCAGCAACCCTCCCCAGGGGCTGAAAAGGCTTCATATTGACTTCTTGGAACCTCCTATCCACCATGCGTCGTCAGCATGGCATTGCATAATCAAGTATCTTTTGTACTCCTGGACCTGCCCTCTGTCGACGAATACCCCGCCACCAATACATATACCAGAATCTCCCTACAATGCCTACAGCATATATCCAAGCACGCATGGACCGTGCGATATCCTCTCAGCCTTGCAAGGTCCTAAAAGCTCCTAATCGCCCAGTCGCGATCCGGGAACAGTACATCACCGACTCGATAACACTATTGGCACTCAGATCACAGGGCGACGGCCACTCCGTGGCTGCTTATAAAGTACAGGACGAAAATGAGGTTACTCGATTCACAGCCAGTGGTGGGAAATACAACGGTCGCCCATGTCGAGAATCTCGTGATGCTTTGGGTCTACCCTTGTTCGAGCTTCACAGGAAGATATCATTTTGAAATGCTTGGTCCATCACACTACCGGGGAGTGCAACTGTGGATAGTATAGCCACTGGTGCACCGCGACTGGTCCCGTTTGGAAGCTTCATGTTCACGTTCACAAATCTAGCTGCCACCGATACGAAAGTTTCAATGGGTGATAAAGAGGTCACGCTGGAGATTGAAAGATATGGGCGTGTATTGGAGTCCCTTGATATCGTGGATGGAGACAGGAAGTTCACTGAAGTGCGCGAGAGTGTGCATCACAACCAGAAACTCGCCCTGACCCCAAGCACACGTCGCAATTATAGACCTGTTCTTGATATCATCGTTACCCCAGGTGTGGACTTATCACTAGTAAGATCTCTTTTAATGCCACTCTTCTCTCATTCGACTGGACTGATCCACACAAGGTTACTGCTATAGCCATCCTGATCTCAGATAGCGTACTTGGTTCCGAGTAGACCTATGCTACGGAGAGATAGGTTTAGTAACCAAACGCTGGCAGTTAAACATGGTTAAGCATTTTCATTGAAATATTGCGACGTTCCGATTATATATCCAGTGATGGCTCTCCCCATCGCATGTGTTGTTCATGTTCTTTGCGTAGAATATTTACATCGTTTTTCTCAAACCCGAAATTCCATAATGTTTCAGGGATCGTACGGAGGCCCTTCTGGGGGATCGGATTGTTGGTTTTGGAGCTCTTGCTCCCGACATGCTGTAATACACTGGGTGTTAATGCCCAGCGTATCTCCCCGTTCTGATTCGCATAATCTTCCGTGAGCATGTCGACATAGCCGATTCCTTTTGATTCGTACCAGGATATCAGGTCCATGACACGGCCCTGTGGAAAGACGAATCCCTGCGAACAGCATCCGAATTTAGGCATCTCGTGCACACCTTCAGGGATCGGTAGCATTGTGACTCGGCCGGTCGCAAAGAAGAGAATGATCAGGAGAGGTGTACAAATGAAGGAAAGAACAATGATGGTTTCTTTCGGTAAAAATGGCTTCAAAGACGGTCGATAACGGCGGACGATCAAGGTTGTGAGTAAGATGGTGGTCGCGGAGAGTAGAGAGTAGAATAGATAGGTAGGCCAATCCTCTGAGTTCCAGCCCAGAAAGTTCTCGGTGTAGAAAAGCCGAAGATAAAGCCCTTTAGAAATGCAATTTATATTAGTCTCCATACCCAAGAATTGTGTAAGTGGCAGAGTGGTCTTGATCTAGAACTTACATTTCGATGCTTTCTTCTCCGCTGTTTGTTGCTCGGCAGCGCGCAAGGCCTGTTTGGTTCGATGATACCAACCATCAAGAGCGACGATATCATCTTCGAGCATAACGGTGTATGGTGTACCAATAGCGGTACATGCTTTCAAAAGATAAGTGTAGTCCAGTAGGCCTTTCTCGAGAGCTAGAGTTTTGGCCTCGGTTGTTTCAAGACTTCGGATGTGGTCAATGTCGATGTCATTCTCATCATAGAGCAGAACTTTGTCAGCCAGCTCATGCAGCCATGGCTCCGAGTAGGCCGGGTGCTGCTTGGGGTCTGTATGAGCAATGAATAGGATGAGAAATATATCAGCTCTCTCTACCGGAGACAGGCCGGCCAACACCGATCCGACCGCACTCTCGAAATAGCTTACACCCTCCCGGGCAATAGAGGCAAATCCTACACACATGGTAGGGTTCGCAGATGCCTTGGGGAGGGGACCTTCCGTCACATTGTTCGCTTCGTTGATCAATGCCATGCCCTGCGCCGCACGCGGGCTCGAATACGAAGGCTTGTAGGCTTCATTTTCTCGGAAGAACAGTGACGTTGGGTCACGCCAACTAGTTATGCGAGCCAAGTATACCAGAAGTGCATAAGGAATCAAAAAGACTAGGAACACACGGCATGTGTATGACTCGAGGACGGAGGACAGCCTCAGAAGCCTTGGCGATATGTGCATATTGTCTGTGAAAACATCGAAAAGTGGAAAGAAGAATATAAAGTATCGTTCACTTTACAGGGTATGATTTATTAAGTCATCGCAAGCCTTGCGTACCTAGCCATACCCGAAACTATTTAGCTTGAGGCTGCGTAAACCAGGCATTTTTCTTCTTCCCGTTAGCAGACATTTGGACCTCTCCCTTTGTTCGTTTCCTCTTCAGGGACTAAAAGACCGGCGTCTTATAACATCCACTAATAGCCATCATTACAAGTCATTAAAGTTGGACCCCTTTCCGAGGTGCGATGGGGTATTTGATTCGGCCATGAAGGCCTATCATAAAACACAGAGGAACAAGGGATTTACTAAAATCTTATCCTGCGGCGTCACAGAACTCCAAGGTGGGTGGGCTGTGCTCCTCGAACTTGGAAGTGGAGCAAGCATAACTTGTCAACCCTGATCCCTTGTACCCACAATACCCACGGCCCCTCTAACAGCGATGAGGCTGTACGCTACGTGAGACTCGGCTACAGCATTTCCGGCGTACCTTACCTCGGATAAAACACAACTCCACATGGCAGGCGCATGGGCCTCGCCATGGGGCCGGGCTTGTTTCTCTGGCCCCCAAGTTCATGGGTCTAGGGTTCAATTTAGCCTGAGACCAAACCCCGCCAGCAGCCTGGCATATCATATACATAATACCAAGGTATAAAGACCTACTAAAGTATTGTACTGAGTTATGCCTGCGTTATGCACACTGGACTAGTAGGGCACCAGTTCACAATAAACATATAGTAGTGCTGTCAGAATGCTAAGAGCCCTACTAGAAAGATATATATCTCCCCACAAATTCCGGACCAAAGTGACTTTGGCACAAAAGTATACTGTAGTATACATATTCTCTAGATTCTTGAAATGCTAAATCTTATATAATCGGTGTTTTAAGTGGCATAATTTTTTGAAAGGCCGGGGAGGTGTACATTGAAGGACAATCTTATCCATGAGTCACGTTTCCAGATAGCGGTTATCTTATCGCTTATCGCTTATCGCGTGATGTGATCGATCGGCCCCAGCCTCTCGGATAAACAAACCGGGGACTTCATCTCCTCCAACGTGACTGACTCACTTCAACAGCTCCCCATTGATTCCAGTATCTCCATTGCGACATCCACACTGTACCATCATGCGACTACAGCTTCCAGAGGTAGCAATTGCTACCCTCCTTCTCGGTGAAGTCGGCGCAGTCCAACTTCCCCTGTTGCAATCCCAGGTTCCCATCACCTCCGACAAGGAGCTGGTCAGCTCCTCCGCGTTCCAAAGTCACGTCAAAGCCGAGAACCTGTTAAAGAGAGCCAAAGAGCTATCCAAGATCGCGGACTTGGGAGAGGAAGAATACAATCATCCGACTCGAGTCATTGGAAGCAAAGGTAGGTAGCTGAACTATGCAGTCCGCCCATAGCCGCTGACCCATGGACACCCTTAGGGCACCTCGGAACCATTGACTACATCTATGCGACGCTTGCTAAGCTGGGAGACTACTACACGATCACCAACCAGTCCTTCCCTGCCGTCACAGGCAATGTATTCGAATCCCGCCTGGTCCTCGGCGACGATGTACCCAAATCGGCGGCACCCATGGGATTGACGCCTCCTACCAAGCACAAAGAGCCCGTCCATGCACCCCTGGTAGCGGTTTCCAACTTCGGATGTGACGCGTCAGACTTTCCGTCTGATGTGTCTGGCGCCATTGCGCTCATTAGCCGTGGCACCTGTCCATTCGGTACGAAGTCGGACTTGGCTGGAAAAGCCGGTGCTGTTGCGGCTGTGGTATATAACAACGAACCAGGAAGTTTGAGTGGGACGCTCGGTAACCCCACACCGGATCATGTTGCTACCTGGGGTCTTTCTGATGAAGATGCTGCGCCCATTCTGGAGAAACTAAAGAAGGGTGAGGAGGTCGATGGTATCGCCTACATGGATGCCATCGTCGAGACCATTCATACGACCAACATCATCGCTCAAACGACCGAGGGCGATCCCGAGAACTGTGTGATGCTCGGTGGCCACAGTGACAGTGTCGCCGAAGGACCGGGCATCAACGATGATGGCTCTGGTAGCTTGACACTCCTGGAGCTCGCGACCCTGCTGACTCAATACCGGGTTAACAACTGCGTGCGATTCGCATGGTGGGCTGGTGAAGAGGAAGGCCTTCTCGGATCGGACTACTATGTTTCCGTTCTCACTCCCGAGGAGAACCTGAAGATCCGTTTGTTCATGGACTACGATATGCTTGGTTCCCCGAACTTTGCGTACCAGGTTTACAACGCCACCAATGCGGTGAACCCGGTCGGGTCTGAGGAGCTGCGCGACTTGTACGTCGATTTTTATGATGCCCACGACCTCAACCACACCTACATTCCATTTGATGGCCGTAGCGACTACGACGCGTTTATCCGCCACGGTATCCCAGGAGGCGGTATCGCCACTGGAGCCGAGGGTATCAAGACACCGGAGGAGCAGGAAATGTTCGGCGGTGTTGCCGGCGCCTGGTATGACCCATGCTATCACCAGATTTGTGATGTTGTCGGCAATGTGAATTTAACGGCATGGGAGTGGAACACCAAGGTAAGAGCGTCCAATCGAGGGCAAACCTTTCCTGTTGTCTGTCGTTTTACTAACCCGGCCATTTACTCCAGCTTGTCGCCCACTCAGTTGCCACCTATGCTAGATCCTTTGAAGGTTTCCCTAAGCGGACGAAGGATTCCATCACTGCTTTTGCTACAGAGCAGAAGAAGTACCACGGGCCCCGGCTCGTACTTTAATTTTAGATATCCTGGTGGCGTTGAATAGGATATGGTGCAATAGACAGAGTATTGGCGTTGTTGATGATACTTTGTTAGACCTTTACACAGATCTGTTTGGTTTTCGGAATTAGCAATATTGCAGAGTTCATAACTGAACCTCTGCTGCGGGATTTAATTGGAGCTTTACTTACATGGTTGTTTCTGTTTTATTGTAGGTTACTGTAGCTGAGCATAAGCCTCTTGCTGTATACTCCTGCCGGTAGCAGTTTGACTCCAACGATAAGCAATGAGGCCAGTAAATTGAACCTACACAGTACGACCGCGCGCCGGAGTAGGAACAACATATAGAATGCGAGCAAGGCTTAGAAACAATACGACCTACCTAGTTACTGCTTACCAGCTTACCATCACGCCTGGCAACACGTAGGCAGTTCTCTATCACAACTAGAAAGCGGGAGATCTCTGACACAGATAATCTCGGTGTTATGTCTTGATGACAGCAAGGATCATAGGCTACATAGTCTGCAGATAGTGGTATAGGATATCCATACGCTTCCTCAGCCCAGCGATGGCTCTAGGACGGGGGACCAGCGACTGCGACGCAAACGCGGCCATACAAATCGTAACCAAAGCTGCGGCAAATAATGCTTCTTGCACTCATATTCCAAGTAGAGGTTTAAATTTATCTGCCACTAATGCGGTGTCACGGTGAGGGCCAATCTCCAAATCCCATATCCCGTGTAATCACTGGATCGGTTGCTTGATCTGATTGATTCTCGTCCTAGAACATCGGATAAATAACACGTATGCATCAAATATGTCTCATCACAAATGTCGAGGTATATATACACTCAAGAAAAGATAAATCCTCAACAGGAGAAGTGATTTCCTAGCCATAACTCTTCAGAACACTCTGTTCTCGCTCCTGCTGCCTGGCCCTCCATCCATAAAGAACGCTGTCCGAGAATTTCACCTCCTCCGAAATGGCGACGTTCGCAATCCCCGCGTAGGTGAGTGTAAGGTGTTGCAATTCCGGAAAGTGTGCTTCCAGCTGCATGACGTGGTCTTCGGGATTTCTGAAGACAGAGAGAGAGAGAGTCAGCGGAGGCACGTAGCAAGCAATACGATACAATACATGGGTACTTACTCGGGCCCCCTCCCCGTGCGTGGTTTTGGGCCAGTGCGATCAATAACTTCCCTGTTGAAATCCCGGACACAGAGGGAAACGAGCTTGGGGAATAGCGGTGTCTGGTACGCCTTCAGCTGTGCTATGTTAAAGCCTCCCATGAGATCGCATCGTTCGAGTAACGGGCAGGATTGGCCAAGAGCTGCTAAGCTCTGTGTAGTCAGGGGCAATTGGTATAGGTGTAACAGGAGTACTCGTAGATTGGGCAGATCTGCAACCAGGTCCTCGAAGTCGATGTCGTTGAAGCCGGCTGCAATGAGGGCCGTTGTGATCGTTCCCGTGAGTTGTAGTTTCGTTAGGTGCTTGAGGTTCTTGAGGAATAGAAGGTCTTCCTTATGAATCTCCATCTTGCCATCTAGGGATATGTGGAGAGAGCGCAGTTGGGTCAGGGTTGAAAGATGTTTGAGGTCGATGGGGGTAAGTCGTGATTTTGGCTCCCCCTTCACGTTTAAGTTGAGTTCGTGCAAAGACGTGAAGCTGGAGATGAAACTTGGAAATAGATCATGTGTGATTGTGGCGGAGAGCTTTCGAAGCGACCGGACAGGGTTTAAGCTTTTGATATTGCTCGGTAATTTCTCGATAGTATAACCAAGAGATACTTCTTCCAAGGTGTCGTGACTGGCGAGATGGTTGAGAATGACGTGGCCAAGTAAAGGTTTAACCTGGTTTCCACCCAGGGAGACTTTAGTGACAGGAGTGCTTTTGAGGAAGTTGTGAAATATCTCTCCCGTAAGACGGTCGCCTGGCGTACTGATTGATATGTTCTGCAGTTGGGGACAGTTGCTCTGCAGGTGCAGCAATAGCTCCGGATCGAAATCCCCTGAAAATTCAATCGATTGCAGTCCTGCATGCATATATCGTTTGAGCCAAGCGATGTCTACCTTGGCTGAAGGACTTGACCCTAGACTTAGATGCTTCAGCCTGGGGTAGGCAAAATGACTGAACTCCTCTACCTGCTCTGTGGCACTCTCCCAGAGAAAGAGCTTCCCAATTGCAGCAGCATAGAGTATCCGTCGATCTTTGGGGATGCGAGACAGATGGAACCAGAATGCTTCCCGCCATATGAGCGAAATACCACAGTTGAACCACCGACTGTTCACTCGGAGGACTGGACCAAGCTTGGGTTGTAGATAGCTGAAGATCCTCAGCAGGATCTCAATAGGAAGCCTATCCATGGCGAGGGGAATAGAAGAATGAAGGGGATTTTGAAAGTATGTACCTAGTTGCTCATGAAAACTTTGGAAATATAGTAGCCGCCAATCAGGCAACGGCCTCGTATAGCGCCTGAGGCGGGTCAAATGGCAGCCTAGGGCACGGTCACGTGCTGCTCCATATGTTCTCTATGGGCGAACAGACAATCCAATCTGTTCCGCGGCTATTTTCATTGGATTATGGAAGACAGGAGTAAGATCTTTATTGCACAGGCCTGACTGTAGGCCATGATTGGTGGATTACTGGTGCGTAAGTGAATTCCGTAGGGAGTGACTGACTACTAGTGGTGCATAGAATGTCCCCGCTCATGTCTTTGCCTGGATTTCGATTTTATCAAATGTATGGTGCATAAATATAAGGGCGAGTAAGGGTAGAGCCGCCCGAATCCGGCCTGTATGCAAGTTGTTGCTGCGTCTGGGACTGCAGAGACGCCAGCCTTGCCGTAGCCAAAGCAACCGAGTCACCAATAGTGTGCGACTGGAGAGAAAGAGTAATTACCCCTCTTCTATTTAGGATATGTCATATTAGAGAAGTGAACGACTACTTAAAGGACTTATGCCCAACGTTTCATGCACGCTTACTCGTATCTACTGCCTTTGTGTGCACAACCCTACTCAGGGGTCTTAGTTTGGCTTTTCATCTACGAAACCTTTTAAAAGTGATTGAGCTTAGATGTTTTTTGTCTTTTAGTGGCAAGATGGAACCTTTTCAGTGTGCAAACTGGAGAGAGGACCATGATGTCACCAGGTGTCTCGGGCCTGGCACTAAGGCTTGTACCGGCTGCTATCTAGTGATGGTAAGTAGCCCACATTCAAACATCCTGTTGCATGAAAAGACTTAACAGGGGCAAAAGTACTGCAGCAAGGGTTGTCAGGCTGCTCATTGGCCGGTCCACAAGCTCGACTGTAAGAATCCCATCCGAAAAGCCGCCTGGCGTCCAGCATGGGAAGTCGAACACCGCGTGCCACACTTCATCGATACCTCGGATGGAGAGCACGCCCCTGTTGCGATGCATGGGGGAAGCAAATATCTATGGGGAAATGTCCCAGCCTTGGACTTACTGCAACTGAAGGATAACGAAGGCAAGGGCTATTCGAAGGATCTCTGTCTTCTTCTGGCAGGTATGCGGGCCAAAAAGGCTCTGTGGATCCTCGTCTCTCTAATATTTTATAGCTTCGGGAGACTTGAGAAATCTAGTCAAGACCATTGTATCTCTCCCGGATACTTACCACGGACGCATCCATGTTGATATCAACGACCGCGATGAGACGGTTGTAGCGCGAAACTTAATATTCCTCCTGGTGGCTTTCCACCTACCCCCTGATATCGCCAGCGTAGCAATCTTGCATCTATGGTACTCAGCCTTTCTGCCAGACTCCCTTCTGCAATCTATCCGGAGTTCGGTGCTTCCGAGTATAACTGAGTTCTTGGCAACCGACCCAGTGCCGGCTGCTGGTGTCCTACAGAAGACATGGTCTTGCGGGAGTAGTGCACTATCTGCGACGCTCAGGAGAACTGAGTGGGATAGGGTTCTATCTTACCTCCCAGAAGTACCAGATATGTCCTACAATAAAGCCGCTGCTTTGCATGAGTCGGTCACCCTGGCCCATAGTCGTCGAGATTACCGGGACAGAGCTTTGTTTCCGCTGCATCCTTCATGGCGTCTTTCTGTCTGCAAGTTCCGGGGCGATGGGATATTACTCCCGTTTGGGGCATCCCGTGAAGACTTCAGGGTTCCTAACCCGTAAGTACTGACGTACCCATCCTTGAGCAACAGACATGCAGCCGCTAATGAAAGCAAGCACGTTGTTCCATAACGAACATCCATGGCCCATGCCGGATTCGGCAGATCCTCTCCAAGGGTGGACACTCACCGAAGTCCTGCGAACCTGTTACGGTGCTAAACATGATCTATATGGTCAGCTTTACGTACACCTCCAGCGGGATCTACAGAGGTTCTGTAAACGACTACACACCTTAAATCTGAGCATCTGTCTCTTCAAGAAAGACGCAATGGATTTACCCGACAAACTGGCCACACTCCGAGGAAAAGAAACATTCTATGACAGAATTGAGGTCAGACACTCTTTACCATTCTATTGATTCATCATCGAGTCTAGACTTATACTTCCCCAGCTTGCTAACATCGCCGACCTCGGATACCTGGGCCCAGCAAAAACGTTCGCCTTATTCGGCCCCCTTCTCAAAGCCAAGAATGAAAACCCCAAGGCTACACTCATCATGCTATTCCTCAATGCTGTCAGAGAGATGTCCACGCCCGCCGATCAACTCGCCTCTGTGCCTCGTGCGATGGAATCATTGCAGCGCTTTCTACCAATGAGACCCAGGCACGGAGACCCTAAGAATAAATACAATGCAGAATTCCTCAACCAGATGAGTGCCGCGGACTTATTTACGGATAATGACACCCTCTTTAATCGGCTTGTTGAGAGTGCTCGGTTCAGAGATATGGGTCATCTTCTTGGTCTGGGGATGAAGACTAATAACAGCATCGTTGCGAAATGGCCCATGCGGTTGGGAGATAAGCCCACACAGCATGAGTTTGAAATGGCGTTTTGGTCTGGCCATACTGGATGCGAGAGATATGTTGAGTGGTATCGGGTTGATTGAGGTGTTGGGCTTAGGAGATGGGATGATTGTCGGAATAGTAAAGGATCAGACAGTGGTTAGCACGAGGGGAGAAAGATTGTTGCCAATATGAAATGTAAACTGGATCTTAATTGATCGAGTACCATTTGTAAGGTAGTTTAGCCCTCCTGCTTGCCTGTCACTTGAAGATGAACTAGATTTGGAGAACAAAGCAATGCCTCTAGACGGGAGTGGATATACTAGGAAAGGAACATGAAGATCTGGGCTGAGACGGGGAAAGGATGTCATGCAGTGCTGCACTCTGCTTCACGCCGCAGGACAACAGGTCTAAGATATCCCACCTATCCGCGTGATACCGTCGAAGATAGATACATATCGACTGGTATTCGACTCTGGCGCGAAGCCGGAGCCACCATACCACATCCCCAGCTTTGATGTACCACAGAGACAAAAGCAGTAATGCGACTGGGTCCCTTGCATGCAACAATGACTTGAACGGACGGTCCATTCGGCTCGTAAATGACAGAATACGTGCCCTTGACGGTTGACCAGGATACTCACCAAGCACTGGGGCAAGGGTATGCACAGCGGTAAAGTACGGATTGGTGTTTGGGGATGAGGACGGGGTTATACCGCAAATCCGCGCCAGGGCCAACGGAACTCGATCAATCTCCGTGCACAAAGGGCTGTCATACATCTGTGCGTATTCATCGGCCATGTCGCGGAAGAGACCATTCGGACGTAGGGGATCTGCGAGCCTCCAGACCGCCATTTTGCCCTCGGCCATACGCAGCCATTCCAGGTCGGACGTGTAGGACGACTTCAGCGGCCAGACTTCCTGAGGTGTTAGAGAGGGGATGCTCGATGTGGAGATTATGCCTAGTAAAGTGGACGTCATCCAGAGTGGGTCGCGGTCCTCTGGTTGTAGAGGTTGTGATAATTTGCGACTCAGCAGGGCCGCGCACTGGGAGACGTGGTAACTCTCGAATGTGCTGGGGCCTCTTGGAGTCGGTGTGCCCCGGAGCCGGTTATGCGTAGCGGCAATGGCCAAGACTACATGCATGAGATAGGGATTCTACAGGGGGTTAAGCATTCAGCCATTCATTGTTCGACCACCCCAGCTCGGGTTCAACGGTATCCACTCACTAGGCACGCTAACTGCAACAGCTCCTTGTGGTGGACGGTGGCAATCGTTAAAAGGGTCCCAGATTTCTCGAACGAGATCAGATGGTCTCTGCCTTCTCGGGTCAATTCTAGCGTGGTCGTAGCATCGGCGCTGATCACCGCCGGATCTTCCATCTCGCGGGCCATTTGTAGATCGGGGGCGTCGGAGCCATAGTTGCATAAGACGCCATAGGCACTACATCGCCGACAGGCGGGCTGGACCTCGTCACACTGGTATGTCCAGACACATAAGATGAGTGGACTGTCAAGGAGCGTATAGGCTACCTACCTTTACCCGGCGTAGTTTGCAGTTGCGACAGCCATTCCGAGATTTCCGGTGTGCTTTGCGAAGCCTGAGTCTCGGCAATGCGACGTCCTTCTGGTTCGCAGTTTTCACAGCCATGTCTTGCGATCCCTCCGGACGCTGTTGAAGTTGTGAATATGGGCGAAACATACTGGTATCATGCAGGCGACGTTGACAGCATCTCAAACGTCATCCGCCACGAGCTGTGGCGCTGAAATACGAACCACAGTTAGTGCTGACGATAACCAGCGTACTTATGGCGCTAACCCTCGCTCGTATAGTTTTGGCCCTCTGTTAATCGAAGGAATAACTTAGTCCAACGCTAAAAGACGCCTCGCCCCACCGGACATGTCTGATAGATAACGCCCCGCATATAGGTCCGTTATTCTAGAGCTATTAAATCCTGTAGAGTTAGCAAGGATGCTTTCTAGCCGGCGCGCGCGGTATAATCCCAAATTGGGTCTCCATATGTGAGAGTAAACGGATTCAGTCTTCGCTAAACTTAGACAGCATCTACGGCCATATATGTAGCATGGCTCCATGGCTCCATGGCCCCCAAGGTCTCATGTGTCACAAGAGTGGCTCAATACTCAAATTCACTCTACGGACGATAACAATATGGATATTGCATGAGCAAAAGTCAGATGAAAGACATGCGACTACAGCTGGATACACGTATTCATACTCCTACCAACGACTCACATAGGCACGCCCTCCACGACCCAGTTTAGCAGCTTTGTTGACTGAATCTCGCTCGCTCTCTCCACCAGCTCCTGTGCATCCCAGTTGGCCCAAACAAATTTTCCTTTCAGGAACTTGGCCTCGGGAGACGCGAGCCAGACATAGAACTGGCCCGGCAGCTCAGCTAGCTGTCGTTAGCTTTTCTGCAACCAATCAAAAGAGCATTACGCCTGCAAGATAATATCTTACCTTTGTCAGGAGCTTCTTCCTGATGTCCATTGGAGTCAGTTGCCACCCAGCCTGGCTGTATACTGACCACATGCACATGCGGGTTCTCCATGGCAAAATAGTCCATCGTCTTCAGACACGTAGCCTTGCTGATTGAGTAAGCCGCAAGGCCCGGGGTAGGTGCGATGTTGGCCAGACAGGTGGACGTGTAGAGGACGATTGGCTCTGGCCCTGCGAAGGGCAAGAAGGCCTGGAACGCATTCATGACCATCCAGAGGTTACTTTCAACGGCACGGACGAGCTCCCCAGGCTTGTGATTTGTGAGTCCTCCGGGCGCAGGGAGCAACACGGCATTGATCACTAGGATATCTATTTTGCCCACCTTCTCTACGATGGACTGGTATGCTTGGTCGACCTGAGCGCGGTCTTGCAGATCGGCAGATTCGACAAGCACTTCGGTGACCTTGTCCTCCGCTGCAGTATTTACTTTCTCGGCTGCTTCCTGGAGCTTCTCCGGGCGTCGGCCTACGATGGCGACCGACTGGGGTCCTGCTTGCGCGAATGCAACGGATATCGCATTGCCGATTCCTGCGCTGCCACCGAGTACGACCACGTTCTTACCCTCGGCGGACAGTTCCGGTCGCGACGGGGAGATGAACGGATAGGGCTCGGTGTGCCAGCTCTTGGTGAACGAAACTGGAGTGGCGTACTCGATTGGGTTTGCCATTTGCAAGATAGTGGATACAAGAGCAATAGCCCTGGATCGGTAGCAATTTGAATACGGTGTGAAAAGATGTGTAGAGTAGTGTTGGTGATGATGAGATCGTGAAGCACAGGGAGAGCCAGCCCTTTATAAGATTTCATGCGAGGACTTCTGACCCGAGCACGCCATAGTAGGAATTCCCTTTCTATCATATTAAGAACATTTCAAGGCGTACATGCCCCTCGACTTGTGCTACTGGCGAATAAGACATCTCCTGGAATACGAAGGAAGGTAAGGTGAGACGGGGGCATGATGCAACTTGGGTATACGCGACAAAACTAGCGACCACAACAGCCACAGCAGCCACTGTGCCTAGTGGATGAGAAGTCGAAGTCCAGTTGATCGGGAGCTGGGTGTTGAGGGTTACTTCAGACCCAAGAAGTGCCGATGTATACGAGCCTGGGTTTAGCTTCCCCAGCTCCTTATTAGTTAGTGCATTTGAAAGACGCCAGCTAAGGATAGGGGCCACTGCTCCGAACCCGAATACAGCATCAAATAATACTATTAGGGCTAATCATCCTGTATTTGCAATGGGGTATCCACCATATTATACTTATCAAACGTATTGTGCTCTCAGATCGGGGCCATTCTCTGGTGAGCTATTTCCGAGATAAAGCTGTTATACCCGTGCATTGCGCTTCTCTTATATTTCGAGGATCACAGAACCATGGCGCCTAGGCTGGGGATGCTTTCCTCTAGGTGCACTAGTGAGGAATCATTCGTTTCTAACGGGCATTTCCTTCATCTATGCTAAAGAATCTATCTACACTATGAATCCCGAACAACTTTCCCCATCATGGCCCCGCTAATGTAGACTTGCCCTGAACCCGCAGATTGTCCCTGTGGACTATAGAAAGCTGAAACCGCAGGACAAAATGATCAAATTCAATGCTCGTGGCTCTCGGTTTTCTGTTCCTCCTGGCACCGTCTGCAGACACAAGAGAATGTGAAATAATCCTGGAGCACCTTTTGCCTCGCTTGGACGTCCACGTATTTTGAGAGATCGAAGTAACTGATCTGACACTCCTCGTTTGCGGCAATGTCGCGCTGGGAGGTGAAAACCATCCGTCCACGATCATCCGGCCCATGTATGATCTATATGATTGTGTGGTTAGCATTAGAATCTTCGAGATCTGATCAGAACAAAGAAAGGGAACCTACGTTTGGAAGGCAAGAGTGATTGCAAATGGTTGCTCTGGGATAAACCGCAAGTCCATAATGTATGCCACGTTCTACCGGGGGATCTGGCAACGGAAACACACCGGTAACGCCTGGGTAGAGGCCAAAGGAGTTGGCCTCCTCTTTGCAAAGTAAGGACAATACCTCCTGCGTATTTGGAAGCCATGGGACATCACTAAGATACGTCTTGATCAGGCGTTCCCAGTGTTCCAGTCGATCTTTCGGCCACTGTTCTTGATTGCCCCGAAACATATCGATGGATTCCCACCCACGCTGGAACCGACTTTCCCAGTGAAGATGATTGCGTTCCTCAGTCCGTGCCTGCTGCTCGAGTTGCCGGTTTGCAAATATGCGCACAATAATCCACAGCATGGCAAAGTCATCCTCCCCTTCTGTCTCCCGGAGGGTTAGTCCATGACGCTTGAGCCAGGAGCATTCCAAGTCATGCCGAGTCTGGTCAGCACTTTGACAATGACTGTTGCACCAAACCACATCCTGAAGACAATCCTCTTGGCAATGGATACCTCCTGCATCCTGTGGAAGTCGGCGACGGCACTCCACGCTGCTACACAATACGGCGTCATTCCGGGCCGGGTGAACGGCGGGAACGATTGCGTAGGGTGCGTCTTTTAAAAGAACTGTTCCCGCAGGAACAGGGGCGGAAAGAACTACCATTCTCCCTTTGATCGGGTCATAGCTCTGGACCAAGTTCGGATGGATGTATGTGTCCATATCCTGAGCACAGAAATTGTTTGCGGTAACGGTCGTCCGGGTCTTCTGTGCGACAACCAATTGTCGACTCTCCATCATACCAAGGTCGGCCACAGATTCACTCGTCGGACCGGACATCTGCCTGACATCTTCGGTCATCATGGCTAGTCCGTTGGTGTGGAGAAGGGTTTTGATTTCGTCTAGGTCGTAAAGCCGAACCGAATAGAACAAATCTTGACATACGGATGGACCATCCAAGTCGATCACAATCTCTCGGCTTGCCATCGTCTTCTTGTCTGGCGACATCTCCCGTTCCCGGCAAGCCAGGAGCTTTCCATTCGTCGTCTTTGCGCCACTCTTGGCCCTCACCGTGGGAGTATCAGCAATCCACTCCCATCCGCCCGGTGTGAAATTGGATCTCATCCAGCCTCCGTCGACATTGTCCATCAGAAAGATGGCCTGTGGCTTTAGGACTCGCTGGACTTCTGCGAGAAGCTGGGCGTTGTCTTCTTCGCTACAGTACCCGAACGAATTCCCCATGAGCAAGACAAGATCAAAACTGTCATTTGCAGCGGGGATTTGTCGGGCGTCCCCTTCCAGAAAGACCGTGTTCCTACCGGTGTTTTCTGCCGCAGCCCGCTCGCGGGCGATGTTGAGAAGATACGCACTGTGGTCCACACCCTGGAAATCCACCGCCGGGAACCTTTTCGCAAGATTGATGGTGTGCCGACCTTGTCCACAACACAGATCCAGAACTTTCATGGGGGAGGTGCCAGTCGAGTGCTCGAAGAGCGTTTGTATGCTAGGGATTCGAAGGAGTTCGTCGCATTCAGTGTCGGTAATCGCGGGATCCTCCACACAGTCGCCGTTTGTGAACAGATACATTTCATTATGGGCATCCTTCCACCAGTCCTTTTCCACGTGGGCAAACAAGGAGTCGACCCGGCCGAGTTGCATTCTCATCGACATCTTGGGCGAGGATGGAAGACTGTAGTTACCTCTCCGGTCCTGTCCACTCGCAGGGAGGTGATTCAGAATGGCAATCGTGATTTTCAGATCCCACGTCGACTCGGGGGGCCTTTCTTGTCTTTGCTTTCTTTCTGTGTTCCCTTTTTCCAGTGGAATACCGACTTTAAAGCACACTTCGAACCCTCACATGTTCACTCTCTGCGGACTGGTGAACAGTAACGTCCTGCATACAACCCCTCTCCCGATGGGAAACCCGCGCAGATATGAACAGCTCGGAGAAATGCCTCAGTGTTGCAACGACCCACCCACCGAAGTGGAACAGGGAATTAATCGCTCGTAGAGTTTGCCCACTAGAACACAAGTCCGTAGTGTTGACACAGGAACAGGAAGGGCCATAGCGCCAGGAATGGGAGTGAGCGCGAAGCCATTGGCTGGCCTCAGTGGCCTGCATCAAACGCACCCCTCACGGCACGCAATTTGTCATCGGAACCCCTCACCGCCAGGGTTGACCCTCGACCAGGCCATAGCATGCTTCATGTATGAGAGTAGTACAGTAGTAATAACAGCTTCAATGTATCAGACGAGGGGCAGACAGTATGAGAATTCAAGCGAGGATTGAACCAGCCGGGGTAGCGAAGATCGCTCCGTCGCATCCTCCCACCCGCGTCAGAAACAGTCTTCTCAGGAGCGACGTGATGGACGCTTCGACCCTCGATAAACCTGCATATACCCCTCCCACAACCCCACCGCACCGGTATACCACGTAAGTCAACCTGCAATCGCTCTAGAATCCCATTCTCGCGATATTTGTAGCGCCTGGTCTGGAACAATCACCCCTCTCTCTTTCCTCCCTATCTGCCAGTCCACAGCAGAACACCCCGGCAGGCAGACAGTAGCGAGGCCAAGCGATGGCAGAAGCAGCGACAAGATTGGCGATCCCTAGCCACTGGAGAGTTCTCATAGCTGTCTGCGCGATGATGTGGGGGGTATACTTCAGTAAATTAATATATTTCACTTAGTTCATGGGCATGGATAGATCGCCGTGGTACTGATCAGGTTCCTGTCCTCAGTTTATGATCTTCCCGCAAGCCTATCTGACCCACTACGACATCATTTGTCACTCTCGGATGCGCAATACGCCTATCTGGTGTCGGCACTGTACACGGCCTATGCAGCACCCAATATGTTTTTGCCCTGCCTCTCGGGGTTAGCAGTGCAACGATTTGGGGAGCGGCCCGTCCTTCTCATGACTCTCCTAAGTATCGTGGCGGGGCAGTTGGTGTTCTGCCTATCGGTGCAAACTCGAGTGGTGACCGGGATGATCCTGGGGCGTGTCTTGGTGGGAATCGGTGGAGAGACGATGGGCGTCTTGGGGAGCGAGATCACTACCCGCTGGTTTCAGGACAAACAATTATCCTTTGCCTTAGCATTGAACTTAGGAGGCTCGAGGCTCGGGAGTGTCGCAAACTCCATGTTGGTCCCAGGATGGACAGAAGCCTCCGGCGTAGTGTCCGCGAGCTGGATGGGTACAGTATTACCCCTAGGGGTCACTCTGCTAAGCTGTCTCTATCTCCTTCGCCTCAGTGATGTCGCGGGCCCAGAAGCGAGCAGCAACCCTCCCGGGTTCATCTCGTCAGTCTCTCGCTTCAATCGGATTTACTGGCAGCTAGGCATCGTCTGTGTCTTGGGATATGGTGGTATAAACACGTTCACCAACTCCGCCCAAAGGTTCCTGGCCGCGTGGTTCTACAAAGGCGATCAGCGCGCTGCTGGATCTGCAACCAGGTAAGAGCCCAGCAATATCTCAGTCCCCATCCAACGAAGGAATCGAGCACTGACCTGTCTCTGCATCAGCATACCGTATATTCTCTCCGGGATACTCGTTCCACCGGTTGGGTTCTTGTTGGACCTACCCTGGTTTCGCAGTCCACCTCGGTCCCTTGTCCTCAGTCATATCCTCATGGTGGCAGCACATCTGATGTTTCTTTTCAAGATTGGGCCCATTCTACCATTGATTTTCCTTGGAACCGCCTACGCGCTTTATGGAGTGGCGTTTTGGGCCGGCCTTGCCCGATGTCTCTGTGACCTGTCTGTTCCCACCGGATCAGGCAACACAAGTATTTCGGGCATAGAGCATCATGACCCCTACGGAACGTTGCACTCTTCGGACCATGTTCCAAGACCCTCTAATAACGAGGAGGAACATTCAGTCAAAAGCACGGAGGAGGAGGCAGTTGACAAGGGTCTGATCACCCTTGGCTACGGGATCATGACTAGCCTCCTGAATCTAACGACTGCGCTGGTGCCCGTCTTGCTCGCCGGCACGGAAAATGCAGCAGGGTTCTCCGGTCCAGAAATGGTGTTCCTTGCGCTCGCAGCTGTTGGGTGTATAGCGTCTGCTCGGTTGGCCTAGAGTGAAGGGCAGCGAGATCCTAAGTAGTGGCTATTTATTTCCTTGGCAATGAGGCTGGTAAGGGCCGTGCCATACAAATGTCTATATATCAGGATCTAGATAACTGACCACTTTTCTAAGTACTCAAATAGCGTTATCTTTTAGTGAGATGTATTGACTTTTGGTAGAAATATCCATTTTTCTAATACGCTGTGTGCGCTTCCTCCTAAACTGTCTGGTAGGAACAGATCGGCCTGGTACCTGGCCACACGCAACCCCCTTGCATTAGATTTATATCTCGCTAAGAAAGTAAACTTCCTCGCGGGAACGCGTCACATTATTATTGTTATTTGAGGAATGAGATACCTCCGCGAGGCTTGGACCAAAATCCATTATAAATACTTTCCTCAATCTCTCTACCCTTTGAACCATGTTACCATCCTTTCTGGTCCTCTTTCCTTTCCCCCTTTTTTTTCAGACCTTCAAAATATTCACGATACACGGTCACCTTTTCAAAAATCGTCCATTTCCGAATAATACAAATCATGCCCGCGATGCAACGCTGGCTGCTCATGCTCTTCGCAATTGGTAGCTTCATACTCGGTGCTACCGCTAAGATTCGCTGCAGTCGTTACGACAGCTGCATTGATTACTATGTTCCTGGTATGGGCATATGTCCATCGAACTATGAGACTATAATCAACGTCGTCCCTGGTTTCGTGAAGGAAATAGCATGCAGACGAGACTGCACTAGCGCTGAGTTAGAGGACTGCCAGGCATATTTGTGTCAAGAAGATACCGACAAATGCAAAAATCAAAAGTCGTTGAGCAATTGTCGAACAGCCTTGCATAAATGCAAAGGACCGATTGAGATGGACAGAAATTTCTGCACAGACGAGTATATGGAGCGATCTGTGACCTTTAGCCCACTGTCTACTGCGTCTACTGTGCTGTGTTCCATATATGAGGCTGGCGAGTCAGCTAAAAAGGCTCAAAATGCTGAAAACGTTGAAAAGGCTGAAAAGGCGGGAGAGTCAGAAACCGTCGTTGTCTATCTAAAGGTTAAGGATCCCCAGGTAAGTGGTCTGGTGATGAGCTGTAGGGGACTCAGCGAAGAGGGTATTTCGAACTTTGCATTGGGGTTTGAAGCTACTGGGAGGCTTCCATGTGAACAAACCACGGACGGCAAGTATTGGCTTTGCGATACCGACACGGAAGATGACGTACGCCACGTTATATACGCCGGCGACCTTTCCTGTGAGGCGGCTAAGCCTGCCAAGGGTCTTCAACAAATTTTCAAATCTGAAAGACTGAGCCAGTCTGCAATGGATCCGTTGCTCACGAAAGCTGGATTCTAGATCGATGAAGGTATACTGTCTCCATCCGGCCCTTAGGAATACTTTCGCTAATGGTAATTGACAGAGCCACTATAATAAGACTTTGCAGTCTGTTCAAAAAGCAATTTGACGAACGAAACGGCGCGCCTGCAATTATATCAGCCTATGTGTGTGTATTTCTTTGCAAGCCTGTCAGATCAGACGATCAGTTTTCCGTATAGAAGTCTCTTTGCTAGTACCATAACCCCCTTAACAGGGTTCCCTTCCTTAGCCTAGTTGACTAAACTGACCACGGATTATAACATCCGCGTCCTTTTGCATTGAAGATCTCTTATATAATAGATCCTTAGTCTCTGTGCAACTTGCTACCTAATGTGCTGCCTAACCGTGTGTGTTTAAATACTCTTTTTACAGTCATTCAGAGAGACGGTTGAAAGGACTTTATTCATCTCAAGACCTGCTTTGCCTGAGTTGATTAGTGGACTCCTATGAGCAGTATGGAGAATAAAACGCTATACACTAGGATCTGTTCAATTGGGACAAAACATGAATATATACTTACTTGGATCCGCATTCCAACCATCATTCTTCCACTTGGATCACCGAAGCTATTACGATAGGAGTCTGAAGGGACAGCAAGATAGCCAGTTCGCGGTGTTTGTGTAAAGAGATACTCTTCTTATCAGGGTAGGTGCCTGTCAACCAAGTAAGAGAAAGGTACTAAGCCCAGTTATTGAAGGACTCTTTCTTGAGGAACTCGAAACCTCCCCCTCATGACTTAACTTAAATATGTAACTATATAGGTGGTTGATGCTTTGCGAGCCTTCTCGCCATATATTGCCCCGATGAAGTGTTTATCAGATCATGAATGCTGGACTACATTAGGAAATTACATCTTGCCACAGCCAGAGGCGAGTTACGCAGTACCCAGTATATTAAAAATCGATATGATCCAAATATTATGAATATCCGCTTCAATGTGAAAGTAAAGAGTTCTATTGATATATAGTCTACTTCTACTGGGTTCGAATATCCGGAGCCAGCAATCGGGACCGGCCGTTCAATCGCCGAGCGCGAATGACCGAACAGCCGAACCTCCGATACGTCCTCACTTCATCCTACCACCCTCGATTTTATCTACGTTTCTGGTCTAGAATAAAGACAGTACAATGGATGGCAGAACAATGGAAAGCGGAAGTGCCTCAGATCATATTTACGAGGAACCAAGGGTCCTGCGTCGCTACAACGTCTCGCGATCCTGTATCCGCTGCCATCAGCGCAAGGTGCGCTGCGATAAGTCTCACCCATGTACTACCTGCGCGCGGTCCAATGTGACCTGTCGCTACCCAGGATCCGAGAAGGCCAAGCGCCGAGCTCCGAATGTAGGCCGTAACGAGGTTGTGGCCCGGTTGGCGCGCTTGGAACGCGCTGTTTCGGCGATCGTGGGTGGGGATGAGGGTATTGCGATTCCAGGTTCATCAGGCTCAGGGCCGGGTTCTACTGATCGGACTGCTGTCGGTCCACAGGCTAGGGAACCGCATGTACCGAGAGAGGGTTTCTTGGTGACTTCTGGTCCGTCGACGAGGTATATCAACGAGAGTTTTTTGTCGCATGTTTTGGAAAAGGTGTGTTCATGTTTTCTGTTCCTATGTTCATGTTCATAACTGTTTACCAGGAAAAAGAGCTTCAAACGGTCATAGAGTCTCCACAGAGCGCCGGTGGTGGTTCTACTGTATTCTCTCCTCTACGTGCAGAGGGCTTACTGCTAAACCCGGAGCACGCCATATCAGACGTGACGCAGTTATATCCGTCTCGATGGGAGGCAACGCAGCTATGGCAGGTCTATTTGAACAACGTGAATCCGCTCATGAGGGTTGTGCATATTCCGACGCTACTACCAAAGGTATACAATGCCATTAACGCTCCAAGCGATGTACCAGCGGATCTAAGCGCGCTTCTATTTGCAATCTACTTCGCTGCAACCACGAGCTTGCTATCTATCAACGAAGGCGATTTCTTGGGCGGCCAGAAACACGTGGCGCTGCAGAAATATCAACGGGGATTGGAAGTCTCGCTGTACAATTCTTCGTTTCTGGACTCGCCGACCATAACCTCTCTACAGGCCATGGCTATCTATGTCGTAAGATCTTCCCTATTCTAAGAGACGGGAAACGTGTGCGGGGCTAACTGTTCTAGCGGTGCCGCCGGTTCCATAGCAGCGGTCGCTCCAACTGGGTTTTGAACGGTCTGACTATATACGCCGCTCAGTCGATCGGCCTCCATCGCGACGGAAGCAATTTCAATCTCCCGGTTCTGGAATGTGAGCTGCGACGTCGCCTGTGGTGGCATATTATAACCGCCGATAGGCGAGTCGCTGAAGATCACGGGCTCGTCGGGGGTTTTGAGACGATCTCTAATACCGAGTTGCCATTAAACGTCGATGACAACGATCTCAGTCCCCAGATGAAGACTCCGCCGTCTCCGAAAGTAACGTGGACGGAGATGACCATGTTCTTGATCACCACAGAGGCGAGTAAGGTATTTGCGCGCCTCCACCGGGTTTCGCTACAATCACAGCACGGTAGAGATGCGTATGATGAATCCCGGAAGCTCGTGGCCGACTTGGATGCCCGCTTGAGGAAAACGTATCTGAAATATTGCGACCAGAACGTTCCAGTCCAGAAGGCTACGTTTCTGTTGGGCCGGGTACTCCTATCGAAGGCCAGGGCTCTGGTGCACATCCAGTCGCTCAATGGTCTTAGTGCAGAGCAATCTGCAAAGCACATTAACGAGGAGACGCTATCATATGCATGCGAGGGTATCGAATGTGGATTGGAGATGCTTACGGACGAAGTCCTGAAAAGCTACAGTTGGCTGTCTTCAACCTACACTCCGTACCATTTGCTCACGTATGCCCTGTGGCATCTATGTGTCTGTCCCGAGACCCCCGGGGTTGAGCGAGCTTGGAATGCCGTTAATACGTGCTTCGAATTAACAGAGCGCGACTCAGGCTGGCGGGAGTCTGGCCCTCATTGGGCGGTTCTATGTCGACTTCGACAGAAGGCATTGTCGATCCGACGATCATGTTTAGGTGCGAAGTCAGGAGGAGAACTGTCCGACCTAGGCTTAATGGACCAACCAGAGCTGCCGGATACAGGCCCAGAGATCGACTTTGGAGATGCCCCGACGCCCTGGGATCTTGATCCTCTTGCATTCTTTGACTGGACGTCCTTTGCCCCGACGTTTTGATGCCGCATTATATGAGCGGGGTCTCATTCTTAGCATTGCACTATATGTAGTACTGCAGGGTGATGACCATTTGTGAACGCTGGGCGCAGCCTTTCTCTGCTGAAATCAGCTCAGTGGAGGGAAGCTGGGGTCGACTTCGTGATCGCCAGAAACCACTCCTAATGCATGCTCTCCAATAAATCCGCATAGCTATTCAAAGCCCGACCCATCAAGTTGACCAATTCCCAGATATAATCGGCGGTAAACAGCCGAGCCCACAGCCGAGTCACAATCGCACTCAGCCGGGTATTATTGGCCAAGAGCCATCCTCGGGATACCCCATGTCGAGTCTCCATCACCATCTCGATGACAAACTCCAAAAGCTTACTTTCCTGTTCGGTCAGACTCGGGTTGGGGCTTGCGACCGTCACTTCTTCTAGCCATTTCGCGAGTAGG